GCCGTCGGAGAGCTGCGTGCGCACGGAGCAGCGGACACCGCGGCCGAGGCCGGCGGTGTCACGTCTCGTCGTCGCCGAGGTCTCGGGTACTTTGTCCCTCGGAACGCGGCCACCCACAAGCGCTCCATTTCCCAGTTGCTGCAAATTCGGCCAAGGTTGAATTCGACAGATTAGAAGTCTGCCGCGTTCTTACGCATTCCAATATATATTATATATACGCGCGCGCGAGCTGAGCCCGTGCTGGCTGGTGTATAAAGTCAAAGGGAAAATTCAGAGTATCTCCGTCTCTCTCGCTCGCACTGCTCGCGCTGGCTCAGCGCTGTCGACCGAGGCAGGGCGGGGGCTGGGGCAGGAGGGCTGGTGGGTTGGGTATGAGGGTCCCCCTTCCCCTCACCCCGCGCCGCCCGCCCCGCCCTGCGCGGCCCTGCGCGGCCCCACCCTCCTACACCCCGCCCCGCCCCGCCCCGGTGGCGTCCCGTCCGCCTCGCAGCTCGGGCCGGGCTGGCGGGCTGGCTGGCTCCCCTCCACTCCCACAATGTCCACGGCCTCCACGGTCTTCCCACTCCCACTCTCACTCCCACTCCCCACGCTTCTCCCAGCGCTGCGCTGCGAGCTCCACCGTGCTTCGGCGCGGGCTCGCCCTGTCTCTCTCCTTTTTCTCTTTCTGCCTCTCCCGCTGTTACCTCCGTCTCTCTCTTTCCCTCTCTCTGTCTCTTTATGTTCTTTTGCTCCCTCGCCGTATTCGTGCACCCAAGTTTTTCGCTGCCCGGCGAGCGGCGTGTGCTTCTTTTGGATTATTTTCTTGTTCACATTTTTCTCTGTTGATGTTACCAGCTAGAGAAAAGGACCTAAAATAAAAATGGGACGGAAAACACCCAAACGGCGCGGCGCGGGAGGAAATGATCCGAAAGTTGATCCTGTTTGTTGCGATGTTGGGGGTGGTGAAGTTTGTTCGAAAGTTTGAAAATCCCCTTCTACCGCCCCTCTCTCCCCACGGCCCCACGGCACCACCCTCCTCCCCATTTCTGCTCCCCACGCGACACGGCCGCCGGGCGTTCGACCCTCTCCCTCCCTCTCTCTCGCTTCCAAATGGAAATACGGGGAGGGGAGCCAAGGGGAACCCCAACGATCGAGGATGGGCGGATGGAGTGAGGGGAGGCAGGGCGAGGCAGGGCGAGGCAGGCAGCCCGGCGGGGTAGGGCGGCTCTTGTAGGGGAATAGGGTTGTGAAATACGGAGGGGACGGGCCGGGCTGGGCTGCCTGGGCTGGCTGGGTCGAGCGAGGGATGGGTTGGGGAGTTGAGGAGCTCTAGGAGGGTTGGGACGACGGCAGGGAGGGAGGGGGAGGGAGGGGAAACAACTGACAGCTAGGGATAGTATAGGGGACGCCTCCACTACCGCTTGCGCTATTTCGGTTCATGTTCCGGTGCCGAATGCTGCCCCTGTTCATTACTATTGAACGCATCTCTAATAATGCTTACCTTTCCCCCTGTTCGACTCGTCCAATCCGATAGTGGCGCCATTCCGCCGGCCGTGATGATGAGGCAGTGTATCGGTAGACTGGACGTTCAAACCCTCCCGCTTTAGTGGGGGTTCGCGACCCGCGGCCGCGGGGGTGACCTGCTGTGTCTGGCGCGTTCAAGGCGGGCAAGGCTCTGCCGGGGAAGTGACGCACTCGCCAGCCTCCACCCTGCACCGCCCTGGCCGTGGCCAAGCCGTAGCCAAGCCGTGGCCGGACGGGGGAAGTCTTTCGGAACCTGCCGCCGCCGTGCCGCCGTCACGGTCTGCCCTGCCGCGGGAGTGCTTGCAGTGCCGCGGGCCTTCCAGTGGGCCTACGTGACTCGGCGCCACGAGCCCCCACGCGTTGAGGTCACCCGCGCCTCCCCTTTCGCTTCAATTCTAGATGTGACACGGGCAGCCCTCTGCAAATATTTAGAAATTTGCAGTAATAAATTTTGCTGGTGGAAATTTGCTGCGGAAAATTTCGATGGTTTCCAGCTGGCAGAACGCGCGAGGGCAGGAGAGGCGGGGCAGGGCCCTCGCCTTTGTTGCGACAGTCAGACGGAACGTTCCCTGCCTGCCCTGCCCGTTCTCCTGCCCGCCGAGCAGCTTGGTGCTGTGCTTCGTGTGCTTGTCGGCGGCGCGGCGGCCTGGGGTCCGGGATGGTGCGGGGCAGACGGCGGGCAGGCGGGCGGGGGGAGGAGTGGAATGGAGTGGAGCTGTCAGATGAGCCGGCCTGCCGGCTGGCCTGGCTGCCTGGCTGCCTGCCTGCTTGGCCGCCGCCAGCTCCGTCTGGCCGCTCCAGGGGGCGGGGAGGGGAGCTGAAGAACACAAAGGTTCTCGCTGAGCTGGCCGAGCTGGCCGCCGTGGCTGTTCCGAGAGCACGGGAAAGCACGGCACACGGGTAGGGGCCGACGTCCGGCTCAGCCCCAGCGAGGCCCAGCCAGGCACAGCGCGGCCCCGGCCCGGCGCAGCCCGGCGTCCCTCTCTGTCCCACCCGTGCAGTGTGCCAGGCTGGACGGCGTTCTCCGTCCCTCTCGCAGTGCGTTCCTGCGAAGTGGGACGGAGGAGGCCGGATGTTCCGATGTGCCTCCTTGCAGTGCCTGTCTCTGTCTGCGTGCGCGCCGTGCCGGAGGAGAAGGCCTCCCTCTGCCGGCTCGTCGTTCTGTCTCTCTCTCGCTTATGGGGCGTCCGATAGGGGTGCGAGAGAGACAGCGACAAAAGCACTGTCCCGCGGTGCGGACTTCGGCCTTCGGCCGGCTGGCAAATTCGGCGCGGCGGAGCGCAGGCTTACAGTCGCCACCCTCGCGGCTTGCGGTTCGCAGGGTGGCAAGCCGTTGGCTTCAGGAAGTCCTGCGAGTCCTGGACGTCCTGGAACGGTTCGGACCGCGCCTCGAGACGCCCGTTTCCGTGTCTAGCGCGCGGCAAACCTTGGCCGTCAAGGTTACGGGTCCGGACCCAAGTGTCCCGGACTCCAGCCAAGCTCGGCGCCGTGCCGTCGCCGTCGCAGCGGCGCTGCGGACCCGGGTTCGCCGTCCACCCGCGGCAGCGCCACCTGTTATTCCACGCCATTCCGCTCAGCTGATGGCATTTGGAGGTGAAGATGAGCGCCAAGGCCTCCGAGGCCCGCGCGGCAGGGCGACCCCGCACCCCGCCCATCGCCCCGGCCAGCTGTGCTCCTTTAGGGGAGGCTTGGCCACCTGGAGGCTAGGCATGTGGGGGCTGCTCGGCGCGCTGCTCGGCGCGGCACTCCGGCAGGCAAGGCAGTCCTGGCAGGCAACAGCAACGCCGTCCAGGCAAGCTGGCAGTCCAGCCGAGCCAGCAGACGCTCATTCCACAAACTCGTTCTGTGGAGGACGGGGACGGGGACGGCTGCAGACAGGCGGGCGGCGCGGCGGACGGCCGGGCGGCTGGCGGGGCTGGCGGCGGGAGGACGAGGGAGAGAGAGAGAATGCGAGAGGAAAGAGAGGGCGAGAGGGCAGGGCGGTGAGACGAAGGAGGCGGGGGGAGGCGGGGTCCGCGCCATGCCGCATGCCTGACGCTGGCTCAGCTCCGCTGCCTCCCCTGCAGGGGCATCGCCGAGCCGAGCGCCGAGCGGAGCGCCATCCTGGAGAATATTCGCTGGAGAGCAAAATGAACGAAAGCCAGGGAGAAAAATAAAAAATGTGTCTCGAACAAAATAACGCAATCTCGTCGTCTTTGTTGACCGGAATAAAGGACGTGTATTTCTTGCCGAGTTTGCACCGAGAGCGTGGACTCGCGATACTGACTGACTACGGTGTGCAAGACTGGCTGCTCGGTCAGTTTTTGCAGGACGCACGCGCGAGAGGAGTCGCGGCCGTGCTGTGTGACACACTGCTTGGACCAGCAACCAGCGCACGTTCCCCGAGACGCAGTGAACAGCGCGCCGTGCGCCGCCCGGGCGGCACCGCGTTGCACTGTGTCGCGACGCGGCCGCACGTACACCGTACTCACACACCTGTCTTTGTTTTTATTATTGCTGTTGGGCACGTTTCCTGAAACCGTATCAGCTGAGCGACGTGACGTCACAAACTGCGGCCATTAGACGCGTCGTCAATGGAGTGTGGCGGCGCGGGGCGGGGCTGCGCGGGGCGGCGAGGCGCGGGGCTCGGCGGGGCCATTCATCGCCTCCATTGACCCTCCGCGTCGCCCCGGCCCGGCGTGCTCTGCTTACGCCTCGTTGTGGCAGGTCGTTTGGCGTAGGCGTCTCGATGCTTATCGAGCGGGTATTCAAAGGAATCACCACGCGCCGCCCGGCCGCCCGCCGCCCGTTCAAGCCCCTACCGAGAGAGATGGACCACAACCGCTATTTTGGCACCTCGGCTCGCGCGGCACGCGCCCCGCCCCGCCCGCCCAGCCGGCAGGAATTATGGCGATCCTGCCATAAATCGTAGGCCACGCGCTCGGGCGGGGCGGGGCGGGCAGAACAAGTGATCGCCATCAGACAATCAGCTGTTCGGCCTGAAGCCGCCGTGGTGCCGTATCCGTATCGCGTGGCGAGCGGGTCGACCGCGTCTGTCTGGGCTCAGCTTGAATGCTTTAGGGAGCTGGCTGCTCGGGCTGCCCCGCCGTGCCCCGCCGCGGTGACGTCACAGACGAGACACATGAGTACGTGTCCTGCCTCGCGATGCCGGCCGTGCACGCGTGCCCGTGTTGTTGACACTCTGTCTCACTCACTCGCATTAGCCACGCCGGCCTTCACCCACTGCATACTGCATCAATCTGTTGTCGCGCACTTGAACCCGACAAGGCGACGGGGGATGCGGCATGGCATGGCACCGTCCCTTACTTGAACTCCGCTGTCGGCGTCTCGGGTGGCGTTCCGAGAGTTCTGGCGCCTCGTTTGGTGCAGCAGAGCGCGGCGGCGCGGCCTTGTCCAGTGTGGCGGCCGAAGCTTATCGTCGAGATAACGCCCTGCTTGTGGTGGGCTTGCCGCTCACGTCAGCACCTTGTCTAACCCTTTGCTCTCTTGTGTTGCAGACCCCGGTAATGATGGGACTCCAGGCCACCGCCACCAAACGGAAACTCGAGGACGGCGGGGGTGGTGCCGACGCCGAGGACGGCGACTGGGCGCCGCGGCCGCAAGCCAAGGTGGTCCGGACGGAGGCCCCCGACGCCGACGACTGGGGCGTGGACTCAACGTCCGCCGCCCTGGCGACGTCGCTCCTGTCTGACACGGCGGACGATAGCGATGAGGAGGACGAGGAGGACGACGTGGAGGAGGGCGACGAGGCCTACCTACCCGCGGGGAGGAGCTACCAGATGGGCTACACGACGGCCCCGCAGTACGACCAGGGCTACCAGTACCGCTACCACCGCGCCAATGGGTACTGGGGGCCTGGTCCCGGCCCTCAGCCATCGCCCCCGGCACCGGCGGGGTACTACCGCCAGGACGTGGTGACCGTGCACGGCCCCAACGCGGTGCCGCCGCCCCGCCCCAGACGCCGCCGCCGCAACCCGTGGCGCCCGGCCCGCAGCAGCAGCAGACCATTCGGTGTGACGAGAATGGCAAATCGTACCTGGACCTAGGCAGCAGTTACCCTGTGAATAGTGTCAACCACGTGAACCAAATGGCCAAGTGTTGTGACGGCAGTCGGACTAGTTGGTGCTCGCGGGGGCCGGGCCCGGGTGGACCGGGCTCGTGCTACCGCCAGCGACGCCTGGCCGTGCTCAACCTGTCCATGTGCAAGCTGGGTCGCTACCGCCAGTTTTCTGACCCTTCCCTCCGCCGCTCCGTGCTCATCTGCAACACGCTGCGGCTGCTGGAGCGCGAGATGGAGCAGGACGGCTGCTTCTTCAACTCGCCGGCGCAGGCTGCGCAGCCTGCGCAGCACGGCGGCATGGGCAACGCGGGCAACGCGCGGGAGCAGTGCGGTCCGTGCCCGCAGGCCGCCAGCCCCGTGCAGCACAACGCCAACCAGCCCCAGCAGCCCCAGCAACCCCAGGCCGTGGTGGCGGGCCCCGGGCCGCTGCCGCCCCACGCCTACCACCAGCAGTTTGTGGAGGCGCCCCTCGGCGTGCCCGGCAACGGCCACGGCTACCCCCCCGCCACGCCGTACCGGGTGCCTGAGCCCACGGCGTACGAGCAGAACTTCCGAGAGCTGACCACCCTGACCGCCCCCCTGCGGCCAACGCCCTTCCCCAGTCCGGCCCATCCGGGCTGCGACAGTGATTCTGGCCTCGGCGACGACGACACGACCCGCGGCATCAACTGGGGCTCGGTGCTGTCGCTGTCCTCGCAGTCAGATCTGGACCCGCTCAACAACAACGAGCTCTTCCCCGCGTCGCCGACGCCCTCCCCCTCCCCGCCCTCCCCCGCGTCCTCGGGCCACTCCAACTCCGACTCGCTGGGGCTCCTCGGTGACGAGGACCTCGGCCACGAGTTCGACGATTTCTTGCCGTCGTGGAAGCTGACCCCGCTGAGTGCGGACGACTTGCTGAAGAGCGTCCCCTGTGGGCCTTGCGGACCCTGTGCACCTGTCGCCAATGTGAACCACGCTGGCGAGGGCGAACTAGACTCTTTAATGCATGTCCTCGTGGGCACGTAGGAGCGGCTGCATTCGGGCCAACGCCCAAAACACTCTTTAAAACAAAGTACCTGCTTTTTTTTCTATAAAATCAAATTCCAACCTTATTGTTTCATAGTAAAGGATGTTCTAATTTTCTTTCTCGTTTCTAGATTTTTAAGAATTAATGTTGTTGAGCTGCGCTACCTGTCAGTGAAAGCAAAGTCGTCTTGTTAAGTGCAGAGGTTGTGAGGGGGGATGCCCCAACTTGTTAAACATACTCATACTGGACTGACTTTTATCTTGCCGGGTATATGTTTTTAATTTGTTGTGTTGATCATACTTCACAACATGCCTGTATTTGGGAGGAAGTCCATGATATATGTGATTTGCGTGGTCTCAGAAATATTTTGGGATTGAAGTGATCTTGCCTTGTATTGTTGCCTTCTATTTGAATTTATTTAATTTTCTGGTACCTGAAGAAAAATGTAGAAAAGCTTTGAGACAATGTTCATAGCCACTGCATTCTCTTCTGCAGCTCTTATCATATTATTTGACTGATCAGTTTTCATACCGCTTGCAGAATATTTTGATATGTCTTAATTTGTTTTTAAGCTTTTGAAGAAGTCACAGTCTTTTCCTCTAAGGAAAAACTGATCACTCAAAAGTCTGCTGTGCGCTCAATCATTCTCTTAAGTTTAAATTATCTCACTCACTGGCTTATGTTTTTCTTGTTTAGTTAAGGATTGAATGCCATGGAAGTTACTGTTGAGGCCATATGGCAATCAGACATTAATATTTTAATTTGCACTCTCCAAAATTATTTTGTATACCCAAAAGTACAGTAACATGTAAGAAGTGAGACTATATTTTTTTTAAAAAGGCAAACTGGACGTAACTCATGTAGGAGAAATCGAATGTTCAGTGTTTGTTGGCCAACAGCTGGCAGTGGTATATTTGTGGAAACCAATGATTTAATCTTTACAAGTTCCCTCATTTACTTTGCTGCTGTTTCAACCACAAATTTTTATTTACAGTTTCAGTTTTTCTTTCATTTGCTCTCTGTGAGTAAAGAAAGGGCAGTTCTTCTTGGTTTGAAACTAACTAAATTAGTAATGGCTAAATTCTACCAAATATTTCTGCAAGTAGGAGTGATGCATCAGCAATGGATATGGATTACTTAATTGGAAATCACTTATGATCTCATTTACATGAAATGACGTAACTTAAATCTATTGAACTACAATTGTGTCCATTCTTATACTCATTTTTTGTTGTTGTTTACTTAATTTTAAATCATTCACATATTAGGCGCAGCAAAGATATAATAAGTTTCCTGTGACCTCAAAATATGTCCCAGGTAACATTTACTTACCAAGCCATTGTGATGACTTATTTACTTCTGATTTCAAAATCAATGGTTGTGGAATGTCCCTTTCATTTGTAGGTAAAACAAACAAAACGGTTCTTTGTGTTCTTGGAGTAGCTCTATGTAAATAGTTGTGTTATATATATTATTTATATATATACACACACATATATTAAAAACATAAATATATATATAATTATATGTTATAGTTGAAGTTTTTTGTGCGGAGACTAGCGATGTGCTTAGTGTTTAGAGTTGATGCCCAAAGCATCCATACGGTGCCCTTGTATGCTATACTATTTATGTCATTTTCTTTGTGTTCGAAGAAAGAAATTCAAAATCTAATCCTTTTTTCAGTCAGTAATCTTTATGAAGGCTCATGTCAAAGCATACAATGTTGGCTCAAGTCAGTACCGCCGTATTGTACTTCTAGTCCTTTCGCGCGCCGGTCTCCGTACTCAAAGAACACAAAGAACCGGTCCTTGTAGCCCACACTTAAAAGCGTCCGTGGTTGTTTCACTAAAAAAAATATCGTATTTCGGTATTTATTGTTTTAGCTCAGGATATATACGTCATATTTTAATTGTCATGAATAGGTTTATGACGTTTATAGTGTTCTCATGACAGATCGATGCAGTTCATTTCTCCAATAGTTCAAATGTGGTTGAAAACCGGCCATAGTCTAAAGCTATTAGTGTCAAGCATCTGTTTTTCTTTATCTCGGTGTTTGTGTGTTCGGTCATAGCAATAGGTAACAACAGTTTGCAAAGTGCATTCACTGGCTGTGATGTCAAAAGGGATGTAGTGTGTAAGTGCTAAGGGAGGAATTTGTAGAGTACTAATTATGCATTCTTGTGCCATAAACAAATAAGCAAGAAGAACAGCCTTCTTCGTGCTCAATTAGTTCTTGCTCGCCGAGACATGACACTAACACTGTCATTAGTGGATTTTAAATCATGATTCAAATTGTGTATGGTTCTTGTGATTGATAGGTGCAATGCTGATGAAATTTTTTGTGGATTCAGATTGGCGTTTCCTCAGGAAGTATTTGGTTTCATTAAGTGCTTTCTCTGCACTGTCAATACCAATTTTGTCACAGCTGTTTAAAGCCTCAGTTGGGTTCAAGTATTGTCTCTTATCAGATTTTGTCTTATTAACTGAAAAATTTGCCTCTATTGTGATGCGACATAAATTACCATAGTGTTGAACCATAGCCAATTGGGAATCATGGACAGCATTTGCAGTTGGAGAAATGAAGTGTTTGTTAGTGGGTGTCAGCCTTCCAACACGGTGGTCGTGAGCGATACAGATTTTGCTGTGATACTTGTGTTGTACAATTAATTATTAATTTGTAAAGAAATAGTAATGTCAATAAATTTCTATGATAGGTGTGAATGGGAGATGAGATGTGTGTGTGTGTGAGACTAGGAGAGAATGATGTTGCAATAATTATCCATATTATTGAGTAGAGAAATTTTTATTAACATTCTGATTATTAGATGATTTACCAGTAAGTACACTGCTGAGTATTGAATCAATAAACTGAACCAAGTTTCTGTAAAACTGATTCGTCTTCTTACCTTCCTTACTACCAATCCCAATGAAAAGCCTGCAGTACATAGCATTCCACATTCTCCATCCAGTGAAGACATTCAATAAACTAAATTCTGATAGGGTATACCCTAGTTTTTTTTCTTTTGAGTTTATGAAGTTGCTTTTTACAATCATTACGATACCATCATTTTTAAACAAATGATTTCATTCAGTTCAATTTCATTACAGTCAACTACTGAAATGTGAAGTGACCCGCAGTGAGTCAAGCCTCACTCTAAGGTAATTACTGTGACACTTCGTTTCCCTGACCCTAAACTTTCAAAAGAAAGTTCAGAAAAGCTTTGTACCACCGTAAACCTTTCATCATCTTTTGAGAGAGGAGCATTCCCTTCCCTTCGGAGTAGTACAGCGTGCATCCCTGAACCTTCCGCAGCCAAAGCCTCTGTAAGTCACATATAAAAAATCAGACATGTTTTCAGTTGGCACATGCATGCATCTGAACGCCTCTCATGCATGAGAGTATGGGTAGATTGAACCTAAACCTAGATGTTGAGTACCAGTGGTTGTAGAGGGTGCATTATGCTATTTTCTGCTATGAAACTCAGAAGGAAATAGGAAATAAAAGAGAAATAAAATAAACACATGATTGAAATAAAAAAAAATGCTGTATTTGTAAAACCAACATACACATGGCAGTACACTTATATCACATGACATGTGGAATGATTTGGTACTTCCCACTTGTAAAATCTAAGTGATGGAAACTACAAATCCCTACAAATACCACAACCATATAAGGTGGTAAGACAATAAATAACCGCATGTAAAATATTAAATACAAAGAAATCAAATCCCTCCAGTGCAAGTGCAACTGGAATGATTGATAACTTACACAAAATTGACGATCAAGCGGTACATATACAGGAAATTGGGTGCCTTAAACCTAGTTCATTTGACATAAAATAACATTACAACTAACTCCCCAAAAAACCCTAAGAATAAAATATGACAGCAACTGACTTTAGAATAGAACAATGTTGTTGCAGCATAGGCGTTGATAATCACAGTCAGCAAGGGGAGGAAAGCAGTCTGTTGATAAAATAAAAACTTCAGTCTGAAGATAATACTGGTATCAATTAGAAAGGACTAAAGACAAAAGCACCTTGAAAGGGACCATACCACCTGTATAGGTCCAGCTTGAACGTTACAAATTAAGATTAATTTATATATACTACATGATGTGTAATACTAAACACAGATTTCGCGCTCAGTGTTGATCAAAATACCACTTGATATGAAGACAAACTTCACAATTTTGGCACACTAATATTTGCTCTTGTTCTCTTAATTTTTAGAAGCAGATCAGCAGCCTACTAAGTACAAAAAGCTAATTAAAATGTCATGGGTGGCCCATAAGTAACCTGGGAAGGAACTGTTACATTAAGAAAAAAAAAAGTCAAATCTAAGCCTCCACTACCACAGCAGCATCACCGCTTCCATTTTCAATCTGGGCTGCATTCTTGGTGACAATCACTTCTGGGAGATCCTTCTCCTCACTATGCCCATTACTATTGCCATTGGAAACCTTACCATTTGTTTCAGCATCCTTACCATTAGCAGATCCATTTATCTTCTCTTTCTCTCCATTCTCTTTTTCAGCAACCTGTTTGGTCTCTCCATTGGCATCTCCATTGGCCTCAACATTGCCATTGCCATTAGCCTCACCATTCAGTTCTTTAGACACATGTCCTTCTTCCTCAGCAGCCTTCTCAGACTTATTTTGATTCTCAGCAGATACTTCAATGGCTGAGGAGGTTTTGACTTCAGTGCTCTCCATCTTCTGATCATTTTCTTCTTTATCTTGACCAGTGACTTCCATCACAGAATCTTTCTTATCATTTGCTTCTTCTACTTTAACATCTTCAGGTTTCTCGGCATTGTCTTTTTTCAGTTCGCTCAAGACAGCAGATGCTTCCACAACTACATCAGTCTTTGAGTCTTCTTTGGGTAGCTTGTTTTCACAGTCAGTCTCCATTTTTTCAACATCCCTCTCTTCAGTCTTTTCTTGAGGGACTTCAGTCTTTTCTTTAACTTCTGCTTTCTCAATCACAGGAACTTCCTCTAAGGGCTTTTCTTTTTCCTCTACCGCGGGATTGACTTCATTAGTAGAGCTTTCAGATAAATCTCCATTTGCTGAAACTCCCTGCGATTCTTCAGCATTAGATTTTTTGTCGACTTCTACAGCCTTGGAATCATCAATATCTTGTTTTGACTTGGTCTCTTCAACAGAGCCATTTTCTTCATTCATCACAGCCACCTCAGTCTTAGCCGCATTTTCTTCAGACTTTTCAACACCACTATTTTCATGACTTTGAACAGTCTTATCATCAACTGTTTGAGCCTTGGTACTTTCCTCTATTTTTGGCTCTTCTGATGGCTTGTCAACATCCATCGCATCAGTCTTGACTTCTGATTCTGTCACTTCTACATCTTTACCCACAGCCGATTCCACATCCACATCCATGGATGCAGAATCTTTTTCAGCAGGCTTGGTTTCTTCCTCCAGTTCCTCATCTTCCGGCGCCTTGGTCGTGTTTTCTTCTTTGGAGTCCTCATCAACTTTCAATTTCTTGCTTGAGGTTTCATTTTCGGTGTCCTCTTCAGCTTTGTGTTTCTTGCTCACAGTTTCAAATGATACTTGGTCAAAGGAGGAAACTGAAGGGTATTCTTTGTGTAGATCACTTGATAGAGGTTCATTGCCTTCTCTCTCCACCAAAAGGACAGGCAAACCAGCTTCACGGGCCGCAGAGGCCTCTACACAGACAAAATAAAAAACAAAAGAAAATAAATAATTAAGTGAAAAATAACAAAATACCAACAGTTTAAGGTTTTTTTTTTTTTTTTTTTGGTTGCTGTTATTAAAACCTGATAAGTTGAGGATCTTACCCTAAGTTTACTAACCAACTGAACATGCAACACAAATCTACACACATAAATATTACAAGCAGAACAAGGCTAATAAGTTAAAACAAGATGACAGAATTGTCTTTTTGAACTTAGAATATTAAAATTTGAAAGGAAAAAATACACACATGCACAAGTTAACATACTACTTAACAGAATAACAGTATCCATTTTCTACAAAAAGGTTAAGAAAAAGCTGACCAAGATCCAGAAAAGAAAAAGATAATGAGTGCAAAGAATGAGCTTACAATTAACCATTATTTACAAAGGGCATCAGATATGACACTTATGCCAATGACATGAGAAACAAGAGAAGTAGGAGAAATAAATTATGCTATGAAGCGTAAGTAACGATAATGGACTCAAAATCAGTGATATCCACTTTCTAATAATGTTGAAATGCATTTTACTGTACACTAGGCTGAGAAATTTGTCAGCAGAAATACATGCAGAGGCAACAGTCTACCATACCACTCCCTCAGTGTTTCTGGTATGACTAACTGAGAAGACTCTCGGAGACATAAAACAAATTCATACAAATAATTTTCACAGAATACATGAATCAGAAGCACCCATTTCATCCACAACCACTGGTTATCACTACTAATGGGACTCAAACCAAATTCACAGAGTTCAAGGCAAATAAGGTGATTCTCAGATAATTTTTTGCTAGCTTGGAATGCTTTTCTTCATCACACCTCTGCCTTCCAATGCTTAATTTTCCGAAACAACCATTAAGAATAAAATTGTACATTTTTATATTTTAAAAGCTTATGCAGATGCAAAGCTTGCATAACTTGCCCCTTCAGCCAAAATATGCTCCTAAAACAAGCTGGCATTATTATCTGGGATTCACCCTAACTAGAAGTCAAAAATCTACTCCCACTACAATGCAACTCCAATATTCACAAAGACACAAAAAAGACACTTACCCTTTGGTAGATCAGTCAGGAAAAGTACATCATCAGCATTGCAGTCTAGTTTCTTAACAATATTCTTGTAGCTTTCTACTTCAACCTTGGCACCAACTGCAGTGTCAAAGTAGTCTGTAAACAACTGAGAAAAAAGTTCAGGGTTAAGAAGTGCAAACGCCAAAGCCTAAGCCAATCTGAAAATGTGTACAGCAACTTACCTCTGTCAGATCCCCTTCTGTTGAATTGCCGAACAGGAGCTTCTGTGCCTCTACACTTCCTGAGGAGTATACATACAGTTTCCTCCCATCCTTAGCCCATTCTCGGAGTGCAGGGGCAACATCTGAAAACAGACTGCAACAAATCTCTAGATTAGTCACAGACTAGATATATAACACAATCCAGATGTCAGATCAGATTAATGAATAACTCACTGCCCCTTTAGCTCTCCATTTTTGTACCCCTGACGCCACATCTGCCCCTGCAGTTTCTTCAAAGCAGTTGTCTTCCTATCAGCATCCATTTGCCAAAGGACATTCTTAGCAACAGCAGCTCTGATGTCATCTTCAGAACCCTCCTTTGGAATTTCAACAACTCCTTCCAATTCAGCCTTCTTATCTTCATCAGCCTAAAGACAACAAAATCAAACTTGATTCATTAAGACCCTATCATAACTGATGAAACTTCCATCATGACAAGTGTGTATCATAAGAGAGAGTTAGTCAAAGGAATAATTATCCAACTCTCTACCTAAGGTCAGACTGACATTGCAGTGCTATCAAAGCAGGAAGGTATCAGACCAAAGACTATACAAAAAATTCAAACAGCTGAAAGCATCACAATGGGGTGAGTAGGGAGACATCCTTGACAATGGACAAACGCACCACTAGTTAGAAATTAGAAACTTGTGATCATGTGATAAAATTGTACAGTACCTGATCTCTGAGCAATCCAAGTACATCCTTGAATTCTTCGTCACTCCACTGAGATTTCAGGTACCCATCAAGATTTTGACGCACATACGGAAACAAAGTATCCTGCAATAGAATCGGGGAGTTGAAACAATGATTGTACACAAGATAAAGTCAAGAGTCTGTAACATAAAACGATCAAGAAATGTCTATTTGTCATTTATATTAGGATCCTCATGTAAAACAAAAACAAGTGAACAGTTCTACACTGTCCAAATTCTGTCATGAATTAGACATCTGATTCCAGAATATTAGGCTTTAAATGAAATGAAAACCATTTGGCCAGTTGCATTTAAGATACTAAGACAGTACGTGATTCATTTCTTGAGTGGCAATGAGCGGCCCAACGGTCACGGTGGACAGCAATGCGGTGCTTGTAGGAGAACAAAGAATGGAACAGCTCCACCATGTTGGCTCTTTTCTCCAGGACTGCACATATTATAGTGGACAAACAATGACCAAAGTTTACTCTAGAATATAATGCCGAACTGCGCAGAAGCTACAATTGGCCAGATAATAGGACGTCATTTAGTAAAGTAGCTGGAAACTCCTACAGCCGTTTACATAGTCTTTATGACCTGTCATGGCCCGGCTCACTCACGTGAACCTAGGCTCAACCGAAAAACTGGAAAAAAATAGTGAACGAAGGCACCGAATGCACACAACTCTGAGAGAGTAACCACGGAACAAAATCAACTCGAGAAGTCTGGTCAGAAATCTTCACAAAGAGCCACGAGGGTGTTACTATCAGCCAGCGATTTGGCGAAGTCTACCCCAACCGGTGAGACGTTATACCTTGACAAAACTGATGGATGTGGTCGTCCCTTCAATGTCCGTAATAATATGTTTGGTGCTGAAAACATTATCACTAAGAGGCCTCTTCTCCGCAACAGCCATTTTGGTGATTTCGACAGTCAGAGACAAAGTTTCAGTCAAATATCAAACCGGAGAGCTTGCCGGTGAACTACACTAAGCCTACGAAATGGATGGAGCCGGAGTCTGCCGAGCCGGAGGAAGCAAGCGCTGGGTAGGGGAGGGAGGGGGAGTAGGGGGGGCAACAGACTTCCGGTTAATAACCCCTGAGAGTGCGCTCAGAAACCGAAGAAACTGGGCAGAGATCTTTGACCTCCGGGAGATGTTTAAATGGATATGTGGGCCAGAAGGCATGGTCAAGACATGATATTTTTTATCGCAGCTACCGGAGTTTCCTATCGTTGCATGTGTGTGCTAGTGTCAGTCAAGGATTCCGATGATTTTCGCAAAATGCATACTAGCGCCCTCTAGAAGATGCGGAAACTAAAGGTTTGCGTTCTTGAGCGGGATGCTCAAACAAACGACAAAGTAGAAACCGCGAACAGTTAGCCGTTTGAAAGATATGTCCCAATGTTGGTGTGTTATAATATTTATTTTCGTTCAAAAGGGTCCCTATGCATCTGGAGGATGTCTCTGCACTTTCGTTTTCCGAATGGAAAAAGTCAGCGTGTCGCGCAACTGCGGGGATCACCTCACTGCGTTTGTCGATTTGAGAAATTTTGTTGCATTCAATGAGACTGCAAAGGGAAGGAAAGAGCAAAACTTGGATATCAAGAGTAACATCACAGTTTTAATAAGTCTTACATAATGTTGCTTCAAACTCCAGTATTCTACACACAATGTTGAAAATTGCATTCACGCCAAAAATTTTACACAAATATACAAGGAAAAGAGTCTGGAAACATACACTAACACTTGATTATTTAAGAGAGGAGGTTGATTTTTAATGTTTAATTTACAACACATGTAAAAAGCCAGTAATTGACCTCACACTAATAACAAAATTATAATACTGACAGTCTTGACTGACTTTGTATAGAAGTATTTGCAACAGTTGGTAAAATTAACAACATCTAACTTACTGAGGAGATCTAACTTCCCTCAGCAGGGAGGAAACAGCACTTTTAATCGTATGGTAAATAATATTCTTGATTTGTAATTTATCTTCATGGTTGGTATGAGTGTCAGAAAGTTCTCTGAACTCCTGGGTTAGAGAAAAACAATGTGTGACATTTTCAGGGGACACAAAATCTTCAGCAACTTTAACACAGTTGTGTAAATTTCGGACCTGTAAAAATATTGTTAGTATTGTCAGTTTTTCTAGTTTTCCCTGGTTACTAGTCTCATTTATTTTTAATTTTATAAGGTTTCACAAAAAAAAAAACATACCTGATGAGGAGCTCCAGCAGGAATGAAAACAGCATCACCCAAACACTGTACAATAGCATATCCAGTCACACCATATTCCTTCTCAAGTCTCATCCGTAGAACAGCATCCAAATACCAGCTTTGGTCATGAATAGGATCATGGTGGGGTTCAAGACGAGTGCCTTTCTCAATGGCTACTTTATTTAGAAGATCCCTGATTTTATCTGCATCAGACGCATGATATATGTGCCAAAGAGCACCAGGCATCTCTCCTTCTAATCGAACTCTTCGGCGTGTTAAATCGTCACAGCCAGCTTCATCTATGGCATTATATGCCGCTGCAAAAACAGGAACAATGCCATGAATCCAATATTTACTTCTGTCCAGCTAACAAATTTGATTTTAAGCTCAAAAATTGTAGCAAGTGTAGTAAGTAATAAATTACCTTGGACGTGTTCCTCATAATCTGCATCAGAAGGAATACCTACATACACCATAAAATTGACAGCATCTGATATATCGAGATGGAGGTTAGTTGTCCCTTTGGTTGGGAAAAGAGATGAGCCGTATGCATTATACATTTTCGGACCCAGGTCAGGCCGGACAAAAAAGTCCGGTAAACAAGAGGCAAGATTCAAACGTCCTGTGCGCCGAGTATATTCAGCTAAGGGTAGGGCTTGCATCAAGTCATTAAATCGAGTAGGAAGTAACTCTGCAAAGTCTTCACCTAAAATGCAAAATTCAAATGGATATTTCGTCAGTAATTACAGTGCTATGAAAGGGAAATGAAATAAATAACTAAAAATGAAAAATGAATTGTCACCTGGAGGCCAATCCTTTAGCTTAAGAAGCATTGGGTTTCCATGCTCATCTTTCAATCTCTTCGAGAAGTTTCCAAAACCTTCCCAAAATTCCTTCATTGGTCTATTGGGGACCAAATGCCCAGTGGCACAGTTAATTAAATCATTTCTCTCCTCTCCAAAGTCACGGCAAAATGAGTCTGGATCCCAAAGCTTAGTATTTAAAAGTTTCGTCATATTGCCTACTATGACTGGCTGACCACGTCTCCATTGATCCTGCAACAAACAACAAACAGTTATAGCTACAGAATTTAGTGAATGTTTAGATGCTGTTGCTAAAACCTTACCTGAAATAGTCTATAATTTCCACTGTGACTTGGATCAATCAATCTTAACAACGAACCCTCACACAGCCATGAATGTGGAACATTAGGATAAAGTTCGCCACTCTCTAACTTTGTCATCTTCCGGGGAGGGAGAAGATTGGGATTGCTTGGCAGTGAACTGTGATTGCGACGAACGAAATGCTGCATGGGTTTTGCCTCCACAGCATTTTTAGGCTCATCCTGCTTGCTTGATATCAATATGACCTGAAAAGATTAAAATCACAATAAACTAAAAAAAAAAAAAAAAATGATACAATGAGCACAATTTTTTTTTCCTATCACAACTTACAATATCCATCATGCTATTCCTTGAAACCTTCACTTGCTTAGAAGGTGAGTTTTTGTGTGGAGCTGATTTTTGTTGAGATGTGGGAGACAACTCTGTCAATCCTCCAGAACCTGGGCAACTTGCTGCTGCCGTTTGTTCTGAAGTATATTTGGGGCATGTGACTTTACTCTCATTACCATTGTTGGAGTCCTTTCCAGGAACCAGCAAATCCAGGAGTCCTGACGGTTTAGATCCTTCATCATCCGAGTCGCTACTTGAGTCCTAAAATGACCATAAATAAGATTTTATTCATCAGAAAGCTTGTAAAGTATACAATTGAAGAAAAATGTAAGTCACCTCTTCTCTAAAAGAACTGGTTAAATAAATGTCTTCAGGTAAAGTCTGCTTAGCTGCTTCTTTCAAAATACGTTCTTCATGTTCCTTGCTGTCATTTATTTTGCCTGGTTCACCCTCCAGATGAGTTATTATGGCATTTAATGGATCTAATTTGATCAGCTGTTTCACACGATCCTAAGTCATAAAAAAAGATGTTCTTTTTAGAAAATCTTAATATTTAAAACTTAGTTTTATCTGACAAATTTTGAACAGGGTAATTACTAATAATCGTTGTACAATATTTGGTATTGAATTTGCTTCCATAGCTTACCATGTTGATGGTGGAATACACATTGTCCATTGAGTTTAGTTTGTAGTCACATTTACAAGTTTGTGGAATCTCACACAAATGTCTTGCTTCATGCACTAAATTTCTTAGCTGCTGCAAACATTTATCAGCAATGGTCTGGCACAACATCAACTGTTCTTGGTCGTGCAACTGGCGGTTGTTGCAAAATAGCCACTTCCATTCATCATGATCTGGTCCTTTTTCCATCCAAGCCTTCTTCACTCCACTTTTACGAACCTGCAAATAGAGATCACAGATAAGATACCAATGAGACTAAATCCAAGTCAGAAAGAAATACACGTGTACCATATATTTTCATGCTAACCTTATAGCAGTCAATGCAAACCACAAAGCCACATCTATCACAAACCCAATGAAAATTAAATAGGGTTGTTTTACAGACATCACACATTTCACGCACGCCTTGCATTGGTTTCTTCCAAGCTATAAAATCTTTTTAAAAAATTATGATAAAATAGCAGAATGATTAGAATGATTAGTTTTTAAAATGTATTTTAAAATTCAGATAGTTTAATATGTATGTATTACCTTCACCCATGTTTAGATGAATAGCTTCCTCTTCTTGCCTAATCAGGCAACAAAATTGGTCACCCACTAGGTTAAGAATAAATCTGGCAACATGAAAATCCAGGTAGTCTGTAGATGCAGATGTTGTGCTATCTAAATTGGGAAGCCACAACTTTCTGTCAGACTGAAAAAAAATAAAATAATTGTGAACTTCTTTACACATTTATCTAATAAGTTAACAACCAACAAAATCAAAATTTACCTCATCTGCATCTGTAGGCTCGGCAAAACCACTGCTATACAAATTCAGACTAGTTTTGATGCACCGCATTTTTCTGAATGAGAAAAAGCGGCATGAATACTGGTTGGTTTCAGGAGATTTAATGCACTCTCTGCACTTGGAAAATTTACAGTATTTTGCAAGTTTTGAGCAGGAGTCTGACTGTAAGTAGATTTCAATATCTTTGTTTGTTTGTGCTTTTGATGAAGATTCATTAACATTGTTTTTCTTCTGTTTCTCAGGAGTTTTCTTCTTTTTAGGTGGACGCCAATTCAGACTGTTACTACTGTCTGAATCCCAACTGCCTGCACTTTCTTTCTCGCTCTCGGCACTGTCAGATGAATAAGTTTTTCGTTTCAAATGACTTGTTGCGGTCTTCTTCTTGGAGCAATTCTGTTTCTCCACATGCTTAGGATCATCTAACGACATGTTGGACCTTTCATGAAGTTCTCACCTAGACAGAAAAAAACAAGTCAATGAATTAAAAGACTAATTCACCGTAAAAATGGATTATTAAAAAAAAAATAACAAAAAATACAACTGGAAAAATTCTTTAAAAATCGAAGGAAAAACCAAATGAATTTTGCGAAACTCTACAAAGTTTACTGAATTTTCAATTGGCGCGCGTGAGAAAAGGTATAAAAGAAACGGAATGTGACACAAGAAGAGAGAGGAAAACAGTAACCATAACCTCAACTTCGTAGAAGCACAACAAAACTTATCTGCCTTGGCATCGACTTGGAACATAACCCAGGTCAGGTTTCTTCAGCATAACTGATAAGGGGATGACATTCTTCATCCAGATATGACATTATACTTAAGTCGTTGCAAAATAGTTCATACTTACAGACGCCGCGAAAAGTCACGTACACCACGGCGAGCTGCAGCAGGAGCTGCAGTTGCAGTTGCGGGGGTGGGGGTGGAAAGGGGAGAGAGGAGGGAGGGGGGAGGACTGGTAAAGATGAGGGTGGCAAGTGGCAGCAGCCGTAGTGGCCGGAACCTGCTGTTACAGTCACAAGTTGGCCCGAGTAATTCTTGCTGAGATAAATCTAAAGCTTAAAGAAAAGGAAATTCTCGTATATTTTACACACTCTTAGCTGAAATAAAATAGATAGATAAAGTCCACACCACAGACCCAGCACATGTTGTCATGGCAACAATGACATTCCCTGTTTGAGGCCCCATCAAAATTCAAAGAATAATGCGTTTATTTCTGAAAATGAAGCTTGTAAAGAGAGCAATTTCTGAAGGCACGATTAGATTGATTCCTGACTTTTGCTATGAAGCAATGAAATGATGAGTTTGAGAACTCACATCTCACAAATGCGAGCCTCTTATAGGTGGCCAGTTAGGATTTTCTGAATATTTATTTAATTTTTACTTGATCCCGAACTTGTTATTTTTTTTACTGTGTGGTTTTTTTGTTTAATTTTTGAGGCTGATGTAAGTATGCGACTTGCTATTGTTAATTCAACTTTAACTTTGACATACATTTCTTGGTTACCTATCTCGTGTTACTGACTAGTTCGTTGTGTCTTAATTAACACTTTTTAAAAAATGTGTTCCAGTAACTCCTCAACATGGGTAGAAAAGGGAAAGGAGGAAAAGGCAAAAAAGGGAAAAAGGGGAAAAAAACTGAGGAAGAAGACAAAAATCTTTTAACAGAGGTGGACAAAGAATTCTATGAGCTACAAATCACCGACCTGAATCGAAAACTTGCAAGGTTCTTCAAACAACGTATTGAGATTATTTCTTGATCAGAACATTGCTTTTAACTATTGTTTACTGACCCACAGACTTCGATCACAATGTGCTGAACTTGAGCTCAGCAACACAGATATATCATCACAAAGAAACAAGCTAGAGGAAGATCGAGCAGATGTTATATCTTTTCTTAATCGCACCTTATCAGAAAAAGAAGATGACATCCTTGAGCTTAAGGAGAGGCTGGAAGGGTTGCAACAGGTTTATTAAACTTCTCCAAATCATCCAACCTTCATTAGTCTTTTAAAATTTTTCAGTGAATTAAGAGAAATTTACTTTCAGACCCGTGACATGGAAACTAAAGCATTCAGGGAGAAGGTTGAACAAATGGAACAAGAATTTAAGGCAATGCAATTGCAACTCACATCAGAAGTTAAACTTTTAGGTATGACTTACATTGACTTTATAATTGCAGCAGAATTCAGGGTATTGATGATTAGATATTACTTTTGTCAGCTGGAAAATTGAATGCTCTGGATGAATTTCGAGTTCAACGTGATGACCTGATGGCAAAGTTTGTCACTCAAGAAAAGCAAATGGAGGAGCAGACTCAAAACCATGCACGAGAGCTGTATGAAGTAGAGCGCAAATTTATTGTTGGGAAAGATAGGTAAATAGCACTACAATGCACACAATATTTCCCTCAGCCTAAATAACAAGAATACACTTGCTATGCTTTTTAATGACAGCTTGAAGAAGGAGATGGAAACAAGGCTACTCCAGCTATCAACAGAGTTTCAAGAAGCCACGGAATCTAGAATAGCTAGTACCACTCATAGAGTGATAAGGGAAAACATAGCAATCAACAATGAGGTGAGTTTTATATCTTGGCTACTGTAAGTTTCTCTTTTCCCATGACAGAGTTGTAAAAAACCTGGTCTTTTTCTGAAAAATGCAGCTTGATTTGATGCTAGTGTCAACCAAAGAACTGACAGAAGAAAACAGCCGTATGAGGGAGAAAGATAGAGAAATGAAATTGACAGTAGAGTTGCATGAAAAGGAGAAAAAAATGGCTCTTAACAGAAGTGAAATGCAAAGCAAGGCAAGTAATAACACCCAGTACAAAAAAAAAACTGCTGTCATGCAAGTATTTAACACTCTTAATTGTACTTGCTTATTTTATACAGCTTATAGACAGACTATCTGTGGAACATGCAAAGCTATCAACTCGTGTAAAAGAGCTGACACACTACCAATCACTGTCAGAACAGTATAAAAAACAATTATCTGAAGCTGAGGAACGGCATAATAATATGTGCACAGAAATGCGTAAACTTAAGAGCCAACTTTTCTCAAGTGCTTCTGAAAGAGAACATATGCTCCTGAAAGTGGCTAACATGCGTCAGTACGCAAACAGAGTGAACAGCACGTTACTTGCGGCAGTTAATGCTATTAAACAGGCATTGGAGGTATATGGTGTTTAATGTGAAGTCTCAGTTCTCTGACAGCAAACCTAAGTCTGTATCTTGAAAATGAAATTGTTTCAGATTCAAGACCATCCATCAGGAGATGAGCCACTTGATCTGGCTCTACGGGACAATCTGCTTGCAACACTGCTGGAAATGCTTACGAAATATGACTTGTGCAACCTGCAGCCAAATCCTAAGGAGACAGGGTCGTAAGTGAAACTGTTTTCAATGGAAAGTATGTATTCCTGAACTAAGTCATAGGGCCTCACAAGAATATTCTTTGCAGGTTATCAACCATACAGCTTTCACTTCTTGCAACATCTACATCTGCATCTGGATCTGCATACCGCAGCGGCGATTTGGGCCTCGTGCCACGAAAGGAGGAGACACACACACCCAGCACAGAACCAGATGCGCCAGTGGCACAGTGACAAGTATTAATTATAGGAGCAGTAAATGACCATAACAAATTATATTTAAAGCAATATATATAATACCAGCAATATATCATAAAGTAGATAATTGATTTTTATTTCATTACATATAACATTCATTACTTCTGTCCAAGGGCACGTGCACTTTGAGCCTGCTTTTTCTTCAGGTATCCAGGTCTTTCATAAGGATTTATTTCCCATTCCATTTTGTGGGAAGCCTTTTTGTACCTTTTCACCTTCTTTGCTTTGAGCCTATTCGATTTGCTATAAAGGAGGAGGAGCAGGAAAGGACATGATCAGCAAGTGCACTTAATTAGAATAAAAATCAGGCAAAAAGAAAGAAATACTAACCCGGAAATAGCCGGTGGCACATGCATCATGTTTCTCTTTTGGAAACTGGAAAATCTGTCAGCCAACAGATTGCCCTGTGGTTTTATAGAGCGTAAACTACCCTTCAAATCCGAGGCTAGATTAAAGTCCTCAGGCCGATCTTCAAACTTCCTTGGGCCAAGACGTCTTGTAGTGCCCACACTGGCTTCCCTGACAGCTTTCCGCTTCTGCGTCACTAAGTTCACTTTTTCTTGTGCCTCATCCAGGTCTTTCTGGATGCGTTTCAATCTGTAAGAAAATCATATCATCAGGTCAGGGTCAATATGCACATGCTCACATGCACAGGCCAATGCAAATGAAAAGCCAGAGTGACACTCACAAGTGAAGATCAGTCTGTTTCTTCTTCTCTGCTTTAGTTCGCTCCCTAACAGTTTTCTTGAGTTTCTCTTCTCTGGCTTTCCTTTTAGCTTTCAGATCTTTCTTTTTGTCTCTGTTTGTGGGCGGATTTATAGCCTTAAAATCTTTGTTGTCAGTAGGCTCTTCATCAGGTTTTGCAGCTTCTGCATCTAACACAGGCACACCTTGGCTCATTTCTTTCATCCAATCAGCCTGAAAAAAAACAAAATCTGGTTTAGGCAGAGGGAGATTTTACCTGTACAGCAGCAAACATTTTTTGTAAATGCTACTGAAGGATAAGTGTTTTAAAATACTGAAGAAAGTTTTGGTACTTAATGTTACTGTTAAAGGCAAGGAAATAAACACTGCAAGCTTTACCTCTGCTTGTTCTCTGGGAATCCTCTGGAACATATTGCTTGTAACTCTCTTTATATGCTTATCTTTCTTGATGAGCTCCATCTCCTTGTTGGCGATTGCCTGTAGTAACTCAGTGTGAGCAGAAAATGATGGATTGTATGATACTCCTGCAAACAAGAAGCCAATTTAATACCAGCTTTTGGTTTCTAAAGAACACCTCACCCAACAAGACAGCAATAATTTTAATGATACTTGGTAAGTACCTGGATGGGGGCTTTCTATTGCTGCTATTTTGCTAGGCTTGCTTCTCTTAGAATATCTGATGACCATCTCTTTCAATTTTGAGTTAGCAATATTGTGTTCTTTTGCAGGTTGCAGAACCCATTCGGAATTCATTTCACCTGGCAGCGGTTTATCTGCAGGGAAAGGGAAAGAAAATCCACCAATATGCCATCAATGCAGAATAAAATAATTAAAATTAAATTTGTTATGACAAACAACAAAAATCAGATGATTGAAATGAACGCACCTTCATCCCACAAATCTTTTGAAAAATCTCCAGGCTTAGGTTTGTTCCTTTTCTGTTGAGCATTATACTGCCTGCTTTCGTATACGGGTGATCTCTTTAGCTTTAAGAATGCCTTTAGATTTAAGTTCAGCTTCTTTCAGCCGCAACACGGGATGTTTGCGTTCTTCATCAGTACGGACCCTATTCCTGAGAAACACAATGAAATAGGGACCTTAGTACACAGTTGGCATGTTAAATTAAAAACAGGTATGTAATTTGCCTACTTACCTCTTGGCAATTGGATCTGGAACTTTGGAATCAGACTTTAAATTCGCAAAGCACCGTGGCGGTTGACTTGCAATTTTATTTCTGCGTTCCTTCTGGAAGCCCTCATATTTCTCCAAGTTGCTGGAGTCTGGAGCCGTATCGACAGTAAATAAATCCTCATCTTTACTATCTTTGAAAGAAACTCTGCAGAGAAAGCATTCGTTACATGTACAGTATGATCGCAAAGTACAGAACAAGAGGCCATGGGATGGCACACCAAGACCTCAAGTTCCGTAGATGAATGGAATAAAAAAAAGGCGCGAGTAGCTAGTACCAAAATGAGGTTTGAAAAGTCGTAAGATGACAGAAGTCTAACCAAAACAAAAAACTTTGTTTTGGAACATGCACAGGAGTAACCTCAAAACTTCACATAAACATACCCTAATCTTTCTTCTAGTCGCTTATCCTCCAAAAACTCTTCAACATCTCGAATATCAGTCTTCCGCCAAGCCTTTTTCGTCTTTTTGGAACCTTGTCGTTTTTTCACTTTAGTAACAGCCATTCTTGAAGTTTAGAATGGCTGCACAAAACCACGTTGTGCAGAGCCGACACAGACAGATGGACAGACAGACGACAGACAGACCGACCATAAAAGAAAAAGAAAAGAAGTTTACTTCTGATACCTGAATTTCTCATACAACAACATTTTATGATCGGAGCCTTCTACAAGACATAGAGCGCGTCAGTGTTGCCAGATTGGGCTATAAACCGAAATTGGCATTTAGAGGTCACCCCGGGAAAACAGGCAACCGCTGCGATTTATGATTTGGGCTAGCAAAGTCTGTGCAAAGGCATTTGGAGATTGCGGTAAATGGGCATTTGATTTCTGGGTTAGCGTTTCTTCCGACTGAAAAGCTCTATTAAATGATTGCTCTAATGACGTGGTGCTGATTGCATTCATAAATAGTATTCAGAAACTTTGCAGCTTTAGGTTTAAAGGCTATCATCCTTTCTGTCTGAAAATGAACCTCAAATTGAGCCATTTTTGAGCGCGTTCTGGGCATTGGAACCGCCGTATTTAGAACGATTTTCCTGCTTACCGCTTTCTACTCAAACTTTTGGTCAAACTGGAGCGCGTTCGAGTTAGTTTTGTTGAGAAAATGGCAGGCAAAAACACAAGTGGAATTGATACTAGAGGAGAATTAGCAGAGTTAGTGAAGAGAAAGCAGGAGATAGCGGTAATCATTTGATTTTGTACTTTATTTCCCACAACAATTTTATGTTGCATCATATGATGTGCTTAGATGCATTCATTAAAATCAGTCGACTGTATGGCAGCTAGGTTAAAGGCTCCATTTAGTTTGTTTGTTTTGAGATCCAAATAACATTTTTCTTCTGGAATTGATATTTAGAAAGGTTTCTACTAATATCCCTTTCTATCAAATTTATTGTTATCCTTTTGTTACTTTTCTGCTGACTTGGCTGCCTATTTCCTAAGTACAGACGTATAGATTCATGTATCTTTCTCCTTACTGTCAAAAGTCAATTTCCCACTACACTTACACTTGTTTGTGCTCAACATTCTCGTGGCATTTGGCATTTCTAAATGAATGTGTTTTTTTGTGTTTGTTTTGTTATCAGGATACTTTAGCAAACCTTGAAAGACAAATTTATGCCTTCGAGGGAAGTTACCTAGAAGATACTCAGCTGTATGGAAACATCATCAGGGGATGGGACCGTTATATTGCCAACAATAAAAACACCAACAGTAAAGCTGACAAAAGAAATCGCAAATTCAAAGAAGCAGAGCGTCTGTTTTCTAAATCATCAATTACGTCGATGGCTGTGAGTACTGAGTCAGAATTGTGTATTATTATTTAAATTTGTTATAGTAACTTTTTTGTAATAAGACATTATTTTTCCTTATTTTTTTAGGCTGTAAGTGGACTTGTTGATCAGTCTCAAGAGAAGTGTAAGTTCTTATTCCTTTTTTTGTTTCACTATATTTCTTATTTTGGTACCAAATAATTACTACATTTTTTTAATTCTTTAATTTAGCGGATCGCAACAGTGAGACAGAATCACATACAGGAAACAGTGGAAGTGAAGATAATGTATTGGTCCGCAAAGAGGCTGGAAAGAACACTACACTCGGGTCATCTCATACAAATGGATTAGGTAGGAGCTCAACTCCTGGTGTAAATGGGTCTGTAATGTTGGACCGTCCAGGATCCCCTCTTGGGAAAGATCCTAAAGGTGCACGCTCAACTGGAGTGAAGAAGAATTCAAACAAAAAAGCAAGATATCGTTAATTTTTTTTTAAAGATATATTTTGTACAATATGAACTTTACTTTACCTGTTTTTCATAAATGAAATGTCTGGATGGTTTACTTTCCTTGCTGTATAAAGCTTTGCTGTACATTTTATTGTTTTGTCCCCATCATTGAGTTTAATCATCAATTCCTGTAAAATCATTTCTTTTTATTGCTTTGTGATGAAAGCAAGCAGCTTCCAGAGTCTTTTGCCTTGAAAAAAGTGTTTGTATCAAGCCAATTTTAGATAAATTTCTTTTTACTGCTTGGAAGTCATTTTAAAAATTCTGAGTTGTATTTACCTGTCTGTATTTATTGTTGGTTCTCTGTTTGTATCAGGAATCTGAGTTGATCTCTCCCCATTTTTGTTTATTTCTAACGCTTTTTCTCAGTTTTCTTTTAGTGTGTAAATAAAGTGTGTGTACATATGTATAGTGTTATTATGGTTAGTAAAATGGTTCTTGAACAATTAGGACTTTAAAAATGTATACCTTCAGTACAAAATATTTCAAGTTCTAATTTACAAAATAACTGTTATTGGATGAAGTCAATAAATTAAAAATTAAACCTGCATTCTTTACTATCTTGATGTTTTCTAGACAGGGCAACAATACAAATTTTTCTGCTGATTCCAGCTTGTGGGAAGACGGTCGGTGGCGGTTTTTTTCTTTCAAGGTCCAGACGCAGGCGGCGGGGTGTAGTTGGGGTCCTTGGGGACGCACGCGCGCTGCAAGGTGTCTGGCACCACGTCGGCCGTCAGCTGGACCAGCTTGTCCAGGGGGCAGAAGTGGCCGCAGCCTTGGATGTGCAAGGGGTAGGGCGGCACCTCCGTCGAGTTCCTCAGGAACATCTGGCGAAACAAGAGCGGCCGCTTTGAGAACAACGTCCCAGCCCAGCGCACCCTAAGGTGGCGAGCGAAGCCCGCGATGCCGCAGGGGTGCGAGAGAGACAGACTGACGCGCTCCGCAGTCCCCACCCCCGGCAGGGAAGTTGACGCGATCTCTAGACGTACCTTGACGCCGTACTCGTGCGAGATGGGGTCCTCGTGCAGCTCCACGAGGGCGAGGATGCCGTAGCCGGGAATCTGCGTGTCCCACGCGCCCATGGCGATCAGGAAGTTGGCCACGGTGGAGTCGTGGCCGGCGTACGCGTACATGCGGCGCTCCGCCTTGAGCTTGCCGTTGGCGCGGTCCACGGAGTGCTGCAGCACGGTCTTGACGAGCGGGCCTGCGCACAGAGGGGCAGGGTACGGGGGCTGCCTACCCACCAGGCGGGTCGGGTAGGCAAGGTCATTGTTGCGCCAAAGCAAGCGCCGAACACGGATCAAACCGGTTCCAAACGGCTCATCGCGAAACGAACACATTCCCCTCGTCAGACGGTGTAGCGGAATGCGACACGCGTTCAAGTCTCTGACTGTCGCTGCTCCACATTCCGCCATCCTCCGCGCCGATGACACAGAACCACAGAACAAAAGGTGGTGGAAGTGGGGCAGAACGCACCTCCCTTGATGCGCTGCATCTCCCTGGTCATGACGTTGATCTCGAAGCTGAGCGCGGTGAGCTGCGTCAGCGCGTCGGGGTAGACCGTGCCGTTGGTCCAGTCGGGCAGCGCGAGGTTGAAGCCCTCCTGTAAGGGAACGCGGAACGTCAGTAAGCGCTCCGGTTTTGGCGGGAACCTAACTGGTCCTGAACGTGGCGAACCTCGGCTTTGAGAGTGCTGTACAGCGACTGGACATCATCGGGCGTGGCGATCTTCATGCCCGTCTTCTCGGTCAAGTAGTGGAGCAGCGGCTCGTTCTCCTTGAGGAGGGACACGACTGGCGGGGACTGCATCACCTCCTCCAGCATCTCGCCGTAACGCGCGCACGGAACGCGCACCAGCAGCAGCTGCAACAACGGCGACATGACTCAGGGCCTCGACGGCGTGCTCCCCCCCCCCTCTGCTTACATCGTCCTGGTCCAAGCTTTGGCTCTTGACGGCCACGGGCTGCCAGTCCAAACTGGAGTGCCAGCGCTGCTCTGGTGCGGGCGGCCAGAGCCCCGCCATGGACAGCATGGCGGACATCTGCGTCCTGGCGACGTCCGTGCTGTGGACCTCGACCACGTCGGGGTGGTACAGGTCGCCCAGGAAGGCGCCGTAGCGCCGCCGCATCCACTGCCCCTGTTCGTACTGGTCGCGCTTGCCGTTCTGCGCGGAGGGAAGCCAAGGTCAAGGTTACCGACAAACACGCGAGAACAGGAAGGGAAGAGGAACGAAACTGTCGTAGCCTCACCAGAGTCAGCTGGCCCCAGCCCACGGGGGCGAAGTTGAAGTTGACGTAAGGGTCGTTGGGGTACGTGTCAGCGGGGGTCCTCTGGCCGTGGCGGAACATCTGTCGACAAACCACGAGGTCATTGGAGCAACAGCAGCAGCCGGCCGAAACGACGTGCCGTCGCTGGAGCCGTCCACCTCACCCTCACCTAGGCCAGCGCGCCCAGCGCGCCCAGCGCCCCATAGGCAACCCGGCCGGCGGCGGCGTGGTGCTGTGCACTAGCAGCGCAGGCTGATTCCGAATCCGAACGACGTTCCATCTCCCTCTCTCTCGCACCTACACAGGATGCCCGTAGGAGTGCGAAAGAGACAGAGCGGCGACCGCTGTGTGTGAAACCAGCCTGCTCTGGGCCACCACCTGCCCGGGTCGCTAATCATTTTTGGCGGCGCGCTGTCGTCTGGTTCGTGCCGCAGTCCACTTCATGCAGGCCGCGCAGGCCATGTCCATCGTTACGTAAGCAGTGCATGCGCCGTGCCGCCTTGCCGCCCTGCCGCGCGAGGCGGTGCAGCGGGACCGCGATAGGAGCGCCTTTATCGGCCACTTCGTAGAGCCCGGCGCGAGGCGCGAAGCCTCCGCGGGAAGAACAGATAAAACACTTGAACAAATACGCGCCAAACACGCGGCGCCAAGATTGGCGAACCTGAGCACTTGGTCGGCGGCGACGAGTCGAGGCAGGTACTCACCACGTGCAGCAGGCGGAGCGTCGACGTGTCGTAGTGGTCCCCGTTGCCGTGCTGCTTGTCCGGCACGGCGTCGTGCTCCATGCCCTCGACGGGCACGTCGCCGAGCACGGCGCTGAGCATGGGCACGCGCTTCAGGTCCACGAGGACCTCCTTGTCCTGCGCGGCGACGGCGCTGCAGGCCGCGGCCAACGCGACCAAGGCGATGGCGGCGCGCATGGCGGTGTGTGCGGCGGTTCGGCGGGGCTGTTCAGGACGCAGCGAGACGCTGATGCGGCGCGGAGCCGGCGAGACGCAGTCGCTGTCACCACAGCGCGCCACACCGGGTCGTTATATAGCGGCGGGGACGGCTTGATGCCGGCTTGATGGGGTGGCGGTGAAGCTGGGCTGGGCTGCCCTCGACCTTGAGGCTGGCGGCGATGGTGCTGTGCGGATGTGGCCCCGCCCCTGCCCCGGCCAGCCCCGCCCCCTGGACGCTGGATCCGCTGGACGTGATGTGGAGGCTGGACTGCGCGACTGCGCGAGCGGCGCGCGGCGCGACCGCGACCGGCCCCAGCGGAGGGGATCGCGAATCGCCGACAAAGGTGACGTGACGTGACGGCACCCCCGCGACCGCGGACTCTGCCAGTCTGCACGGCGCCTCGCGACGGTGCGGCGCGGCGTCCGTCGGCAGAGCGTCGCGGCGCGGGGACGCGGACTGACGGACGGACGCGGAGCGTGCAGCGCGCTGGCATTCCCTCGTGACACTCTGACGTCGAGGCCTCGCCTCGGTCGAGGCTCGCGGCTCCCTGCGGTCGTGACGGCTTGGCGCAGCGCCTGCCACCAGCAGACTGATTCCGAGAGTCGCTCTTGTCACTTTGTCTCTCTCTCGCACTCATGGGCCGACCTGAAGGTGCGAGAGAGACAGAACGATGGAAACGACTCTCGGAATCGGTCCGCAGCTCGCGTCCTCCCCAGCCCAATGCCACGGCCAGTGCCACGGGCAAGGTTGCCGTGTATCGCAGAGATACGGTTTCGGCCGGTCGCATGCGGGCCTCTTTGCCGTGGCGTTCCGGTGCCTGGGAGGAGGTCCTTTCCGCGAGGCAGCGCTGCCCGTCATCTCTACAGTCCCATTTTGAACGGTAGAGCTTCACCGCTCTGTGTCTCTCGCATCCTTACGGAACGCTCCATGAGTGCGAGAGGGACAGAGCGACGAAGGCACTGTACAGAAGCGTCCTCGGGGGGTCAGACTCGGGTCAGGCGGTCGCTCGGAGTGTCGACCCCAGACTGGTTTATTCTCCTCCAGCGCCTCCTCGACGCCCTTCCCCTTCCCGACGCGGCCACAAAACTCGCAGAAATAGCTCCGTGTTTACAGAGGTCACTCCGATCGGAATCCAAATGAGCCCGTTTTCTGCCGTTTTCCCTTTAGACGGACTCAGCTTCGACGAGCGTGTGCGTGCCCGCAGCTTCGGAGTGACAAAGGTTATCCCGGCCGCGACCGGCCTGGACGCGCCACGCGCCCTGAACCCGAACGAACGACGACACACTGTGTGTCTGCCTTCTGGGACACAACGGCCGAATGAAACTGCCAAGTGTATTACACTGTTTATTTACCTAATATAAAATATGCAACAAGATCAGAAAACAAGGTGGACGCGGACGGTTGGCTCACGCGACTTCTTCTTCGCGGCCTTGACGGCCTTGACTTTGACGTCGACGTCGGCCTAAATGGCGGCCACCACATCCTCGAGGCACACGCCCCTCAGCGCGTCCACAAACAGCTCCCTCTGCAGCAGGTCCCCCCTGGCGGCGCACAGGACGGGCAGGGCCAGCAGCACGACGCGGTGCTGGGTGGTGCGAAGCACCTCGCCGCACACCCGCTCCTGCCAGGAAAGCGCGCGAGCACGCTCCGCGTCGGTCGCCAGCAGGTCTGCGACAGGCATGCCGCGGGTGTAATGTTGAAACCCCCGCTCCACTCTACGCTCTGCTCGGCTCTGCTAAAACACGAGGCAGTCGACCACCAACCTGGCCGGGCGAGGATGACGGACTCGAGGAGGTCGACCTGCAGCGCGTCCAAACTCAGCCCCTGCAGGTACCGCAGACCGCCGCACACCGCGCCGCTGCACCCCGCCACTGTGGAAAAAGAAAATGTTACAGCGGGGCGGACTTTCGTTGGCCTAGTTTCATCGTGGACCTCCGACGTACTCTCCAGCAGGGACGCCAGGTCCAGGTTCGCCATGGCGGTGCTGGCGTTGAGCATGAAGATGGAGGCCCAGACGGTCCTCAGGATGGCGTCCTGCGCCGACCGGTGCAGCGTCCGCAGCCCCTCGTGGTTGCGCGCGCGGCGCAGGCCAATGAGCAGCACCTGCGCCGACACCTCGCGCGCCCACAGCGACCCCGGGGTCGGGGGCAGCAGGGCGGCGGGGGCGGCGGGGGGCAGCGAGGGCAGTCGCGCCACGCCGCAGAAGGCCCGGGCCGCCGGCGGGGGTGCCGACGAGAGCGAGGGCACGGTCTCGGCGAGGGCCATCGCGAACGCCGGCCCCGGTTCTGGAATCCGAGCAGAGCAGTGGTCAAGCCGCGCAGACCGGCAGCCTCGAGTCGCCGCGGACGACAACCTACCCGAGATGACGTCGGTGGCGAAGGGGGCAGGCGCACCCGCAGCGCCGCCAGGGCTGGCCCTGCCGCAGCCGGACTCGCCCTGCGACTGGGACTCGGACTCCGGCGACTCCGGGGACCAGTGGCCCGGCGGCGAGGACGACGTCGTGGTGGACACGCCGCAGCAGGCCGCCTGGGGGTGGCGCTGCGACTCTGCCTCCAGCTTGGTCCTGAGCGTCTTGGCCTTCCTGGGGCCTCGCTCCTGCTGCACCGCTGCGTACAGCACGACCGCCAACTCGGCGTCAAATTGGGCAGCGCGAGGACAACCGGAGAACACGCCGTGGACACACGACACGCGTTGTCTTGGGCGGCGTTGAGGGCGAGGGCGATTTTTCTTGTGCTGTCACCACCTCACCCTCCAGGCCCGAGGCATGCAGAGGTGAGGTGACCACACATGGCTGGGGGTGGCGCGCCTAGGGTGGCGCGGCGCGCGGAGCCGGAAGGAGGCCACCTAGAGGCAGCGGACCGTGTCGCCGCGCACCGCGCTCCCACACCGAGTCATGCAGTCCTTCATCCATCACGCCCCGTTTGCCCTCAATTAATGTCAACAACGGACGCGGCGCGGCTGTGATTTTCGGTCGCCCGCGGTTTTCCTGGGAATTTGAACCGTCGTCCTTGCGACGCGCACTCGGCATGCGCGCGGAAACACGTAAGAGCGCTGCCCGTGGGGTGGGGTTAGGAAACGGTCGCAGGGATATTACATTTTTAACACGAAATAAGCAAGCACTCCGCGAACCCCACTTTTCCGGCGAACGCACGATCGCACGCGCCGTGGAGAGCCTCTCTTCGCCCTTCAGCCAGGCTTCAGCCTTATCGCTGGTCAAACCGATCTAACAAGGGGCGCCACGCGTGCGCCCAGGCGCCGCCCTGGCGCCGCCCGGGAACCGTGTTTGGGCTGCCCTTCAGAGTGACACTCTGCAACACCTCAATCAGTGCCCCGGGCCGGCCTGGCCGACAAAGGGCCGCCCCCGGGGCCGCCCCCGCCTCAAGGACCCGGCCTACGTATGCGCCGCCACCGCGGCCAGGGCGGCCAGGGCGCCGCGTTGACAGCCGATGTTTGAGTCATGGGCGCCGGGCACGTGACCGAGGCGGCCGCTGTCAAAACCGGACGTCCGCCGCTCCGCCGCCAGGTTACCGCCATTGTGTGCGCCCCAGCCCCGCTAGCCCTGCTAGCCCCTTGTTCACCTTTCACCCGGCCGGCCGGACCGCCCAGTGTGATAAAGGAGGGGTCGATTCGAACACTCGAACGCGGCGATCGGGGAGATCCCTTCACCTTCAACAGCGTCGCTTTGCCCCGCTTTGCCCCGCTTTGCACGCAGCTACACTCGAGGGAAAAGCGTGCGCACAATTTTCCGACCCTCACGAGTTTTCGATTTCTAGTGCTACTACCCGCTGGGAAAAGATCTTCACCGTGTTTCCTGCTGTTGAAATACAGGCAGGACACTTTCGCTCGCTGTCGCGGCTTTCACCCTGGGTAAATGAACACTCGTTATAAGGCCCCCACGAACACTGTCTAACTTCTACCCTTGCGGACCATTTAGCTGCGCGAGGCGTTGAAGTTGCCTTACCCGCGGCGTTCATCCTGGCCTGGAAGCACTTCTGCAGGCGGCAGTAGGGGCACCAGTTGCGCCGCGTCTTGTCGACGGCGCACATCCCCCGCCCCGCTGTCGGGAAAGAAAGAGACGCACTTTGCAAACACGCGCTCACTTTCAACGGGACTCTCCCGCGGGCGTGACAAAGACAGAGCCAAGACTCACAGATGCAGATGTAGACGGCGTTGCGCCGCACGCTGCGCTTGAAGAAGCAGGAGCAGCCGTCGCAGCAGAAGGCGCCGTAGTGCTTGCCGAAGGACTTGTCGCCGCACACCTTGCAGGCCACGGGCACGGGCAGCGCGCGACCTGCGGCAAGCGCAGCAGGGGTTGCCTATCTGCAGGCGGATTCTGAAAGACGTTTGCGACGCTCTGTCTCTCTCGCACTCATGGGGCGTCCCCTTAGGTGCGAGAGAGGCAGAGCGATGCAACCACTGTTGCGGGTCGGCCCGCGGGCGGGCGGGCCGTGCCCGATGGGCTGCCTACAGTGCGGGCGATGCGCCGGTTGGGTTGCCTACCGTGCGGGCGCAAAGGCTCGCCGCGCCGCGACGTACGTACCCATGGAGTGCTGTGTCGTGGCCGTTCCCGTCGAGGATTTGCTGCACTGTGGCAGACACCAAGACGCCCCTGCGCCCGGTGCGTCCAGGTGTCCAGGGTGGCGCTGGGGGCGGTGCCGGGGGCGGCGCCAACGCGGAGGGCGGCGGCGTCCGAGGGCGGCCCCGGCCAATGGCACGGCGCAGGGCGCAGGGCAGCCACCCCCACCCACCCCTCGTCGAGGTTCCCACGGAGCGGCCGCGCGAACCGCGCTCCGCCCCGCACTCGATTTTCGAAGGGCGAAAGGCGGACTTCCCTGTGTCCATTTTCCAAGTCGCGCGCGCGCTTCCGCACCTTAGAGTCTTAAAATGGAACAATTTGTATCCGGGGATGCCGCGCGCTGTGAGTCACTCTGCAGGTGTTTTGTGTTTTACGCGGTCTGGGTCGCTGTCGCTGTGTGTTCAAAGGTGACTGTGCGTCGAAGTGAGTCGTCGGGCTGACTCGGCTGCGTTTCGGCCGTCCTCAGCGCTCTGCATGGCTGAGCATGGCTGTGCATCTTAGTGCCCCAGCACTGAGGCACTGTAAGTACTACTCTGAGTCACATCCGCGGCCTGCTTGCGCTCGCTCGCCTTTGTCCGGACTGTTTCCACCGCGTCGCTGCAGTCGCTGCCCGCCGGCGGTCATCGAGCAGGCTCGCTGTCTCTCTCGCACTCACGGGACGTTCCGCTGGGGTGCGAGAGAGACGGCGCGACGAAGCGCTGTTCGGACTCAGCCTTCAGGCAGCAGCGCGGGCCTTGCACCGCGGCCAAGTGACAGGCCAAAGACTCCCCCTCCCCCTCTCCAGCCCGCCGCCCCGCCGGTCCGTCGCGCGAATTCTCGCACTATCAAGTCAACAAGGTTTATCAGATGTGTGTCGCGGTTGCCAATTCTGGCGCTGCCTTTCGACCCGCGTTAAATTTGTGGTCCGCGCGGCGTTGCCGCTGCCGCTGGTGCACCCCGAGGACGATGCCTCTGTTTTGGCCGTGCGGGGCCGCCGCTGCAGTCGTCGCTCTGTCTCTCTCGCTCCCGTACGGAGCACCCCGTGAGTGCGAGAGAGACAGGCTGTTCGGAATCCGCCTGCCAGCGCCCCGGCCACAGTCAACTCAGCTGATTCGGTGTATCGCGGTGGCCAGCCGCGGGCCGCGGGGCACACTGCAGTGATAGTCTTATCTAGCACGGTCCTCCAGCCGCTCGCCGCGCCTCGCCACCGGAACACCCCGCGCCGCCGCGCCACAGGGACCCCGCCGAACGTGCCGTGCCGCCGTTGTGTGCGAACAAAGTGTAGTGGTACTTGGCAACTCGCGGCCCCGCCGACCCGCCCCGCCGACGTCGAGGCGCAGCAGTCTTTGCAGGAAATGAGGCTGCCGCGGCGCGGAGGCTCGGTGGGGGCAAGGCAGGCAAGGTCAGCAGCTGCGCCGCGGCACTCGCGGGTCGCCGTTCTGCTACCCGCGGTTCGGTTCGAACTCGCGACCGCGTGGTCGGGGAGATGTGCTGCAGACTGATTCCGAGAGTTGTTTTCGTTTGCTCTCATAGGGCGTCCCTTGTTGGTGCGAGAGAGACTGGACTACGAAAACGACTCTCGGAATAAGTCTTTGGCGCTGCTGACGCTGGTCTTCGCCTGTAGCGTCTGCCCGGCCGGACAGCCCCCATGGCCCCCATGGCTAAGCCACGACTCGACTGGCGGCCCCTAGCGGCCCCGCCTCGCCTTCCTCACCCGCAGCAAAGGCCCCGAATCCGAATCATTTTTCCAAAGAAATGCGGGAATCACTCGCCCTCTCTCTCCATGTGAGAGAGACCCAGAATGGCCCCCACGATACGGGCGGCGAAGTCTATCGGGAAAGTGCAGGGAGCTGTCCACTCTCGACTGCCGATGACCTTCCCTTCCCTACACTATCTGCTTTGCTTGGCCGAGGAGGGTGAAAGCTTCTGGAGATGCGCGCGCGCTGCATCGGGTGCGTGGACTTGCCGCTGTGTCTCTCTCACTCCCGCCTACAGGTTCCCCGTGAGTGCAACAGAGAGAGAGGCAGCAGTGATTGGGGCACCCTGCTCGCAGACGCTCCCCGCCATGTTTTCGTGGCTTGGTCTGGCCGCCCCGGGGGCCGCCCGGCCCCGCCAGGGCCCCGCGCACCAACCAGATAAGGTACATAATAAAGTGACAAGGGGCACGGGCACGGGGTGGGGCACGTGGCAGTGGTGCGACGCGTCCCGCCGCGGCTAGGTCGTCAGCGTTTGGCGCGGACCCACCGCTACTTCGGCGCAGACACATTTGGCTTCCTCTTCGTCGCAGTCGTGTTTCAAAACAAAATCATTTCCAATCTCGTCATTCCCCGTGTACCATTGTTGGTTGGTGCAGCGCAGGAGGAGAGAGGGGGAAGAACCGGACGAACCGTTCGGTGTTATCACAATAAACGTTTATTTGTTTACCGACTGCTGCACATTACACACTCACACACACTCACACACACACACATAGACAGAGGGGCGCAGTCTGTGCAGTAAAAAAAGTGACGCGGATCTGTCAGATAGGCAACAAGAGAAACACTCGTTCGGCACAAAAGTACAATCCAATAAACCTGACTTACAAATTAACGAAAGGACGACCGGCGCGGCCGGAACGATCAGACTCCCGTCGCGAATAAACTCCCATCGAACAAAGCAGCAGCCATTGAAAATGGGCCCACGCTCGCACACTCCACACGACACATTAGGGATATAAAACAAAAACAATAAAATGGAGATCGCGCGAGATGCAGTGGGGACGTCGCGGCCGTTCGCTACGCCACTGTCACAGCGCGGCGAGTCACGGACCCCAACACGGTGCAGCGGCGTAGCCACGCTCAAGTCTCAAGTGAAAAGTGCGCCCCCGCCGGCTCAGTACACTTTGAGCTGGTTCTTCTCGTCGAAGCCGGCCGAGTGGCCCGCGTTGCGCACGATGAAGCTGGCGCCGTCGTAGTGCATGCGCCGCTCGCCGCGCCGCACGAACAAGTGCGACGTCTGGCCCAGCGACGCCGTGCAGTGCAGGAAGGGCGTCGTCAGCGACGCCGTGCCGTTGGAGGGCGACGTCCGCACCTGGTACTTGTTGCTGTTCCGCGCCACCCTGCCGAGGCGAGGCCATCCGCCGAGGACAGGACGGGCGTGTTTACAAACAGGACGGCCAACGTGCCGCAAGGCGGGTCAGAAGACCAGCGCCGTCGGCCAAAACTCTCAGACGCGTTTTGAGCTTCAGAATCGCTAAACAGGACTCGAACCGAGCGTGTGACCCTACCAATGGATTCCTCGCTCGGAGAGCGATCCATTGATGGGGTCACACGTTCGGTTCGAGTCGCATTTAGCGACTCTGGGATTTTGACCGCCCTCACCTGACGAGTCCGTCGGCCGTCTGCGACACGCGGACGCCGTTGATGAGCCAGTTCTCCACGCCCTCGTCCGTCACCCAGTACTGGCCGGACTCGAGCAGGTTGATGGCCTCGGACACGTAGGACGGGCCGTGCCGCGAGTCGTTGTAGAACACGGACAGCGACAGGTCTTGCGACATGTCCGAGAAGTTGTCCGTCGTGGTGCGCGTGCCCGCCGTGTCCACCAAGTACACCAGCGCGCACTGCTCCGACGTGAAGCTCACCCCCTTGTACCACATCTTGGCGAACCTGAGGGCAAAAATGAATGGAGCTTTGTAAGTTGGGCGCGGAGGGCGAGACGCTCCCCCAGGATGGCCACTTACTTGTTGTTGCCGCGAGAGTCGTGCGCCAGGATCTCGACGCGGCTGCCGTACTGGTACGTCCTGCCGTTGGGGTGCAGCAGCGCGGCGGACGCCCCGTTGCCGCCCAGCGCCAGCACGATGTTGTTCTGCGGCAGCATGGCGGCAGCGCGCGGGGCATCAAAGCACGCACTGCGGCAGCACGGCAGCACTCGCCGCCGCATCCCCGTGTCTCACCTTGAGGTTGATGACCCTCACGGCCCTGTCCACGCTCATGTCCACCCTGATGCGGTCGTGCAGCCGCAGCGACATGGTGCCGTGCGGCGTGGCCACCGCCGTGCCCGATGCGCCCGCCGCCTCCGTCTCCCTCCACGGGCAGGACTCGCGCCACTCCTGTGTTCGAATACCGGCCGTTTCAGTGTTTTCATTTTCGTTGGGTGTTTTAAGGGCGGGATCACGGGCTGCCTGGAAGCGCCTGCGAAGGTGTGGGTAGGCCGTGCCGTTACACTGCAGAGTGCTGCGGGACTGCCTACCCACACCTTCGCAGGCGCTGGCAGGCGGCGCCGCGCGCCGCACGGCCGTGCGCCCCGTGGGTGCGAGAGAGACAGAACGGCTGCCGGACGCCCTCACCGAGTAGATGCAGGGCTCGTCTGCGGGGAAGAAGGGGAGCGGCGGCAGCAGCGGGGTGGGCGCCAGCGAGGACGGCCCGAGGGGCTGGGGCAGCGGGGGCAGCGGGGGCGCCATGGCTTGCTTGGGGGGGCCTGGCGCGGGCCGCGGCTGCCGCCACAGGGGCGCGGGCGCCAGCGGGCCCGGGGACCAGGGCTCCAGGACGGCGTCGTACATGGGGTGGAAGTCGGGGAATCGCTGTGGGCCCACAAGCCGCCGGCTGAGGGGGCTGCGCCATGGCTGCGCCCCCGGCTGGGCCAAGGGCCCCCAAAGGCTGCAGGGCGTGGGCTAACCTGGCAGTCGTCCTCGGGCTGGAAGGCGTGCCCGCCGCAGAGGGGCCGCGCCCGCATCGTGGGGATGGCCATGGGGGCCAGGCGGTACATGTGCTCCTTGCGGTAGTCCCCCGCGCCGAAGTTCGCCATGCCTGCCTCGCCGAGATCAAATCGGCAACGCGCTCAGTCACCGCTCGGCCTCATCCGCAACCCCTGGGACTAGGAGACGGCGAGCTGCAACCGCTGGGGCTGTGGGGGCTGCGCGGCCTGCGCCTGGCATAACGCCGGGCCTGGCTCATCCAGGATAGGCATTGTTGGGCCGCCGCCCTGTTGCCGCCCCGGTGCCAGTGCGGTGCCCACCCTCATCCGTCGGCTTTGTACAAGGCTTAGCTCTCCCTCCACCAAGTTCCCTCCAGTTCCTTCAGACTTCAGGTCAGGTCAGGTGCCCGCCGACAGGTGCTCGCATGCGAGGTCAACTCACATTTCTTTGCCAATTGTACATGAGGAAAAGGGCTTCTTCTTCAAAAAAGCAAAGGACAACTTATAGAAATGTTACTTTATTTGTTCACAGATCATAGCAATACAAGGACAGACATTTCACACTTTGTTATGTCTCAATATTGCGTTGTTTCCCTATTCATTAACTACTTATCCTATAGAGTATAAAAGGGGGGGGGGGGAAAGAATATCCAAAACTTTGTGACCGATATGGATGCAGAAAGTTAGATCAAAAGAACATTAATTTTTCAAATAGAAAACAATTGTAAGGGGAGGGTTGAAAATAAAAGAGGCAGGGGTACACTTCAGGGATTAACTTAATTAAAACTATAAAAGCAATGACAATACAGTACACCCCACTTCCTTAATCACAGCTCAGTTTTAACTCATTAGAGTATACTTCTCATGTAGCATGGCCACTTCACCTAATAGTTTTGTCAGAAAGGACTAGCAATATACTACAAATGTAATCAGTTATTTTAAAACAAATCACTTCTGTTCAAGAAAAGAAAAAAGGATAACTGAGCTAAAAGGTTTTATACACAATAATTGTGTTACAAAATTGGTAAAGAAATCCTGAAAAATCCTGGGGACAATAAAATAAGAGAGAAAGAAATAAACATTGATGTTTTGACAAAGGGCTCGAGTTTATTATTTCTGAGGTGCTTGGGCCTTCCACACACGTTCTTGACAATGGTGAAGGGTTCCTGGACCACAAGCTCGGGCATTTTCTTCACTTTGACACCAGTATCCTGGACCCCAGGTGCACTTGCGACCTCCAAGCAGACTGGGTGCAGCTGAGGCTTGGCTACATACTCCAATCTTGCTGCAAATCAGATGCGAAGCACCAGGGAACTGTAAACAGAAGAGCATATACATGTAAATAAAAAGAGTTTTTTGTTTAAAAGTTACGGAGCAAATTATGGTACATTTTATGGTCACAAACCTGAGCAATGATGTTCTGGATGCTGGGTCCATAAACCTTGATGAAGTCTTTGCATTTGTGGTACTGCTTGCCTGGAAGGACCTGACAGGCCTTTGCAAGAAGTTCATCAACTTCCTCCTGCACTGTGGGGTCACGCAGATAGGTATCAAGTGCTTGAACGATGCCCTCGCACAGTGCACACTGCTCCACATTTTTCCTGGTATGTTGTTGAAGGACACTCAGAGCCACACGGTCAGAGTAGTATCCATTAGCATGGCACAGTTTCAGCTCAGTGCAAATTTCCTTGGGGTTCAGCTCTTGAGCGAGGAGAGAAATGACGAGGTCTGCATACTCATCAACAAATTTGTTACACTGCGGACGAACAGAATTGGGAAGGTGATCACAAATTCTATGAACAACAGCCTTGATTTGTTCTTCAGAAGGCTTGTCCTTCAACATGGAATCAATGCGAGCCATGGCAAATTCGCAAATCACACATTGAGGGTCATCCTTCACAGTCTTCTGGAGCTTCTCATTCTCATATTGAGGAATTTCATTGGTCAACACATCACCAGCCACAGGTTCCTCAGAGGATTTGTTCGCACTGCACAAATTGATGTAGACGCAAACTTCTTGGGGAGAGAAGTCGGCCACCAAAGCATCCACAAGCTGCTTTGAGTAAACTTCAACAAAGTTATCACATTCACCAATGAGGGACTTGGGAAGATGGGCGCAAAGAGACTCCAGTGCAGCCTTAACGGATTCTTCAGTTTTGTTGTCCTTGACGATGGTTTCCAGTTGAGTAACAGCAAGAAGGCACAAGGGGCAGCCAGGCTTGTCATCAACCTTCTCAGAGCTCTCAGACCCAACAACAACAATGCGGCTGTCGTCCTGAGATGGACAGAAGCCCAGCTTTGGGCAAACAACCGATGGATCAACTTCCTGAACCAAAATAGCAATGAAAGCATTGCCATAAGCATCCACAAAGTCCTTGCATTGAGTATTGATAGTTTTGGGAAGACGATCACAAGCTCTTTCAACAACAGACTTGACCTTTTCTACAGATTTCTCTGAAGCCAATTCCGTTTGGACATAGTGCAAGAAGTATTCGCAGAATTCGCAGATTTGCTTGTTTCCTCCGACGTTGACAAGAACATGAGGAATCATCCTCTCAATAGGCAGTTGTTGAAGGGCAGGGTTGACCACATCGACACTAGCGGAATCTGAACTGACTGTGATTTCAACAATAGGGTCAACGGGGGCCCTCAGATCTGCTGTACTGATGGTTTCTACATCCACTTCGGCAGGCAGGAGAGGCCAGATGGGAGTCTGAGAGTGGCCAGGGCTTGGGCAGAGACCAGCAAATGAGCAGATTTCTTTACCGTCAAGGCTGTTGACGAGGAAGTTGTAGAACATGCCGTAGTACTCAGTCACCAAACTCATGCATTCACTCCTGACTGATGGCTTCATTTGCTTGCAAAGACCTTCCAGGACCTAAAGTAAAAAGAAGACATACAATGTCATACCCACAAACAGACTATTGAAAGATCAAAATAAATTCAATTTACCTGCTGGAATTCAGATTCTGTTGTGTTTGCGACCAAGATGTCACGAAGGTGCTGAACCATCCTCTCACAAAATTGGCAAGTCATGTTGTCCCCGATTGGCACAACTCCAACTTGACCCACAGAAACAATGTCAACATTGACCTGGGACTTCTCAGTCTCCCCAGCGCTGCAATACTGCATCATTTCACAGGCGTCTTCTGGTGCAACTGTAAGGCTTTCCTGCATTAACTGACGAATAGCAGGGAACTTGGTCAAAAGAATAGCAGAGCAACCATCGGAATAACTGCCCAGCCTTCCGCAACCTTCAAGGAACAAATGCACCAAAGCATCGCGGTCTGACATCTGCCATTTCTTCTGCAGCTTCTCCATGGAGTGGGTGCAGACCTTGCAATCAGACTTGGCTTCAACTTTGGGTTTGAAGACAGCCACAGAGGATCCAGGCCTCTCCAGAGGCACCTTGACCACCTTCCCTTGGGCAGCCAGCAGACGATCAATCTCAGCACTGTTGCACAGCCCAGCCACGGAGCACACCACCTGGGGGTTCATCTGCGAGGCGAGGGTCTCCACCAGCTCGGGGATGAACTCGTCCACCAGCTTGTCGCAGCCCTTGGCCACGGGCTTGAGGGGGATGAGGTTGCACGAGCCCTCGAACACCTCCTTGAGCTCCTCCTGCGTCTCGTTGCTCTGCAGCTGGTCGCGGGCCTGCTTCACCATGTTCTTGCACAGGGTGCAGATGTCGTCGTTGTCCTCGGGCAGCTGGAGGTGCTCCCACACCCCCTGGATGCAGTGCGTGACGGCGTTGCAGCCTGCGGCCGTCGTCAGGTTCCGGCACCAGTAGGACGGGCCAGAAACGCACTTCACATCCTTGGGGCCCTTGCCCCGGCCCTGGGGCCTGTCGGCCGGGCCTGCGTAGGCCATGGCGCACAAGGCCGCCAGCGCCAACGCCAGCGCGATCGCCTTGGCCGGCATGACGGCGATGGCACGGAGCGACGACGATTAACGAATAAGTCCAGTCGCGGCCGCGAACGACTTCACTCGGGCAGATCACTTTGTTCACTGACGGTTGCTGGATGACACAACACACAATGAAAACCAGGAACAACAACAAGACTACGCCTCATCCCCCCACCCCTACTACACAGCTGGCCAACCGACGAACAAAAAACAAGGGTCGCTGCTTGGCTTATTTGTGGACTAATGTAACGTGGATGGTGTTGAATAAATCATTTTTTCGGGTGCCTGCAAAGCTACCTTTAGCTTGCTTTAGTGGCTTGAACACTGTAAAAAAAATATTAGGAGTGCTTGTGTTGGCAACAGTAAATAGATCTGACCGTAGAATTCGCCATAGCGAGCGGGGCCAGCAGACGAAAAATTAGATGCAGTTGATAGTCTCCTGCCGTACGGGTCACCAGCTTTTTGCTGCCGTAACTGCCCGTGTCATCCCACAGTTGTTTGAGGCGAATCGGCTGTGCTTCTCGAGGAACATGTCGACCAAGACCGTGCTCGCCCTGCTCACGGAAGGCACCGAGGAGATGGAGCTCGTCATCTCCGTGGACGTGCTGCGCCGGGCCGGGGTAGGCGTCTGCTTCCAGTGTACCAGTGTATTGACGTACTTGTCACACTGCTTTGTGTGGCAGCTCGTCCTTGTCACGTCGTGAGCCTCTCGTGTTCCAGGTGAACGTCACTGTTGCCGGCCTGGGCGCGGGGAGCGTGTACAAATGCAGCCGGGGTGTGCTTGTCAGCTCTGACACGACCCTGGATGATGCCCTGTCGAAAGGGCCCTACGATGTCGTGCTCCTTCCAGGTGGACCAGGTCACAAAGATTTCTCGTCTGTAAGTTTTTGTTCTGTTCTGCTCAATCACTTTATTTGCATTTGTTGAAACTGTATTTCATTTTTTGTGCACCTCTTTCATGTTTGCTTGAAGTCAGAGAAAGTGGGTTCGATTTTGAAAGAGCAAGAAAAAAGTGGCCGCCTCATTGCTGCGATTTGCGCAGGTAAATTCAAGTTAGAAGTAACGAGCTGCATTTATGTTGGTTTTGTCGTTGTAGACCAACTATTGAACAATCATTTTCTGGTGAAGCGAAAAGCCTTAACAAGTTTATCATTTTGTTGCAGCCCCTATAGCACTGAAGGCCCACAATGTTTGCACTAACAAAAAAGTTACATGCTATCCATCTGTCAAAGACCAAATGCTAGAAGGTGGTGCATACACGTATGTTGAAAGCAAAGTTGTTGTTGATGGTGAGTAACTCTTTTCTTATCAGCATTCAAAGCTTGTTCAATCCCACTTCCAAACCCTTGACGAAAATATCATCACCCTACTTGCGTTACATAGCTATGTATACAATATTAATTTTACAAAAAGAAATTCGTAACTTATAATTTAATTCCTTCTACCCTTTTCTCCTGTAGGAAAACTTATAACCAGTCAGGGACCCGGAACAGCCTATGACTTTGCTTTGGCTGTTGCTGAGCAGCTTTTGGGGAAAGATGCAGTTACACCCGTTGCCAAAGCACTTCTCCTTTAAGTAAATTTATTGTACGTGTTTCATGAACATATCTATGGGTACAGTTTGTCAAATAAAGTAAGGTTCTTTTCTTTTACATTCCTTATTAGTTTATTTTTATAAATAAAAAATTTAATAAAGAGATACCTGCTGGTCATAATATACTTAGTTGGCCAAACAAATCACTGAAGTTATCACATCCATTGGCATAATGGTGCTCAACAAGCACATAATGAACTAACGTTAATTTTAACTATACATACGTAAGAAAACAATCACTGGTAAAAGCTTAAAACATAATACAAAATATAAATCTCCTAAAGCAGACATATTATTCTATAAGATATGATTGTGAAAAAAAAAAAATATGATTTGTAATAGGAAACTGTGATGGGTCATTTATAAAACAGCGCTTGTAAAAAATATACAAAACTACATTTGAAATTTATGCAGTTGTACGTTGAACATTCTTCGAGAGTAGTGCATTACGCACACATCTCATTGTTTCTTTTTAGTGAGCGCAGCATCCAAAGCTTTCAAGGCAATGGGCACGTTCAGTTGATTCACAATGTGTCGGAACTCTAACAAAGTTACTTTTTTATCAAACTGAAAAAAAACAAAACAAAAAAACATAACATTACACAACAAATTTCTACTGAAAATTAAAATGTGGGGAACTTTGCTTCTTGTAGTCTTACCTCAAGGAAGTTTAGAAGACATTTAGTAGGGCTTGCTACATTGGAAAATGTTGCAACTAGAAAAGTACAATTGAGCTTTTGACAAACAGTCTTCCATTTATCATCTTTATCCAGATTTTCCACAAGAGTATTTAAGGTGACTTTGTCTAAACCAAAGACTTCTGTAATCGACACATAAAATTCAGTAAACTTGCAAACATTCTTAAGTGGGAATATGGTTGAAGGCAACGAGAAACTTATAAGACTGACCTTGTGTGTTTTCATTCATACTATCAGATGCCTGTAAAAGAATGCGGAATTTAAATGGAGGCAACAAGAAATCTAAGCTGAAATAAATACATAATAGTTCAGGCACAGACCCAGGGAGCAAGGAGAGTAGGAGCTCACAGACACACACAATCCCAGCCCAGGACCCGTGCCTGTATTGCTTATTATAAAGAATGAAAAGTCTATCTTACAAGCGTATCATCTGGATCAGTATCCATTTCTCCAGATTCATCTTTCCTTTGAGCTTCTTCGATGACCATGGGAGGTTCCTCATCCTCATGTACATCTTTGTTCTCAGTTCGTTCCTTCTGCTCCGCATCACCACCTTCCAAATTGTCATCATCCTCTTCCTCCTCCTCTTCCTCCTCATCATCATCAGACACTTCTTCCTCTACTTGCATTTCACTTGTCTTGTTGTTACAACCAATCTGTTTCTTAAGAAAGGAGGGTTTGTTAAACACATAAAATTTAAAACAAAACAAATTATTTTGATGGCAAAAGGTTTTTACAATGATCGGCTTACCTTCTGAAACAAAGCAAAGATATCTCTTTGATTGGAATTCACCAAATCATGAGCTGTTTTATTGCTGAAATTTACTTCTTCAGGTTTCAGTCCTTCCTGCAATTATAAAAGGTAGTGTTGATCTAAACGTACAACACAAGCAAAAAGTGAAGAAAATTGTAGATGAATACGGTCTCTATCTTACTTGAGCAAGTAGAAGACTAACTATCTCTTTACAATCATATTCAACTGCAAGGTGAAGTGGTGTCTGACCTGCAGTACCAGTCTTTTCATTTAAATCTGCTCCTGCAGTAACCAGCAGCTTCACACTTGGGAGATCTTTATGCTTTACAGCAATATGTAGGGCTGTTTCACCTTGAGAAAAGGAAATTATACAAGTTTAGGGCTAAGGTACCTTTTGCATAACAAAAGCAGTCTTTTGTATAAGGCACGTACCTTTTTCATTTTTCAAATTAAGCTCTAATTTTGTGTTGTTGGGTTCTTTCATGGACTGAACCGCAAGCAGCACTTGCAGGCATTTGCTGTGCTTGTTCATTGCTGCCAAGTGAAGTGCAGTATTTCCTTTGTAATCCACTAGATTTAGATCAGCTCTGGCCATGCAGAGCAATTTCAAACAATCTACACTGTTTTCTTCAACAGCAACCATGACAGGAGTCTAAAAATAAGATGCATTAGAAAGGCAAATAAGGTTACAATTATAAAGCAATGCACAATACAACTACCTTTTTCCTCCTGTTTGTGGAATTTATTAACCTCAAGTGGTTGCTTTTTATTATTAAGGAAAGAAGGTCACTCAATTCCTTAAGTTGGCCATGTAGCACAGCTGCATGAAGAGGTCTAAAAACATTCGAACAATTAAAAACGGTAAAGGAAGAAAATTGAACAGTGAAGGGGCTTCTGCTTCATAGCATTTACAAGTGCATACCCAAATTCTTGGTCCTCTGCTTTAATTATATTTTTGATTTCTTGCTGTCTATTTGCATGCCGACTTTTCATTAGCTTCAGCAACTTAGCGTAAGCATTCTTTGCTGAGTGTAATGTTTCTTCCTGCAAAATGAAGAATGTTGAAACTACACTCAGACGAAAATTGAATCCAATCCAACAATGATAATCACCTTCATCTTCTCATAGCCTTCGTTGGGTGATGTCTCCACAGATGGCTCTGGAATAATATACAATATTTCATACAAACATTTGCACATTAACTTAATAAATTATTATTGAGGCACCAATTTTAACACCTTACCCTTTCTAGCACAACCATCCGTCACAACACCATCTTTTTCAACTACAAAACAACAGAAAATATGAGTAAAAGACCCCTTTTAAAAAATATACCATTTAATGTATCTAGGACAGTTTCTCACCATGCTTCCTTTTGTTACTCAGTGGTGGTGAGGCAACGTCTGCTGTCCAAGTGGGTTGAGGTTGAAGAGTCACTGGAATACAGCAAAACTTTGTTATACTATTGACAAACAGAAATATCTTAAGTTAAATAATAAGATAGAGATTGTCATAGTTCATACTTACAATCGCCAAATAATTCAAGATCTGTGACTTGAATGTTAGGAGTTGGACTAGGCTGTGAATTTAATTCCTTCTGAGAACACAAATCTGAAAAAAAAAAAAATCTATTAAAATTACTGCATGTGCAACAATAAATTTTGACACATGAACAATTTTTTTTTCCAACATGACTGATTTGGGTATGTAGGTTGTTAAAAACTCACCAGGAAAGGCTTGAGAATATTCTGAAAACAAGAAAATGTGTTTAAAAAGTTCATAAAGACATTATACTAAAAACAAAATTAAACTGCCTATAAAGAACGAAAAAGTCACGTCTCGTGAGCCCTTAGTGTTTTACAGTTCAAGGCAAAAACTCTATCTTACCTGAAAAATCACCAGAGTTTATAAACCTTTCAAATTCAAAAAATTCCGTTGGATCATTCCCTGTTGCGATATTTGAAAGAGCTTCCTTCAAAGCATCACTTGGGAAATTCCAACTACCAATTCTAGAAGAGTCACTTCCACTTCCACTTAGCAAAGGGTCATCTCCAGATACTAAACCTGCAAATATCACTTTTCATAAATGACAATAATCAAAATAAATAAGACCAGAATTCATACAAAGAAAATATTCTAACCTGATCTAGTTTCTCTAGGAGCTTCAAAGCTGCTCCAACTGTCACTTCGGGAGGAGCTAGTGCATAATCTCTTTGCTAGAAAATTGCAAGTCAAAAATAAGTTTAAATCATGTGATAAGTGCAGCTCAAAGGTAAGGTAAATATGTAATCCAAATCCATCTACCATATTTTCTGGCTGGTTTGTACATGAACTTTAATGGCTCACTTCTAGAATTGTCTTTTGGTCTCTGCAACTCCATCTTTACCTCCACATTCTTCTGTATCTGTAAGTCTCGGTACTGAGGTGTTCTAATAATAAAAAAAACAGAAGGCACACAAGGAAATAAAAGCACTACCTTCTAGCCACAAAAGATTGTAATGGGGCATATATTTTTGATAACCATACCGAAAAACAATTGCATATTGATGATGGACATCAAAATCACTGAACTGACCATAATCGCTCCATACTTCATGTCCCTGATCATCCACTTCAAAGAATCGAACCTTTATGTTTTCTACAAACAGTTGAAACATTAATAGGATTAAAAAATGTTTCTGATAAAATCATCTTTGCAAGGATAAATTACTGAACACAATCCATGTGAAACAGATACTTTTCATAAATGGGTAGTGAGCTTACTTTTGCAAACCTTCTCTACAAGAATGTAAACTTCATCACCTCCCTCACATGTTCCAGTGCACCTGTCCATTCTGCAAATTTTCAGTTCCCCTGTTTCTGCACTTTCTGCGCAACAAGAAATATACAGTACACAAGAATATGAGGATGTTCATGGATTCCAAAATAAACGGACTGGTTTAAAGGTGGTATAAACTCACTGGAATTCTCAATAGTTTCTGAAAACACATGTTGACACACATAATTAACTTGTCCCAACGGTCCCTTATAAAATGCTTGGAAGCATAGTTTGACTTTGTTGGGGTCCATGCTGCTAGCTTCTTTTGCAGCTTCTTTCTCCAGCTATGAAAAGGCCAAATAGTTTATTTTTAAAATCAATATTGCTTACTTTTGTTATTAAAATAGCTTAACTAATATCAATCAAGTGTACAGTATGTTTTACCTCTGGTATTTTCAATTTCAATGCTTCTTTGAGAGTTTCATTATCTACATGGTCCAGCTCACGGTCGCTCCTCAAATTTTCCAGCCACATTTGCTCCTTCTTCCTAATCAACTCTTTTTTCAGGTCCTTCTTGGACAGGTGGACTATACCAAGTCCTTTAAACCTGGTGACAGCAACAACAGAGTTTGTAGTGTTAAGTTGTATTTTTAATCTTAACTTCTATGCAGTTAACTTACTCTGCACGGTAACCATTCCGCTCAGACACAGCTATCTCATGGTCAAAGACTTCTTTTGAACTTTCTTTAGAAATTAGCTGATGCATATGAGGTATAGGGTTATCTGTTGCTGTGTATAATAGGCAACGTATTATGATGTCTTCTTCTCCATGATAATTTACAAGCTAAAGTAAAATATTTTCAGTTTAGAAAAATAAAATAAGTAATGTTTCTGACTACACGCTTACAGAAGTAAAGCAGAAAAAGTTGCACACACCTCAACAGTTGGGTGTGTTCTCTTTCTTGACGTTTCACTACGGCCAAGAAGACTTCCATGGGCCCCTTGCATTTCAGACCTATAACGGAACCTAAATTTTGGTACAGGCTGCTCGGTTATCCTTAAAGAAGGATTCCCTGGGTTACCACCTGTGCCAAGGCAATTTTTAAAAAATTATTCTGAAACATTTAAGAGACACACCTATGTATACTGCACAACAAATACATACCTGGCAAATTAACCTCTTCATATTGACCAGGGGAAAAAGGTCCCGATGCACTAGATCCAGATGGACTGGGTGACGGAAACATATTTGTAAATGTGTAGGACCCTGTAATAAGAAAAATAAAAATTAAAAAAAGTATTTCATGTGTCTTCTTGGGAAGAAACAACATGTACCATAAATTGTCCCATAAATCTAACTCTTAAAGTAATGATTGAAATCAAACCCGAGGCAGCGAGACAGAGACATATAGGTTGTATGTATATATTGAAAGCACATGGACTATGTACTTGGACTAGGTATTGGACTCAGTAGCTTCACATAACATTCGAACATAAAGTTAAAATTAAGTTAAAATTTCAATAAAATTTCACTGCTACCAGAACGTAAACCGATATCACCATAACCTAATAAAAACGATAAACACTTTTGAAATAAGAGACAAACCATTGTTGCCATGCCACACTGATGTTTGATCCTGGAGTTCTTCAGTTGAAAAGTTGTTGTAAAATTGTGCTATATGCGACGAACACATCATTTTTTCCATTTTAAATTACAACCAGAACCTCAACAGCCCAATGTTTATCAACAAAGAGCGGATGTTGCGGGGATGCGACAGCTATGGACCTGGTCCCTCAATGACGCACCCATCCCAACTGAGAGAGGATACAACGGAGTCATACCTACTTGCTGCGACCAAGTCTATCCCGGGGAACCCCCGGCGAACGCGAAACGCTGCGTCGTCGTCATGTACTCACTGCCATGAGGCGGGCCGGGCGGGGGCGGGGAGACGGGGAGGGGAAGGGGAGAGGTGGAGGACGAGGGACGAGGGACGAGGAGGAGGAGGAGGAGGAAAAGCCGAACCCGCCGAAAGAGAAGGAAAGGAGGGGGGGGGGAGAAGAGCGGAGTGGCAGCGGGATAATCCTACGGGAACCGACCGGTATTCCCGTCCGGCAAACTCGAATTCATTCAAATAGTAAGTCAATTTAGCCAAATAGTCTATACTACAGTATATACCCTTCCCCTCCCCTCCACTCAGAAAAAAACGCGAAAGACAATTCCCAAGCAGATCTCCATAGTACAGTCAAATGACCTCTAGATGACATCGAGATCTGGACGGAGACATAATGACCTCTTGAAGACTTCTTGGGTCACTCTGAGATCGTAACGATATCTGACAACGGTGTTTGCTGACAGCGAGCAGCAAGCATACGTACCGTACATGAGATCGTTCGAAATGCGCTATGAACATTAGTTCTTTTCGTGAGGCAGGCCGAGCAATCTGCCACCACCTACTGTGTTAAATCCCTATCGCCGTTATCTGCGTCGAAAGGGGTAGGCCACACGTGCAGCGCGTGGCGCTTGGCCGCTTGGCTAGCGCGGCCGGCCAGCTGAAGAGCGAAGCGCAGCGAGAGGGGGGGGGTCGCAAAATTGCCCCCCCCCCCCGACCGGACCCCGGATCCGTCTTTTTCGCAAGCATGCCGCCTCCGTGAATGGCTGGAGCACTGGGTGACGGGGCATGAGAACGGGGAATGAGAATGACGCCCCGGAGGGACAACACTGTGCCCCCTCGCGGGTTTTGTGGCACTTCCCTGCGCTCCAGTCAGTTGCTTTCTCCGAGGGAGGGGGCGGGGGTGTTAATTCAACCTCGGTCTGTCGTTTCCCGAATGGGCAGGCAAGCTGTGGGCGGAAACATTCCTGTCCATAGTGGGCCAAAAGTGAAAAATGTCTCTCTCCGGTCTCCTCCCCTTCCGGGTAAGATCCAGTCCTGGTACCCAGTGTCGTTTTGCCCTCGTCGCTGTCTCTCTCGCTCTCTTGCGCCCTTACTCTACGAGTGCGAGAGATACCCAGCGACGAAACAATCCTTCGGCAACAGGCAGCTGCAGTGCCTGCGGAGATTCACTTCAAACATTCGCGCGGCTAGGAAGAAGCAGAAGGGGAAGCTTCGCGGCTAGAGCGGCAGAGTGGAGGGGGAAGGCCCCCGTTGTGATGCCCCCTGATGTCAGCTGTCCGCTGTCCGTCTGCGCTACGCACTTGCTTGCACCCGGAACCCAAACAAAAACACCAGTGAAATCAATAATTGTGGGGTCGGGGTGGGTCAGGTCGGGTCGTTGTCGTTAGTCGAGCTCGACGTTCGTGCAGATACTGCAGCCTGCAGACTCCGTCCGCCACTTGGTCCCCCGTTTCTGCTACGTCTGTTTTGTGTTCTTGCTGGGACCATCGGGACATGTCCTGATGGCGTCCTCACTTAGGATGTGGGCACTGTTGTTGCTCTCTATTCACTGTCTGGCCTTTAGCACCGGTCAGAATGAGGAGCCTGGCGAATACTCGTTCAAGTTTGACTTGGTGCTGGGTACAGACGGCGAGGATGTGTCGTCGGACCCGTTGGACGCAGACAGTTCAAGCGATGTAAGTTTTGACAGGTTGTTACCTGAATTTTTGCAATCTTCTAGCTCCCTGCATTTCACTCTATTTCAATGTTATATTTAATAACTAAAATCTTTGATTTTAAGAAAATCTTTCGACTCTCTTGCCAGAGGCGATGTCTTTGTCTGCATTCGGCAGCTTATCATATCTGTCAGTTTGCCGAGCTCATTTCTTTGTCCATTCTTGTTCAAACTAGTTCGTTATTCTGTACCGCCACTGCACTTTTTTTTTCCCATCTAACTTTCAGCCCCTGCTCAGCAGTTTTTCTCTTCATTCTATTATAAGATCTTTTCACTTTAAGCTAACTAATGTTAATTTTTGAAATCTGATCTGTTTTAGATGAAAATATATGTCAAAAATGAGGAAGAGTTGGCAATGATTGTGGATATATTTGCAGAAGATATGATGGTAACTTAACCATGCGTTGAAGCACTGTTGTAGTATTAAATTGTGTCATTTTAGGATAGTTACAAGTAATATTGTTGCAGACTGACAAAAACACTAAGGATTTGGACGCACCTATTGACGCGCCTCAACAAGAAACTAAAGAACCACTTGTAGTTCGCAAGGAAGCTTTCTGTCTTGGATGTCCAACTGCCATAGATCTGTCCATTCCTGAAAATAGAAACACCCTTCACAAATATCTAGATACCCCTATCAATTTGCTGCTCCCTGAAAGCCGTCGTTATAAATCAGTAACGCCGACCATCTTGTCAGCCACTAAACAGGTATGTATTCTATTCTGTATTGCCAATAGTAATTTAAGTACTTGGTTCTGATGTTTTTAATGTATTTTATGCAGGTTGAATCTGACATCAAGTATGCTATCACATTTGCCATCGATCTTATCCCATGTGCTGATAAGGGCACTGATGGGGAAGAGTGCTCCCCCCTGCCAGCTGAAAGACATCTCTGTACTGTTGAGTTTGTTAGAGATGAAGCTGGGACCAAGTTTTCATACAACAACTGCACATCTGATATGTTTGTAAATCCACCTGCAAAAGCTCCAGAATCTAATGAAAGTGGTGTAGACGCCCCCTTTGAGCTAACACAGTCAATGAAAGATGAAAAGAAACCCATGGATGAGGGCGATTCCTCTCTAAATATCACTGATGATGTTATGGCGGTTGAAAATGTTCGCAAACGTCGTTCATCTGATCAAGGAGCATTGAGGGATATTGACAAGAATGAACAGGATTTGGTTTACCGATTTGCTGAGCTAGCTGTGCGAACTCTTGATGAAGTGGATCCTGACAATAATAAAAGGATTCTTTTGGGAGTGACTGAAGCGAAAAAGCAAGTAAGTTCAGACATTGCTGGGTAAAAATTTGGATGCGCTTTGGTATAACACAAATAGCAAATGACCTTTGTTCCTGACGGGATTTTCTTTTGCCAGATTGTTAATGGAATAATGTACCACCTAGTTATGCAAGTAGGAACTTCTACCTGCCAAGAAAATGAAGAAGGACATTCCGGTGCTGAATGTGTAGAAAACCAACTCTACCCTGAAAAGATGTGTCGGGTCAAAATTCTTCGCAGTTGGGCAGATGAGTCTCCTCTGAATGCAAAGGTACACTTCCAAATTGATTTTTTTATTTTTTGTCACCGTAGGGGATTGGAAGAGCTCTTTATGTTGTTGTTTGGTTCTCAGGTGGTGAGATGTGAGTGTGCTGATGTGTGGCCTGAAGACCTTCCTCAAGAACCTTGGTCTGGAAGGACTCGGCGTAGCACCCAAGATAACTGGCCAAGCACTGAAGGTTGGAAAGACTATGACTTAAAGGATGGCTCCCAGAGTGATTGTTTAGAAAAAGTAATGACTTCATTTCAAGATGTCTTGAATGTCACGGATGTATCCAAAGTAGCAACCATACGAGATGTTCACACCAGGGTAAGAAAAAAACAAGGCCTTCTTTTATAATTAACTTGTAAATTGTAAATCCTTTTGATTTGTCCTTTCCTTTTTCAATTACAGGTCAACAAAGAGACTTCACAGCCAGAGATGGTTGTTACGGTAATATATTTTTCTTGTTTTCTTATGCTATGTAACAGTGTTGTTGAATTCTTAAATTTCAAAGACTGTAATTAAATCTACTTTTCAGATTGTCTTGACTGATGCAGCCAAATTGAAAATGATGGGGGATGTTAAAAAGCCAATGGTTGTGTCATCTCGAGTTGTTTGCACCCAGAGATTAAAGAGGGTAAATTTTAAATTATTTTACACATAATACAATTTTAAGTGGTTAGGTTCTTTTGTCTAAACTTGTTTCACTTTTCTTACAAAAATTTGTTTTTTAATTACAGTCATCTGGTATCCCTGGAGGGTTATCGGATGCTGATGTCAATGATCCGTATTTCAAGGAAATAACAAACTTTGGCGTGTCTGAAATACAAAAATCAGTCAACAGCCCTTACCAGCATGTGCTCGTGAAGATAATAGAAGCCAAGCGTCAAGTTGTTGCGGGAACTTTGTTTCATTATAAAATTGAAATTGCGCCAACTTCCTGCTTGAAAACTGACCAATCCTCAAACCAGAATTGTAATGCTACTAGCTCTGAGGTAAGTATCGTCTCAGTGAAAAGTATTTGTATTCTGTGCATATATATTTTATTCCAGTTTTTCAATGGATCACTTGATTTTAATTTACTCCAGAAATTGGTCTGCACTTTTAAAGTATGGGATCAGCCTTGGACTAAATTGCGTGAAGTCAAAGATGTGGAGTGTGGTAACTCTCGCTCTAAACGAGAAATGGCTCTTGGCGGACCTCAGCAGATTGATGTTGAAGACCCGTATGTGAAAGAGCTGGCTGGCTTTGCCTTGGTGGAGATTGATAAGGGCCTGAATAGTCCTTACCAACAGAAAGTAGTGAGAGTTGTTGAAGCCAAAACTCAGGTTGTTGCAGGAACACTTATGCATTTAAAATTAGAGCTTGCTACAACGAACTGTTTGAAAAGCGAGAAACTTGCTGCTGAAAACTGTGTCCATGATTCGGACCAGGTGAGAGTGTAGTTCCTATCTCACTCAGCATCATCTGCAATCTTGAATAATTTTATTTTTAATATTTCTTCTTGTTGTTTTTTAAATTCCATCTAGCCCACTACTATGTGCAGTCTAAAGGTGTGGGATCGTTCATGGTTGAAAAAACGGGAACTCCAAGATTTGCAGTGTGGCAGAACCCGCACTAAGAGGGTGAGTTTTGTTATGATTCAAGGCATAATAGTTTAAAAGTAGTTTGCTTGGTTCATAAATTTCTATTTTATTTTGTTCAGGAAGTTTCATCACAGCCCACTGGTCCTGCAGATGCTACTCAAAAGTCTGGCTCCCATTCCAAGGTGATTATTAATACATTTCCGGTGAAGTGAAGTTTGTGAGCCTCTTATTGAAAAATCCCTCTTTCAGGCGTCTTTCCTTCATGTGGATGTAGACGATTTATATATTAAATCCTTAGCCAAGTATGCTCTTGGAGAGATGGACAAACAAACAAACAGCCCTTATCAGCACAAACTGTTGTATATTGTATCATCTCAAGTTGAGGTTTGTAAAGGACTGCAAAAATAATTGCACTGTATGCTTTCATTCATAATTTGTGTTGTAACCAGGATTTTTATTTTCAGCACACCAAGATTACCAGGGTGAAACTTAATTTGTATGTTACTCTCTCTTCTTGCAAGAAGTCATCACACTACAGAGCCTGCCCGGTCTTGTTGGGTGCTGTAAGTGTAATAATGGTCTTCTGAAACTTCATTTCATTTGAATTCCTATCTATGTGTCAATCATAAATAATAATAATCTTTCAGGCTAAACACCTATGCAAGGTGGACCTGTTCCACAATGTAGTTACTGGGGTGAAAGGAGTGACGAGTATCCAATGTGATGAGCATGCTTTGAGTGCTCCCCACAATGAAGAGGTGAGATCATGGTGCACTTTACTGTGAAAATTGGAAACTTGTTTATGAGGTGCTTACTTTAATTCTTTGTCCATCCAGAAATTGTTTGCAGAAGAAAATAGTGACATACACGCTGAACTCTTCCGTGGTTTCATGCGCCGCTTCAACAAAACCTACGTATCTGATGAAGAATTACAAAAACGCTACAATATCTTTCAACATAACTTGAAGTACATTCGTCACATGCAAGATCAAGAGCAAGGGACTGCTCGCTATGGGCCTACCATATTCGCTGATTTAACCTGTAAGTGTCATGAAGACCCTTGCATTCTTATTCATTGTATCTATGTATGTAGGATGGGTGTATGTATGAAGTTTCTTTGTTATTTCAGTGGAAGAATTCAGAGGAACATACCTTGGATTAAAACCGGCCCTAAAACAGGAAAATGCTATACCTGCACCTATGGCAGACATCCCGAATATAAAGTTGCCCACTTCCTTTGACTGGAGAGAGCATAATGCTGTGACTCCTGTCAAGAATCAGGTGCAGTATTGTGGAATACCATGTGTGGCAACTAGATACCACCCTCAATCAAATTTGCATTTGTTTTTCTTATAATAATTATTTTTTTTCAGGGCGCTTGTGGATCTTGCTGGGCGTTTGCTGTCACAGGAAATCTTGAGGGACAGTATGCCATAAAACATGGCAAACTTCTGTCACTCTCTGAGCAAGGTATAGTTTTTGTTATTAGAAAAAAAGTTACTGATCTTAATTTAATTTTTTAAAGGGCATCCATTGATTTCTTGCTTTTATAGAGCTGGTTGACTGTGACACCCTGGATGATGGATGTAAGGGAGGCCTTCCGGACAACGCTTATCATGCTCTGGAGCAGTTGGGGGGCATTGAACTTGAGAAGGATTACCCATATGAAGGAGCAGATGAGCAGTGCCACTTCAACAGCAGCATTGCCAGAGTCCATGTCAAGAGTTCCGTCAATATTACAACCAACGAAGATGATATGGCCAAATGGCTTGTCAAGAATGGTCCAATTGCCATTGGCATTAATGCCAATGCAATGCAGGTACTGTATTTCTTCCAAGGAAACAAAAAGTTCTATGTTTATATTTGGATTTGTTTTGATGTTTGCTTAAAATTCTCTTCCAGTTTTACATGGGAGGTGTGTCACATCCTCTCCATTTCCTGTGCAATCCCAAAGATCTAGATCATGGTGTCCTCATTGTCGGATTTGGTGTTCACAGTAAGTTCCTGAAATTGGATTTTGAAAGGAAAGGGCTGCTAACATCTCTTTTCCAGGGAACTGGTTTCTTTCTGTGTGTTTGATGTCTGTCGGTAGTTCTTTGTTTTTAGCATTTGGCGTGTGCTCATTTGACTTGAATATCTTGTCTTTTTTCAGCAACTTCCATCCGTCACAAGGTCATGCCATATTGGCTTGTGAAGAATAGTTGGGGCACTTTCTGGGGTGAAAAGGTACATATAAATCCACTTTTTGTAAATCCTTTTTTTTCTTTTGCAGCCTATCCCATGTTTCATAAAGTCCTTCCCTTCTGGGTGGTTAAGAACAGCTGGGGTGACAGATGGGGTGAACAGGTAAACATCATCAAGTGATCACAAGGGTGGCAAAACCATTCCTCAATTTTGTTGTGATGCTCATACATCACCCTACTTGGTTGTTTGTTTCTCCAAATTTTTCACAATTTTGCAAGAGATTTAAAAAAAAAAATTTAAGTGAAATGTTGAGCGAAGTGAAAGTAGGAATCAAGGGAAGGACCTTTCTCCTTTTGAATTGTGCTTCTGACTATTGTTTTATCTCTTCTTTTTCTGTTTGTTTTAGGGCTACTATCGTGTTTTCCGAGGTGATGGGTCGTGTGGAGTGAACCAAATGGCTTCCTCTGCTCTGGTTGACTAAAATGGGCCTACTGAGAAGCAAAACCAGTACTTCATGTGAATTAAATTTACTCATTTTTACAATTTTTCTTTTATGTGTACTTCCTAGTCTAGAAAATTAGCTTATTCATATCAATATGCTTTAGGTGTTTATTAGCACCTGTTGATAAATCTGTTTCAATCAGCCTGTTTATTTAAGTCCCTTAGAAGTTGTTCTAGTTTAAGCACAATTTGTTTCAGAGAACATTTTGAACTTTGGTTGTGAGACATGATTTATTTTCCGTGAACCAAAAAGGAATGAATCTCATTTTTTAAATTTCCTTTGCTATGATTGTTTTCTCCTTTCCACTGTTAGGAAAGTGACATTTGTTTCTTTTACTTATTAATTATATTGAAGAGAAAAACTTACGAACTAATCTTACATTTCTAATGGTAAGGAAGTTACAATATGGTTAAGTTTTTTTTTTATTCTGTTCTACGCAACTGAATACATCTTTTAGTTTTTCTGTGGTGCTGTATATGTAGAATGTGATACTGACTGTTGCCTAAAACAAAGTTAATTTGGTCCATCATTTATTTACTTTATAACAAAATAATTTAAGTGAGATGATCAAATGAATCTTGAATCTTTGTGAATCATGAGTTTTGAAGTGTCTCTTTTAATTTTAGAAATTTTACCTGTAACAAAATTTGGTTTAATTTGTTATTTTCAGCTTAGAGACTTGGAGACTTAAAACTTTCTGCTTGTGAAGACCATTGTTATTTTTTAATTAATGTTACAACCCATAGGATTTTTTTTAGACAATCCATGTCAAAGTTATATGTGTGTCTTGAGAGCTGTGAGACTCTCCTTTCTTAAATATGTTGAATTGAACTTAAATACCAATAGTAGAATGGGTAACACCGCAAAGAGGCTTCTGTCAGATATTGGCATGATATTATGTTGTGGTGTGGTGATGTCTCTAAGATACTCAGTTTACTTGATACGTAAGTCATTATGTGTGCCAAATCTTCCATGACGGCTACTATGTAAATGATCTGTGATTGTGATAATGACGCCTGGGTTGGCTGTTGTGTACAGTGCCATTGTAAGGAAACATCTCGTAGTTGTAACATGCCACTTCAAGACTAATAAAGTATCAATAGAATTTCAGTTACTTATTTTCTTTCTTTCCTGCGCAAGTCGTTGCCACCAAAAAGTCCTTAACACCATGAAAGCACATTTTGCTCATTTGTCACAGTCTGGCCCAAGGACCTGGAAGGATGCCTCCATGCGCCGTGGCCGTGGCTACTGCTTCTTGAGCTTAGCTGACCGGCGGCAAGAAAGAGAAAGAGGGGGGAGGGGGCGTAGTTATATGGCTGTCTCCAAGACACGCAGCGAAGATAACGCGCGTAATATAAAAGTCGGGGACAGCAGTGCGGGAGACACTCGCCGAAATGATGTCCCTTCGCTGTGTCGCAGCCCTCCTGTTGGTCGCCGCCCTGGTGAGCGTCCAGTTCCCGGCGGACCCAGAGTCACGCACCTTGCCCTTCCCATCGCTCACGGTTTTCTTCACCCCAGGTACTCCAGGCCAACGCCGCACCGCAGCCCTTCAGCATCAAGAAGGCGTTCGATTCGGTTAAGAACAAATTGAGCGAAAAGCTCAGTCCGGCGCTCAAGTGCCTGTCGGACGCCGGGGCGGGGGACGCGGCGCTGGGGTACTTGCAGCAGTGCGGACAGACTAAGTTCTACGGCAAGTTCGCTCTGACCAGCTGCGCCGCCACCGCCTACGCGCCCGCCGACGTCAAGGCCATGCTCAAGTCCAGCGCCAAATGCTTCAACATGGGCTAGGCCATGCACAAAAAGCTCACGTTACGACTTACGTCTCGTACTCACTCCGCTTAAACCTGCGCAGTGAGGTCTTCATTAAAAAAAAAAACATGTCAGCTGCATTTTATTAAATGATACTACGAGAGACGCCGAAATCGATGTTATTATCCCGGGTACCCTCTACTGCTCTGTGCCGCCAAAAAGTCGGGGAATGCCAACTGGTCTCATCGCATTCCTTGCACGGTACCAGCCCGACAAGTCATGTTTAAAAGTATCTCCCAAAAAAACGTGACATCACTGCGCCAACGCACCTGGGCGGGCAACCGCGAAGTTTCTCGGTAAAACAATTAAACTTAAAAATCGTGATCGCCCGGTGGATAACGCTGTCTCCGAGACACGCAGTGACGCCAACGTGCACAATATAAAGTCGGAGGCAGCAGTGCGGGAGTCACTCGCGAAGATGCCGTCCCTCCGCTTCCTCGCCGCCCTCCTGCTTGTCGCCGTCCTGGTGAGCGTCCAAGTCTCGAAAGGCGGGAAAATGGGGAGTTCCTCGCAGCGACTCGCGGCCTCACGCTTTTCTTCCCCCAGGTGCTCCAGGCCAGCGCGGCCCCGCAGCCCTTCAGCTTGGGGAAGCTGGTCAACAAGGTGAAGAACGCGCTGAACCCCACCCTCAAGTGCCTGTCGGACGCCGGCGCCGGCGACGCGGCGCTGGGCTGGCTGCAGCAGTGTGGCCAGACCAAGTTCTACGGCAAGTTCGCCATGGGCAGCTGCGCGGCCACCACGTACGCGCCCGCCGACGTCAAGGCCATGCTCAAGTCCAGCGCCAACTGCTTCAAGCTGGGCTAAGGGGATGGACGCACTTTGAGCCGAAGAAACGACCAACATTTTCTTTCGGCACACATTTTGCCACTCCTTTTACACTTTACCCCGTGTACAGTAAAAAGCAATGCACCGGCTCGAAATTAAAGGATGCTACGACACACAGTCACGACGCCATTCTTGTCAAGATCCTTCATGACCTGCGGCATCTACACAAGCCTCTATACTGACACAAATCACAAACACTTTCTTGCCTGTATATTGGTTGGACAAATCGGACAGAGAAAAATGGGACTATTCAGCAACCATGAAATCACTCCAGTCAAGATGTGGGGTGCGAACATCACCTTGGCAATCCACCCGTTTTTCCACACTGTAGGGAAAACCCCAGATGTTCAGTGCCGTTGGTAACCACTGGGGTGATCATCTGATGACAGGCGGGGCAAAGTATACTATAGTGAGAGATGGAGAACGAGAAAGTTTTGTCCAGGGGGGGGGGCAACATTTCGGGCCAAAAAGTATTTACTTTGCCCTTTGCTGAACCTTTTCGAATCGCTCGGTGGCCGCGACACCCACCGAGTAGCAGCACGCACAGACTTGTTTCGAACGGCACGAACGAGGTCAAGCCAAGCAAACCTTGTAAAATAAATGCAAGATATTTAATCACCTGTTTTTCCTTTTTTGTCGTTCTTTTACCCATACATTACCTTGCTTTACGCGCTTAACAAAAACGCCTAAAGGTGGGCAACCCGCACGGCAGAGAGCCGCTTTATGTCGCTTGTGGAGACGACAGGCGCGAGGTAGGCCACCGTCTCCTCTCCGGCGTTCTGCAGCACGGGTCCGTGTCTACCTCACAGGCGCTACGGAGGGATTCTCACGGCGCCACACCCGAAACGTCGTAGCTGCAGCCTTGTGGCCACGGGTAGGGACATCTTGCTAACTAATTGTCACGAGAAATTTTTTCCGCAGACTGGTTGGTTTATGAGTGCCACGCGGAGCGACGGGGCATTGGGGAACGAAACACGACGTAAGGTGCCGATTACAACCCGGCGCGACCCACAGACATGAGACACGTTTTCCCCCACGGCCCAAACACGTCAAACAGCCCAAACTCCCCTTTTCTGCATGTTGTTGCGCAGCTGTTACCCACGGCTTCGGCTGTCGGATCCAAACGCGTTCTACGTGAGGACGGAGATCGCAAAATCACTGTGACGTCAACGTCAAAACTTTGTCAAAAGAAAACAAAAATAACAAGGAAATGTCTCACGACGCGGCAATGAAACTTAGAGAAAACGTGATAACCACGTGATGAACGTCACCGCAGTCTTCGTGACACGGAGCGGCGACAAACTTGCCCGGTATAAAGTCGGGGGCGCCAGTGTGGGTAGCACTCGCCAAAATGATGTCCCTTCGCTCCGTCACCACCCTCCTGTTGGTCGCCGCCCTGGTGAGCATTCCCGGAAGACCGAGCCACCGGTCGCCACACCACTAGTGGCCCGATCCAAACCGTGGGACATGAGTCAATGGTGACTTCGGTGCAGCCCCGTTTGTCACGACATTCCTCGCAAAGACGCACCGGTCCACGACGCGTCATCCTCACTTTCGTGCTGTACTTTGCCCTCCGTCCCGGAGGTCAAGTGGGCTACCTGCGCTCGGAAACTTGATGTCTCGATGGTGCCCCCCAGGTTCTCCAGGCCAGCGCCGCGCCGCAGCCCTTCAGCTTGAAGAAGGCCTTCAACAATGTGAAGAACAAGGTGACCGGCGCGCTGAGCGGGCCCCTCAAGTGCCTGTCGGACGCCGGAGCTGGGGACGCGGCGCTGGGCTACCTGCAGCAGTGCGGACAGACCGGCTTCTACGGCAAGTTCGCCCTCGGCAGCTGCGCCGCCACCGCGTACGCGCCCGCCGACGTCAAGGCCCTACTCAAGTCCAGCGCCAAGTGCTTCAAGATGGGCTAGGCCAGACTTCTCGTCTCGTCACTCCATTTAAGAACCTTGGAGGGAGGTCCGAATTAACATCATTTTGCCCGGTTAATAAAGAATACGACAGGGGGAAAACACAAAGTTGTTATTTTCTCGAAATCCACCTGATTCAAACGATAGACGCTGGTGAGTAAGTGGCTAGCAGTTCTCATCTCCACTACCATAGTAAACTCTCAAATTATATAAGCAATTTTTTACCATAATGAAATCAGTGATCGGTCCCAATTCAACTCAAGCGCATTCAGACTGCGGAGTTCTCGAACTCTGGTTGTTTCACCGCGGGCAGGCGTGCTGGTGGCGAAGGCCGTCGGGCTGGGGCGGGCGGGTGGCAGGCAGGCGGTAAAGCCAGAACGTCCAGAGGGTGCAGCGGGGGCAGTGGGGGCAGCGGGGACAGCCGCCGATCGGGACGAGCGTCCGCACGGACACCGCGAAAGATGCGCGGGGCGCGAGGACGTGCTGGTGGCGAGGGTGACAGGGGCAGGGTGCTGGGCAGACCGGGCCGGCCGGCCGCGCGGGCACGCCGCCTGCACTCATGTCTGTCTGTGCCCTGTGGACAAGTGGCGGCCGGGCCCGCTCCATGCGGGTACACTGCGTGCTTCTCGGTGCCTCGTGCGCGTGCCGAGGAGCACGCGACCCATCACTAATGCACGCGCCGCATGCAGCCGGCATGACCTGCCTGCGTGGCGCCGTGCCGTGCCGTGCCGTGCCGTGCCCCGGGGGGCGAGAGTCGTTTCCGTCGCTCTGTCCCTGTCGCACCCGTATGGGACGCCCCATGAGTGCGAGAGAGACACGACTCGACGCTGGCGAGGAAGCGGCAAGCGGACCGGGCACTGGACTGCACTGGGCTGCACTGGGCTGGGCCCAGGGGTTGTCCTAGTCCGGCAGTGTGGCGGTGAGCCTCCCGAGGGGTGGCCGGCGTCGGCCGAGGCATGCTGACGACGGGCGACGGGTGACGGACGGACGGACGACAAACCGACGGACCGACGCAAGACACCGACGCACGACACTCTCACGCGACCTGTCGACTACACTAACAACGGCCAGCCCTAAGAGTTCCACTGTTTGTTTTGCCACACACGTTTCTACGTATTTTTGAGTAGCGCACGTTAGTAATTATTTGAGGCGTCTTCAAGCCTAAACAGACAAATGCAAAATAGAGAAAAAGTCATCGGTGAGACGCCATGGCGCCTGCATGCGTCACTGATAACACTGAAGTGTTATTGGGCAGTCATAGCAGGAAGACACACGAGACACGCACCTGCAGTCCCGCCCCGCTCACACTACACTGTCGAGCTCTCCAAGGGTGATTGTGCCAAAATCTATTTTTTAGGAACCGCTTTTTTAAAGAGGCGTTCTGAAACCCGCAGCAACGAGGTCCAGTCTGACGACTCTGAAAGTACACATACCTAAACGACGGGACAAGACGGGACGTACCACACGATGCAAACGACGGGGATCGACCATTGTTGCGACGAAACGACCAAAGGGAAGGACAGCCCTGACGGACTGGGAAGCCCCTTGCTCTCCTGCACTAACCCTGTCTTGTTTCCGGCCGAGACGCCACCCCTGCTGCGGCACGCGACGCGACCCGGAAGCAGCGCCAGCCGCCAACACTAGGAGGCTACGGACTGCTTGAGCGACGGCGCGTCCCCGTGGCGCAGTGCCACAGTTCCAGCGTCGAGGTCGCGAGTCGCGGGTTCGAAACCCCGCGCCGGTACTGTAATTTTCGTGCGTGCTTAGAGAACCTCATCCGCCGTTTCTGGCCCAAGAAGGTTGACATATACTGTATGTACCACGGCATGCGTTTCGGCAACACAGGCCTATTTTTAACCGAAGGGAAAAGATAGGCCTCCCTTGCCGGGAGGCGTCTGCCGGTTCCAAATCCAACATTAGTCATGTCCGCAGCTGCGCGGTGAGTAATAATGGTTCGTAAACGATGAGCCAATGGTCGCGGACGGCGAGCGGGGCGTGGCGCTCGGACGACACACTGCTATCAAGTTGCCGGAATCGCGAGGATCGCGCTCGTTCATTGGACTGTGATATAAACCAGAGGGCACGCCGGGTTCACATCACTCTTCACCCGACACATCCGCGGCCGTCCGCGGCGAGAGTCAGTCAGTCTCGTAGCGCCGAGCCAACACGCGCCCGCCGAAGTCAACGGATTTGGTCGAGTTTCAAGCCAAGATGCGCACTCTCGCAGTGTGGGCGCTGTGCGCGGTGTTCACGCTCGTCGCCATCCGCGACGTCGCGCACGCCGGCGAACCAGGCTAGTGGCATCACTTCTTTACTTCCACGTGAGTCGCTTTACAACTTTTGAAAAAAAAAAAAATTACAAAAGATCTTCTCTTTAGGTGTGTCCGTCGTCGAGTGCTCTAATTCCGTGAACTGCAAGCCGACGAGATGCACTGAGGAGGGAGAGTGCATCTTCGCCAACCCGCAGTGCAAGAACAAGTGCAAGTGCCAGTGCTCTCCGTACTCCGCCTCCCCAGGTAGGCCTACATTGGCAACTTTATGCGACTGGTTTCTCTGTTTTGCTGTTGTTTTTTTTTTTAGCTTCCCGAATTTTTTTTGTGAGCTCGATTCGCTTTGCTTGCGCAGTCGCGTCCGAGTCGTCGTGCCCGAGCGGATCGCTGTGCCAGGTGAAGGGCTGCCTGCAGAGCGGCGGCTGCGTCCTCAGCTCCTGGTACTGCAAGGAGAACTGCAAGTGCGGCTGCGCGCTCAATCGCGCCTGTAAGTGCCCGACAGTACACAATCAAAATGAGAAAGAAAAAAAAATGAGAGAGATTTTTGACTGTATTTGCGCTTGTTTCTCCAGCCGAATGCACTTCTTCGTGTCCCGGCAACCTCGGCTGCTCTTGCCTCGGCTGCTCCCCCGACCGCAAGTGCCTCTTCAACAAGCCCGAGTGCAACGAGCAGTGCAGCAGGTGCAGCTGCACGCCCAAGCAGTAAAGGTGGCCCACTGTAACCTTGCACATTTTGATTAAATTTGGAAGCAATCATTATTTTGCGTGTTTCTTTTTTTTTGAGCGGGATCTTTCTTGACACACGGACTGCACTGGTCAGATTCGAAGTTCCCAAACGACCCTGCAAAACACACGGCACCACAAAGCGTTGCACGCACCAAGGAAGAAACGCTCTTGTCCGGGAGGGATACTCTTGGCCTGAAAAAGTAATGCTCTTGCTCTGAAGAACAGCTCTCGAGTGGGGGCAAACTCTCGGCGGGGCCCCCAGCTCGGTAGGCAATGTGCGGGTTGCACTCACGGGTGTCGAGCGGGCTGCCTACTCTCACCACGGCAGGCGCTCTCCGCCGAGTCCTGTCCTCTCTCTAGCGAGTGTCCTTGAACGGGGCAATAACAGAAAACAACTCCGAGGCGCGTATCTCACCTCTGAACCACTCCCGATTAAAGCGAGGTGCCCCTCCACCGTCCACCCGTTGTGCGTGGCGGCCGAGGCGGCGCGACGGACGCCGGGGAGGTCCTCGAGCAGGTCCTCGAGCAGACCCCGGACCGTTCGACAGATAACGAGACCGTTTATAAAGCGATCGGGGCGCTGCCACGACTAGTCGAGGTGGAAAGTGGGGAACCTGCGTCGCAAATCGTGGCTCTACTCCTCAGGTTGGTACGCAGTGTCTTGGAAAAGCGGCGCGTTTAGAAAATACCGAGCTTGGTGGTGATGGGGGAGAGAGGTCATTTTCAACCATGCACCAGTTTGCAGCCTCGGACAATTTTAGTGTTTTTCCACATCGACAACGGTTACCTTGTCGGAGAGCGAATGTTCAAGATGTGAGGTTATGCGGTGGCGTGCATAAACCGCCCCTCAAGCGACATCGGAAGTCATTATTAGTGCTCCTCGGTGTTTTTCTAGTGGCTGGAACGCCCGCGTTGCGTCGAGGACACGGACACAGGTTCGCAATAGTCCATTGACGGGGCACCTTTCCCTACGGTGGCAATCACTGCGAGGTGGAGTGATTGGCCGAGATAAGCGCGCGAGTCGAGTGCCCGTGCGGCTGGGGAGCGAACCGCTGGGCGGTGTCGTTACGTCGTATAGGCTGCCGCAAAACACCCACGCACCGATTTCATCAAGTAGGGATTGCGGATTCGCTATACAGATGGCCGTGGGCTCGAACATTCCCACGATGCACCGGTGTCGAGACGGTAGTCAGCCTGATGTGACAACACCAAGGGGGACAGAACTCGGTAATGCTTATGCTGAAAGTGTCCCGGCTGGTTGCAGCATGTGGGTGCGCTTCGCGCTGTTCGGGCTGGTGGCCACCCTGGCCCTGGCCGCCGCCAAGACGGACCTGGAGACGGAGGTGGAGGCCCTCATCGAGACCTTCCGCGGCGACATGAAGACGGGCCGTCCGGACATCGGCATCCCCGTGCTGGAGCCCGCCGTCATCAAGCAGATCCCCGTCAACATCAAGCTGTCGCCCTTCGAGTGAGTACAGTGGCGTGGCGGACACCTTGCCGACGCGACGATGAGACTCAGTCTCACTCACTGTTTGCGATGAAACAGCGCCAGTTGCGTGGCCTCCGACATCAACATCGCCCGAGTGTCAGGCTTCGAGTTCACCAGGCTGGAGCAGCTCGCCGGCACCACCAAGCTGGCCGTGTCCGTGAAACTGCCCGACATCGCCGTCGACGGCGAGTACGACTTGAAGGGCAGGGTCAAGGTTGGCTTCATCAACGTCAAGCTCAACGGGAAGGGACCTCTCAAGTGAGTTGCTGCACCTTAAAGCGATGGCCAATCAATCCCCCTGGAGTTCGTCATGGTCCCGGTTCCCCTCTTCGCGTCCGCAGGCTCACCCTGAAGGGCCTCAAGGGAGATGCCACTGTTGACGTCATCGTCAACGGCGACGGATCGCTCAACGTGGCCGACCTCAAGATCGACAGCTGGACCTACGACAAGATCTCGGTATGAAGGTGATAACACGTTTCTTATGCAGGGCCAAAGGCGGTGTTTAAATGCAACTGTCTTTACTGCAGATAAACCTGGAGAACCTGCTCGACGGTGGAGTCATGGGCAAGACCGTCAACAAGCTCATCAACAAACTCGTGCCCACGTTCGTCAACGCCAACCGCGCCAAGATCAACGGCATGATCGAGACCATGGGCAAGAAGGTCATCAATCAGTACTTGGACGGCGTGGCCGGCAAGCTGTCCCTCCTGCACGGTGAGGCCACCCCCCAGCTCACGCTCGACCACCAGAACTGGATCGTTCCCGCCGAGGTCCAGGAGATCCTGCACCAGCTCGCCGCCGCCGCTTCCTCGTCCTCGTCCAGCCTTCTGGCCAAGACGGACCTGGAGACGGAGGTGGAGGCCATCATCGAGACCTTCCGCGGCGACATGAAGACGGGCCGTCCGGACATCGGCATCCCCGTGCTGGAGCCCGCCGTCATCAAGCAGATCCCCGTCAACATCAAGCTGTCGCCCTTCGAGTGAGTACAGTGGCGTGGCGGACACCTTGCCGACGCGACGATGAGACTCAGTCTCACTCACTGTTTGCGATGAAACAGCGCCAGTTGCGTGGCCTCCGACATCAACATCGCCCGAGTGTCAGGCTTCGAGTTCACCAGGCTGGAGCAGCTCGCCGGCACCACCAAGCTGGCCGTGTCCGTGAAACTGCCCGACATCGCCGTCGACGGCGAGTACGACTTGAAGGGCAGGGTCAAGGTTGGCTTCATCAACGTCAAGCTCAACGGGAAGGGACCTCTCAAGTGAGTTGCTGCACCTTAAAGCGATGCCTAATCAATCCCCCTGGAGGTCGTCATGATCCCGTTTCGTCGCTTTGCGTTCGCAGGCTCACCCTGAAGGGCCTCAAGGGAGATGCCACTGTTGACGTCATCGTCAACGGCGACGGATCGCTCAACGTGGCCGACCTCAAGATCGACAGCTGGACCTACGACAAGATTTCGGTAAGAGCTAGTGAGGTGCTGCCGTGGCATTTACGCAAGGCTAAGAGTAAGTTTAACTGCAAACTGTCTTTTTTTTTTTTCAGATTAACCTGGAGAACCTGCTTGACGGTGGAGTCATGGGCAAAACCGTCAACAAGCTCATCAACAAACTCGTGCCCACGTTCGTCAACGCCAACCGCGCCAAGATCAACGGCATGATCGAGACCATGGGCAAGAAGGTCATCAACCAGTACCTCGACGGCGTGGCCGGCAAGCTGTCCCTCCTGCACGGAGAGGCCGCCCCCCAGCTCACGCTCGACCACCAGAACTGGATCGTTCCCGCCGAGGTCCAGGAGATCCTGCACCAGCTCGCCGCCGCCGCTTCCTCGTCCTCGTCCAGCTCGCTAGTCCCCAGGGTGCTGCAGCTGCTCGAGGACTTCCGCAAGATGATGAGGAAGGGCCGTCCCGACATGAGCATCCCGGTGCTGGAGCCCGCCGTCATCCACACCATGCCGGTGGAGATCAACCTGCCGCCCTTCGAGTGAGTGGCGGTTTGACGACACCCGCCGTGGCCAGAGCCCGAGACCTTAACCGGGACCTCGTTCTTGTCCTCAGCGCCTCCGCCGTGTCGCGCGACGTGCACGTGTCTGGCGTGTCCGCCTTCGTGATCAACAAGCTGGAGCAGGTCGACGGCACCAACCGCCTCTCCGTGGCCATCGAGGTTCCCGAGGTGGACGTCGACGGACAGTACGAGATCAACGGCAAGGTCAAGATCGGCTTCCTCGACTTCAACCTCAGCGGCGGCAAAGGCCCAGTCACGTGAGTATGGCCTCGATGGTGGCGGCCAGATCGTTCGCTCCATGCTAAGTCACGGCGTCGTCCCCCCGTTGCAGGCTCAAGATGAAGGGCTTCAAGGGCACCGCCACCATCGACATGATCGTCAACGACGACGACTCTCTCAACCTTAACTGGATCAGGTTCGACACGTGGAACTTCGACAAGGTGGAGGCCAATCTGGAGAACGTGGCCATGGCCAAGTACGTCAACCCCTTGATCAACAAGCTCATCCCGGTGTTCCTGCAGGTATGTACAGTTTAAAACGAGGGAAATCATTTTTTTCTAAATTTCTTTATTCTTTAACATTGGTTTAAAAATCCGTCTGCAGCTGAACCGGGCCTGGATCAACAACTGGGGTGAGGGTGTGGCGCAGACCGTCGTGAACCGCTACCTGGACGGCATCGCCGGCAAGACGGTGCACTCGGCCTTCCCCCTGAACGAGATGGCGGTCGACGCCGCCCCCTTGGTCGTGTCCCTGGAGGCGCAGCAGCTCCTCGACCAGCTCGCCCTCATCCTGACCGACAGGCCGAGGCTGGCCGCGGCCCTGGCAGCGTAGAGTACTGTCCGATGTTTTGCGTGTGTGGAGAGTAAAGTAAACTTTTCCCAAATCAATTTTTCTATTTTTATTTTAAACGTTTGTTGTGGGTTGTTAACCTTTCGACGCCGTCGCAGAGTCAATCAGCGTAATTGTTCATCACGAAATGGCTCGGCACACATATCAAATCAAAGTCGGTTCGCCACTGCCTCTCTCGCACTCATGGGGCGTTCCGAGTGGGTGTGAGAGAGACACGGCGACGAAGCCATTGTTCGGGATCAGCCAGTTGCTGGTCGATAACTTTACAACGCCCAGCCCTCCTCCGCCACGCGCGAGGGCATGCCTGGCGGAAAGCGCGTCCCTGACGCGCAGGCCGGCCACTGCAGGGGAGTCGCGAAACGCAGCAGACACGCACGCGACTTGATGTAGTGAGTGACGGTGCGTTGGGAATGGCTGCACTGGCAGAGCTGCAACGACGTCGCGTTGTCTGCAGTTGTCAATCGAAGGCTGCTTGTTCCAGGGTGTCTCGTAGACGCCCCGCCCGCGGCGAGGCTCGCGGCCGATGTGGCTGACGGCGCTCAGGGCGCTGCGGGCGGCGGCCCTCGCCTCGACCCTGGCGCAGCTGTGCGTCGTGCCGGGCGCCGATGCGGCCGTCAAGCCCTTGAAGAAGAGGTAGGAGGCACGGCTCGTGCGGCGAGCAGGTGGCGAACAGCGCAGACGCAGGCGCCACCACGGTTCAACTTGATGGCGGTTTGCAGAGTCTCGGACGAGGATTTCGTGAGGTTCCTGGGCTTCCTGGCGACGCGCTACTTGCCGGCCGACGGCACCCTCATCCTGTGCAGGGCCGGCGAGGCCGCCAGGCTGCCCTGGGTCCTCGGCGCCCTGCACTCCCTGCCCGTCATGGCGCTGTGCCCCGGCGCCGACAACCAGCTGCCCGCGGGCAGGCTGGTGGCCTTCATGGTGGTGGGCACGCCGCAGTACTTGCCGCAGTTGATGGCGCAGCTCAGCCCCGCGGCTGACTCCTCGCGCTGGTACTCCGAGATGATGATCATCGTGCGCCCCGACGAGGACGCCGACGACGCCGACACCCTGGAGCCCCTGGTGCAGGACCTGATGGCGATCACGTGGTCGCGGTCCTGGGGACAGACTTCGGTGACGGTGGTGCGGGGCGAGGTGGGCACCCTGTACGCCATGGTGCCCTTCACGAACGCGTCCGCCGTGTGCGGCAGCGAGGCGCCCGTCGTCGCCCCTTTGGCCTCGGTGCGCATCACGGACCCGGCCGCGCTGGCCACCCTGCCTCACAAGATCTACGCGGGAGAGCTGGTCCCCAGGGACCTCGGCGGCTGCGTGGTGCGCGCCACTGTGATCGTCAGCTACCGCGACCGGTGCGGCTACACCGCGGCCAACGAGCTGCCCTTCGAGTCGAGGCTGGTCGTCGCCATCATGGAGTCCGTGGCGCAGTACAGGAACGTCAAGGTCAACTGGACGTACGTCACCGACCAGAAGATCGTGAACTACGGCAACGGGACGTTCTCCGACCCACTCCGGAGGCTCAACGGGCAGACCGACGTGGTGCTGGGGGTCATGGCGATGTCGCCGAGCAGGATGCAGTCCTTCCGGGCCACGGTGTCGTTCCTACAGACGCCCATCGTCGTCACGGCGCGCTGCCCCAACCCGACGCCAGGAAGGCCGCGCCACTTGTCCAAGATGTTCCGGAACATCTGGGTGCGCGGGGTGTGGGGCTGCCTCCTGGTCATCGGCGTGGCCGTCACCGTGGTGCTGCGCGTGGTCATCGCACGCGTGTCCCGGGTGGTGCCGCGGACGCCGCGCTGGTGGTGCTCGGTGGTCAGCGCGGCCCTGCTGGACCACATGGCCAAGATGTGCGAGGTGGTGACGCCGGCGTGGCGGATGTGCCCCGCGGTCACGTCGGCGCGTGTGCTGACGGGCACCTGGCTGCTGGTGCTGCTCAACATCAACGTGGCCATGAAGGGACTCCTGCTGACCGAGGGCACCGTCACCAAGCCGTTGGTGATGCCGCAGACCGTGCCGGAACTGCTCGCGGCCATGCCCAACGTCACCGTCTTCACCACAACGGAGAGCCTGCGCGCGTCGGTGAACGCTTCCGGCGTGCCGCTGGAGCGCGTGGTGGCCTGCGAGAGCGAGCAGGACGTCCGGCGCTGCGAGGACCGCTTCGCCAGGGAGCCAGCCTCCGCGGTGGCGTCCAGCCCCGAGCCCTCGCGCCTCAAGTGCCTGCGCGGCTGTCGGTACTCGCTGCCCACGGTGCTGGTGCAGGCCAACTACGTCACCTACGTCAGGAAGACCTACGTGCTCGTCGACGTGCTGGACGAGACCATCCTCCGCCTGCAGAACGGCGGCCTCATCGAACGGCTGGTGCAACTGGAGATCACGAAGAGGCGGTCCAAGGCGAAGCGGAGCCAGCTCAGGCAAAGGAGGCAGGATCGGACACGGCGCAGGAGCAGTTTCAGCGTGGACCACATGATCATCCTGTTGGCGGGACTCGCCGTGGCGACGCTCGCGTTCCTGGGCGAGACGGCGACGCACCGTCTGCACGCCATCATGTGCCCCAGTACCATCCCCAAGAAGCAACTCGCTATGATTTCTTCGAAGCGCTGAATTAGATTCGATATGTAGGTAATGAAACCAAAGTCTCAATTGTAACTAAACTCCAACATCTTTTCATTTCATTTTGTTTTTAAACCTCTCCTGAAAAAGAATTAGGGGTGAGCGAATTTCCCCCTCCCCCGCGCTTCATTCAACTAATGCCAGGGAAGCCCCGAACTGCGCCGGTGTCCGCAGTCCGCTGGCCCTGATTCGCAGCGCGATCAATTTTTGCCCGATTGTCGTGGCTGCTCCCTGGAGCGCGACGACGACGACGACGGCCCGGCGGGGCGCAACGCCGCGGGACGCCGCCGCGCATTCCCTGCGGCAAAGTTTCTCGTTCCACTTCCACGGGGTGTCGGCCGGCTTTGTCCGCGGGGGGCCGCACATGTCACTCGCACCGAGGTACACATGGAGAAGAGTGACCGCCGTCACTCGCTCCGAAATACAAGTGTCGGAATCTCGTAAGCAGAATTTCACCATCCACGAGATAGACACCTGTATTTCGTAGCGGGTCACGGCGGGCCAGGAGCGGGTAACTGTTCTCATCTCTGCACCGAGTCGAGGAAGTTCGACGCGGGGAACTCATAAGACTTGCGCTCAATCTGCTCCAACTGTTCAATGTGAACAAATGCATTTTTTCTCGACCTGTCCTTTGGTTCAGCCGTGTGACTGTTGGGACGTACAAGGAGCTGCCTTTGTTGACCGCAGCCTCCTCGCTGCCGTGCTGCTGCAGGGCCTGCAGGGCGTCCAGGGTGGCGGGGCGGCCTTGACGCCGCCGTCCGCCGCCGTGCCCGTCGAGGCCCTGTGCGCGCTCGCCCTGCTGCCGCGCTACCTCCACGAAGGGAAGGGCCCGGCGGTCGCGAGGCTCGTCGTCATGGGCAAGGCGCACTGGCTGGGCGCGCTGCTGCCGCGCCTGCCGACGTACATGACCGTGGCCATCGTGGACGCGGACCGCCCGGCGTCCATGGCGCGCCTGGCCTGGGCCATGCGGAACGACAACTGCCTCCTGCTGTTCGCGGAGGACCGGCCGTCCGGGCTGGCGCACGCCATCCTGCACCACGTCCTCACCTTCTCGCGCAAGCTGCTCTGGGCCTCCACCAACTCGACGCGGCCCAGCGACGAGGACCTGGCGCAGGCCGAGAGCGGGCTGCTGCAGACGTGCTCCCTGGAGGCGGTCATCGCCCTCACCTCCAAGGACGGCAGCACGACCTTCTCCAAGGCGGAGTCGCTGTGCCGGTATCGGGAGCAGGCCGTGGAGCGCTGGCTGCCGGCCGCGGGGTGGCAGAGCAACGCCCCGCTGTTCGCGCCGCGGTGCAGCTCGTGGACGCGGTCCTCGCCGCCGGGGACCATCACCCTCCACTACAACCGGCCCTACTCGAAGAGCCAGAACCTCCTCGACCACCCGATAAACCAAGTGATGATAACGCTGGCCGACCGGATGGGCGAGCGCTTCGTTTCGATCTACAGCGGCGACGGAAACTTCTCCGGGCCGATGGACTTGGCCCTCAACTGCAGGCTGGACGTGATGGCCTTGGCCAGGCCGCTACACCACGTCGTGCACGTGCCGCCGCACCTGGTGGCCTTCCCCTGGGAGATGATGAGGGTGGTGATGGTGGTGCCCTCCGACATGGGCCGCAGCAGGGGCCTTTTCCACACGCTGACGGGGGAGCTGCAGCCTCCGGTGTGGGCGGCCGTGGTCGCCGCGGCGGTCGTCGTCCTGGTGGGGCTGACGCTGCTGTCGCGGGGCCGCCCAAGGGGCCGCCGCGCCGCGGACGTGCTCAACGTGCTGGCGCCGCTGCTGGGCTCGCCGTCACGCGGGGTGCTGGCGCCGCAGCGGCCGCTGTCCGGCAGCTGGATGTTGGTCTGCATCGTGCTGGTGGCCGCGTACCAGGGCACGCTGCTGAGCCGCCTTAGCAATGGCGCCCCCGTCGAGCAGCTAATGTCGTACGCGGACCTCATGGAAACGAACCTCAGCGTCCTGGCCCCCGACGCCATGTTCGACGACGCGCTGCCGCCCGAACTCTACCCCCGACTCATCTACACGTCCGCCCTCTCCAACGAAATGCAGCTGAGTGAGATGGCGCAGCGCCGCGACGCGGCCAAGCTGCTGAGCGTGGACTTCATCAACAGCCTCGTCCCGTTCATGGTGCCCGTCAAGCTGCTGCACGCCTTCACAGTGCCCACGCGCTTCGCCCGCTCCATCTTCTTGACGGCCAAGAACTCCCCGTACGAGGAGCCGCTGCGGCAGATCCTGGGCCGCGCCCACGCCAGCGGCCTGCTGTGCCACTGGAACTCCATGGGCGATTTCAACATAAGCCGCACCAAGCAGCGCGAGAAGCTGGTGGACAGGCACAAGCCCCTAGGATGGCGCAACGTCCGCGCCCTGTTCACGGTGTGGGCCGCGGGGCTGGCCGCCGCCCTGGCCGCCTTCGCCGTGGAGTCGATCCCGGCGCTGGCTGGGGATTAGTTTGTACAACGTCAAGGAGAGCGCTTAGAATATCAGACTATTCATATTATTATTGTGTGCCCATTTCCCGCTTACGCGATGACAAATCACTTGAGCAATCAGTTCGACACGCCGTCACTCCAGTCCGCGACCTGTGCCGCCTGCCGGCCAGCGTGGGCGCGGCTGGGCGCGGCCTGGGAGGGTCGATGCCAGGATGCCACTGCGCGAGCACTGCGTCACTCTGGGTCCACCACCGCCAGGTTCAGTCTGTAGCACATCATGTACCGCTGGTTCTTGTCCCTCAGACCGATGTCCACGACCAGCGATATCTGCAAACGAAAATAAAAGGATTGGTGCATGGCTTTTTATGGAGGGAGAGGGGACTTGGGCGGCTGGTGGGCGATCAAACCGTCGCACCATTGAAACATTCTCTCTCGGCTGGACCGTTCGACTTACCGATGGATAAGTGGATTCGACGGGCAGCTCCAGCTTGTAGGTCACCACCTCGTACTTGTCCAGGGGGCACTCCGCGTTGGTCAGCGACTTGCAGGCGTTCTTTTGCTTGAGTGGGAACTCGAGCACGGCGCCCAGGGCGTATGCCGTCACGACCGCGTCCAGGCGCGCGACGTCCTGGTCTGATGACACGTTTTAAAAGTCGCTGAGTAGAATTTCGAGGCGTGTGGAGGAACTCTGGGGACTCACCGACTTCGAAGTCCACCTCCATGCCGGCGATCTGACCCTTGGGCACCTTGCACACGGCGCCGGTGCAGCCCTTGACGCGCACCTCGATGGGGTCCTTCGGCGTCGGGCCTGCAAACCATGACCGTCCTCAGCTCGGCGTGCGGCAGTGCGTCAGCCAACCTGTGTGCCTCCCTGCCGCCACGCACATGACAAGAAGGGCGTCGGCGGGATGACGTCCTCGGCGATGCAGGCCCCCGCGGCCGCGAGCAGCAGGAGCGCGGACAGCAGCGGCGTCGGCATCATGTCCAGGAGCGTCTAGCGACTGGCGGCCGCTGCGCGCCGCGCCGCGGGACGGCCACCGGGACGCTCGTCTACTTGTCTGATTGTCCGATAAGATTGAAGAGGAGAGGAGTCACCGACGAACACCTGGGAACACCTGCACATCCCGCTCGACGTCAACGTGCACGCGTCCACGGCACTGCAAACACGCCGGGTCGGCCGCCTCGGCCCGCGCCAACTTATGCACGAGCGATTGTGTATTCATTTGGCGACGGCCCTGAGGCCCGCGGTCGCCGATGCATTATTTTCCATGTCCTTCCCCGAATAAGCGCTTGGCCGAAAGGACTGCAAGGGCTGCCCGTGCCTGCCGCCTGGCACTGTTGCCCACAGCTTCGCAGCCTTGCGTAGGTCAGCAGACTGCAGGTGGGGAGCACTTAAGAGCTCTGTTTTAGGGGAGGGGGATCGGCAGTGGGCGAACACCACTCCTCTCAATCACTCGTCACTACATGCGACACGACCAGTCTGCAGTGAGGCACGTGCGTTCCCCCTGTTTTTCGGTCACGTTTTCATTATTCCAGGCGTCCCACTACTCACGTGCTTCCGAGCGACCTAGGTCGTTTTCGCCGCTTCGCGACTTCCGCTGTTCCCTCGTGCGTTCCCGCCCCCGCCCAAGTTTTGCGCCCTTTCCTAGTTCAGCTCGGCCAACTGCCTGAATGATGTACGTCAAGGTGAAGGTGGCTCCTGCCGAACACACGTCGGGGCGCGCGGTGGCCAACTTCCAGCTCGACTCGCACAAGGCAGACACGTGTGCGTGTCGTGCGTGTCCGCCTGGCCCGCCGCCGCCAGTGTCGTCCCCGGGAAGGAGACGCAGCGAGGCGGACACCCTGGGCAGGGCCATGATGGCCAGCACCATCGCCACGTGGCACGTACGTACGCTGCAGTGCAGTGGACGGGGTTCGTGCCGGCCAGGCTGGAGTCGCGTTGACGGCCTGCTTGCCTGCTCGCCCAGGTGGACGAGTGCGGTCCCCTGAGCCGCAACCTGCAGTGGTGGCTGCGACACGTCACCGCGGACCCCACGGGGCGGCGCGAGAGCCTGTTCAGGAGGACGCTGTTCCTGCTTCGCGGTAGCAAGGCAAGCGGCTCGGCCAGCGGCGCGCCTCGGGTTCAACTACCGCCACCTCTTTGATTTTCCTCTGTGAGCACTACAGTCGACAGATTTCCCTGACGGTGGCGTCGGTGGCGCTGGTCCTGACGCTGCTGAACGCGGTGACCGCCGTGTCCTTCGACCGGGCGGACGTGTCGGTGCGGTACTTCATCGGCGTCACCACCTGCCTGTTCGCGCAGATCTTGTTCTGGCGGCGGCAGCCTCTACTGCGGGCCTGGCTGGGACTCATCATCGGCGAGGCGCGGCGCCTGGAGCAGGCCGTCGACCGCAGCGCGGTGGGGGAGCAAGTGCGTGTCTCGATGGACGTCCTTGCGACCTGAACACGAACATCCTGAACATATTCGTGGTGTCGCAGGAGCGCCTCGCGCGGCGCGCGCGGTCCGGCCGCAAGATGCGCTGGTTCTTCGTGGTCCACGCCGCCTGCACCGAGGTCACGTTCGTGTACACGCTGAGCGTCGTGCCGCCCAGCTGGGCCGAGCGCGCCGTCGGCACCCCGCTGGAGACCGAGGTGTGGACGCTGCGCTGGGGCTGCCTCGCGCTGCAGGGCTACGGGCTGCTGGCCGGGCTGGCGGCCATCTACACCTTCATCCCCCTCGTCCTGCAGGTCACCATGTCGTCCGCTGACCTCCTGGACGCCCTGGCCCGCCGCCTGGAGGTTCGGCTCAGCCGCAGGTACGTCCGAGGCAAACCGATTGCAAATTGACGAGGTGCGTGTCTCGTGTGTCCGGCCAGTTGTCCAAGTGCGAGCCCAAGGACGCCGCCATGCTGAGCAGGCTGCACCAAGCGTGTCTGCTGGCGGACGCCACCGTGTCCGACATCACGTTCCCCGTCGTGTTCGCCAGCCTGCTCATGCCGCTCATCAGCATCGCCCAGGTAGGCGCCGTTGCCCATGAGGCCGTTCCATGAGGCCGTTCCATGAGGCCGTTCCATGAGGCCGTTCCATGAGGCCGTTCCATGAGGCCGTTCCATGAGGCCGTTCCATGAGGCCGTTCCATGAGGCCGTTCCATGAGGCCGTTCCATGAGGCCGTTCCATGAGGCCGTTCCATGAGGCCGTCATGAGGCCCATGAGGCCGTTCCATGAGGCCGTTCCATGAGGCCGTCCATGAGGCCGTTCCATGAGGCCGTTCCATGAGGCCGTTCCATGAGGCCGTTCCATGAGGCCGTTCCATGAGGCCGTTCCATGAGGCCGTTCCATGAGGCCGTTTAACGCGTGACCGCGAGGCTTGGACTGCAGGCGCTGAGCGGCACGGTGGACAACATGGACGCCCTGGGCACGGCGCCGCTCTTCATGACCATCACGGTGCCGCTGTACCTGGTGGGCGACATGCTGGAGCGCGCGCGGCACGGCGTGGCGCAGTCCTCCGCCAAGGGCCCCTGGCTGGACGAGCCGCCCCGGGTGCGCCTCCTCCGCTGCGCCATCATGCTGGGCGCCGGCGGCAGGGGCGCCCTTCTCAGGTGCGTGTCGCCCCCTTCAGAGCTGAATTAAAACTTGTGTGGCATTGCGTGGAAGTGGAATCCTGTGGTCCCAGGTGCGGCGGGCTCGGACTGCTGAACCGAAAGGGCCTGGTGCACGTGATGCGGTCCTGGGGCGGCTTCCTGCAAGCCATGGCCAACCTCCGCAGGGCGAACAAGCAGGTCTAAACCGGGGTCTACTCGCAAATGTGTTTCAGTACCTGATGTTTAAAATGGCAATTTAAAAAAAAAGGTTACGCATGAGTTGGCTTGTAATAAAAGGAAAACTGTGTGGAAACAGTTTTACATACTTTTGTCTTTGTTATACTGATGTTCGTAATGTATTTTCTTTGTGAACTCATCTAGTATTATCTATAGTTTGTAAGGATTTAGGTATAGTGAAATCAAAGCCTCTACAAATTCAATAATAAATTTAATTTTTTAAATTATCCGAAGCCTGTTCTAATTTTAGAGCTGAGCCACCTTAAAGAGACGTCTAGAAGGGTTCTCCAACCGGCCGAACCGTTATTTCCCCAATCTGGAAAACAAAGAAATGTAATGTGGAATAGTTTATTCTTCTTGCGATTTCCGGTTGCTGCAATCACCTCCACGTTGTCCGGCGTGCGCAGGGCGTAGAGGACGATCTCGGAGATGTCCTGGACCTGCAGCACCGGGCCGGTGCGGGAGGCCTCCATCGCGGCCACCATCTCCGTGCAAACCAGACCCGGACTCACGTTCTGAGAACAAGCGCGATGCGTTTTGAACGCCTGCTCGGGCGCCAACAAGTGAGACACTAGCTAGACGGAGGACTGACCGTGACGCGGATCTTGTACTCAGGCATCTTGAGCAGGTCGAAACGCAGCCCCTTGCTGAGCGCCGTGAGGCCGTTCTTGGAGGCGGCGTACGCCGACACGGACGGCACGCCGTGCACGTCCCGGATCACGGTGTGCCCGGTCACGCTGCAAGCAAAGACCCGCGATGTCAGCGAGGCGACGGACGAACTGAAGAACACTGACAGGTCCCGAGCCACTCACCTGTTGATGTTGACGACGTGGCCGTTCTTAAGGCCGTGCCGCCGCATGCTGGCCAAGGCCTCCCGGCAGCACAGCGCCACGGCCGTGAGGTTGGTGGCGAAGAGCCTCTGCATGTCGGCGGCCTCCATGTCTGGCGGCAGGTCGAGCGCCGTGAGGGCAGGCAGTCCCGCGGGCCGCGGGGAGTTGCGGGACTGCCTGCCCGCACGGCGCTAGAGGCGAGCCGCCGCGCCTGGCCTCAAAAGCCTCAAACTGCACACCGCCCTCGACCCTCACCTTGCATCGGCTGCGTCGACAGGAACGCCGCGTTGTTGACCAGCACGGACACGCCCCCCAGCTTGTCCTCCACCCACTTGAATACCCGGCGCACCTCCGCGCCGTCCGCCAGGTCGGCCTCCACGGCGTGCAGCTGTCCCCGGGCTCCCGAGGCCACCAGCGAGACCGCCAGCTCCTGCCAAGGACCACGGAACAGAAAGGGATGGAGTCACATTTGCAAGAAAGGCCGGACCAGGGTGAGGCAAGCGCGAGCGCGGAGCTTTACCTGGACGAGGTGCATCCTCCTGGCCACCCCCACGACGACGAGACCCTCGCGCACCAGGTCCTGCGCGATGCGCGCGCCGATGCCACTGCTCGCCCCCGTGACCACGGCCACCCGTCCTGCGTACCGCTCCATGCTGCGCTGTTCGCTGTTCGGCGTGCTGCTGCTCGGACTCGTCGACGGCGACTGGCGGGCAGGACGTCCGGCCCGGTCCGGCCGCACCGTTCCTGGCTCGGTCCCTGGACCACCTCGCTCACCTTGAGGAGGTCAGGGAGTTTACGGCCTGCGAGCCCTGTGCCATGACGCACACAGGTGTTCTATGTTTTTGTAAAAACAAATTTATTTGGAAATAAAACCGAGTGGACCCGGCCCCGGAGACATAAAGCCAAAGTAACGCTCCGCTTCAGGGGTGTTTGGGCACGATGGAGAAGTAGAAGCGGACGCAGCCGACGAGCTCCTTGGCCAAGGTGAAGACGCGGCCGGTGCCGCGAAACTTGCCGTAGAAGAAGCTCGGCGGGAAGGTGAAGTCGTTCTGAGTCGACACGTTGGTCGCGGTGTAGGTGCCCTGAGAAGCGTGCCCGGTCAATTTACAGTGATGTGACCAATGACTGTGACCAATGAGACGGCTGGGGATCTCACCGGCGGGAACGGGCACTTCCGGTCGGGGTCGTTGAAGACGTACACCATGGCCTTGCGCCACTCGCGGGGGAAGAAGGAGCGGACCGTGGTGCAAGGCTTGGCGATGGTCTTCTGGAAGGCGTTGTCCTTCCAGCCGCCTCGGGAACTCCAGGAGGCGAGGTTCACGGACAGCTGCAAAAGTAGAGCTTGGCGTCGCTTGCTACCCAGGAAGCTCCTTGGCGGTCATTGCAGGTTAAGGTAATCACCGTGTAGTCGTCGGTGCACGGCAAGAAGGTCGTCGTGTTGAACGAGTAGAACCACGTGTCAGGGTTCGACCGATCCCGCACCGCCGAGTAGGTCGCGATGTAGTACTTCTTCTGCGGCCTCATTTCCGGCGGGCACTCGTCCAGGTGGTCCGGGACGATGCGAAACGGGCCCTGCACCGCACACGCACCGCACACGGCTCAGACAGGCGAACCTACGGACGCCGTGGGACGCCATGGTCCGCGACGAGTACTTGCCGCTATGGGAGAGGCGACGGTCATGACGGCGGAGAGCAGCACCACCGCCGCGGGCGTGGCCCAGGCCGACGTGGCCCAGGTCGGCGTCGGCGTGGTGACCCAGGTCGGCCAGTGCCGTGGAGCCATAGCGGTCCGCACGCGGAGCATGGCGGCAATGCCCCGTAAAACGCGTGCCTCGTCTCGAGCGGCGCGAAAAAAAAAAGAAAAAAAAAGTCAACTGGGAAAAAAAATGGGACGCTCTGTGTCAGTGCATCGAACTCGACCGAAAATGGACCCTGAGCACGATATCCGATGATGTTGTTTACGTACATCTAATGGAAAATTTTGCGACATTGCGTTTGTGATGACTTTCTCTTGATGTGCAGGGCAAGTGACTGTAGCTGACGTCGGTGTCCTAGGGCCTACTACCTAGGGCACTAGACATGTCTGATGACTTACGTGTTTGGCCGGGCTCACTTACGGTGCACTGGGTACTGCCGATCGTTCCAGCATTCAGCATCTGAAATTTCGTTGAAGTGCAGCCTAAGGAAAACAATACAGAATAGGGAAGTCCCTGCAGCAATGGAGCCCCTGCGAGAATAGAGGTAGGCAACTCAACTAGCTCGGGCTTCTGCTGTTGTTGCTGCTGCTGCTGTTGTTGTTCTCGAGGCAGCAGATGACAGCTGAGTCAGACCCTGTTGCTGGATATCTCAAAGAATCAGTGTTGTTTGTTCTTGCTAGTCTGTTATTTGTCATGTGTCTCGTCGGGCTAGCCCGACTCATTTGAGAGTCCTACTCTCATGATTTGAGTCGTAGTACAACGTAACATGTCGGACCTTTGGATGATTCTTTGTGGCCGTTCTAACCAATCCGATTCTTGTTCTTCCAAACTTTGTACCATTCTCTGACAGCTTTAATCTCTGTTTGCGATGGCCAAGTTGCATTTGGAAGGACCATCTTTTTAATGTGTCATCTTTCTATGGTCAGTAAATATGGGGTGCTTTGGACAGGTTTAGTGGTAGAAGGGGTTATGTTTTCGTGGGGGATATGTCAAAGAACAAATGTTTTGTAAACAAAGAAATTTTTTATGCATTGCCTGTTTATAAGTTTGTACTTCTTTGCAGCCCTTACCACCACTTTTTAAGGAAGATGCCTACATGCAAGTATCACGAACTTAGTGCTTCCCAAGTATACAAATCTACTGCTATTGCTCAAATTTTGTGTCAACTCTCCAAATGTTTTGGACCTCAGGTAAAATAAACATGTGTCTTCCTTGTGTATGAAGCATAAGAAACTGATCTTAATATTAATATATTTTTGAAAAACCTCAGGATTTAGGAAGCAACTTATTTCAATCATGTCTCGAATCGATTTCACACTCCGATTCACAAGAAAAGAAACAAGAAGGTGTTGTAATATTTTTCAGCTTCATGTTTTATATTTTTTAATTGGTTTCTTACATCCTTATTTCCCTTTGTCCTCTTTGAACAGCCATTGGAACTTGCCTCTGCTTGATTGCTGGACTTCCCGCACTCACAGATGTCAAGGATTGGTGTAAACGACTGTTTGATCTATGCAAGCACCAAAATGTTGAAATTAAACTTATTTATGCAGCTCTTGTTTCAAGATGTGAGCTGAGTTCAGTAACTTGTTTACTAGATTATGAAAGACCATTTCTAAGGCAAGTATTGAAAGAATCTTCTCCTCTTCTTGTTTCTTATTTGCCTTTAGTTGCGTTTACTTATTTTTTCCAATGCTTTTAGGGATATTGAAAGGATCGGCCAAGATCTTGCCGCAGAGCATGAAGATATTTTCATGTCATTATTTCTAATGACAGTCAGGAAGCAAGAGCACTGGCTGGATGTTCTACTGGTACATTGAAGTTATAGTTACTGGTATATTTTAAATTTCGAAAATAAATAAAACAGGTTTTTTCCCCCTCATTGCAGGAAAAATTGTATTCTCTGTTGGGAGAAGATAAAAGGGAATCGGTCATAAATGTTTTATCTAGTCAAGTTTTGCATCCCTTATGGCAGTTTCTATTTTTCCGTTTGGCAGAAACTTTGTCAAATGTTGCTGCCCTTAAATTTGCTGCTGATCAAATAAGTGTAAGTTCATGAGTGATCATGACAAGTTACAAATAATTCTAAAATGTAGTTTTTGTACAATATCTTTTCTTTTGTTTAGGAAAATGGAGAATCTGAGCCCACTGCCAAGTTCCTTGCTCAAAAGCTTTTGTGGCAAATGAATGTGATTAATTTTGCCAAAGATAACAGTATTTCATGCGTAGTGAATACAGACCTGCTATTTAAGACCTTAAGTACTTTAAATCTCCTTCATCAATGTTGTTACATTTGGGAACTTGATTGGCAAAAAACCCATGAATTCTTACTTAAGCATTCAGTTGATGGTAAGTTTTTGGTTCCTTTCTTCAATGACATGAAAGTAATGTTTTTGAAAGATTTCATTATTTAGTATGCTTTTTGTTCCTGTTTTTATTTTAGGTGGACCTGTTGCAATGTGGGAAGTTACGCTGTTTGATGCATTTTATGCATCTTCTCTTGCATTTCAGTATGTTTCAGACTGTCTACATTCAAGGCATATAAAAACTGAAACTACGATGAAAAAAGATTTCCTTTCCAGAGTAGACATGATTTTATGCAATATTCAGCCCCACTCTATGAGGTTGACAATAATGCAAAATATATTCTCTCTTTTGTTTGTTCGTTATGAGGATTTCAAGGAGGATATTTGCTCTGATAGTGAAGAAGGAGAAATAGATGCCAACCAAAGTTTCCAAAATGACAAGAATTTTATGATAGATAAAGTTTATGAGGTATTGTCCTCTTCATTGACAAGTGTCACAAACACAACTGAAACTGGCCTTCGACCAGAGTTTAAAAGAAATATATCATCAAATCACAGTCTATCGTCTCTCAGTCATCCAAAAAACTGGCATGAATCTTACCAGCAGAAACATGGCTTTGTCTGTGATCGATTCATGACGAGAGACATTCTAAAACTGCTTCAAGGTTGCATCAAGAAATCAGGGTATATGCACATAACGGATCAAAGTAACTCGAAGCCTGAACTAGAAAGTTCTGCTGTAGTGCAATATGAGGCTCTTCAGAAAAAAGTTGAAGTTGCTCTCTGGAAACTTGACATTCTTTTAGGATCAGATTTTGTTGAGAGTACCGTTTTTTCTGACACAGTGGTAGAAAAAAAATCTCTTCCAGACTGGCTTTTTCAGCACTATGCTGATGAAGACAGTGCAAGTGATGAGGAGTCACACATTACTGTACCCACAAACATAGCATCAAAGCGAGCAGACACTGAAAAATCTAGTTCAGGCTCTCAATCAAACCTAACTTGTGAGTAACAATTTCTAATTTTTAGTGTTTGTGGGACCTAGTTTTACGTGCTCATTAGTAATGAATGTGAATTTTCAGCCCAGGGTCAGATACTCAATACTAAGTGGATTCGGAGGGGACGACGCAGAAGTTCGACCCGGCTCTGTGTAAGGAGCACTAAAGACACGATCATTAAGAGAATGCTGTCCTCAAAAGTGAGCTTTGTCTCTCAATGTCTCTCCCGAGGAAATTTTTGTGCTGCCAATAAGATTATTCAGGTAATTGAACAGCATCTGCCTCTTTTATTATTATACCTTCTAAAAATTGTACACCTCATTTTCCAATGTTTTGTAGCAATCTTTTTCATACTCTGAGGGCTCATAAAATACTTTCCGTTTTGAATGAAGTTGTGCTACTCCTGGTGGGTTTTGTGTGAGGAATTGTTTGGCTTCATGTATTACACTGTGGGGATGACAGCAGGCACACGGGCAGCAACAGCAACACCATCCTGAAACATGGTCTCATAATTTGGTACTAATTTTTGTCATGGAGTTTAGGTGTTAACTAGTGTATTGCCTTACCTTTTGTGCACCATAAGTAGCTTGCAATCAATGTATACAAAATTAACCAGGATAAGATATATAAACCTGATTTATGTGTTATGTCATCATTGTCATTGGATAGCCCATAGAGAAAGCATTCAAAAACCTGTCAAAATCACATAGTTAAAAGAACTGCATTCCAACAAAGTATATTTCACCTTCCATTCTATAATACTGTATTTGTCTTACTCTTGTTCTGAAAAGAAGGAAAACACTGCAGTAGTTTTCCATGGGAACATTTGCATTTGTTACATTTTTATGCCTTGTTTTATTAAGATTTATTTCTGTTGTGAATTCCATTTGCTCTGAGTAATCTTCATAAATTGTTGTTTCATTAGAAACATTCTTTGGGCTTTCTTCTTGATAATATTCGCTCTTAAACTTGTCATAGTCATAGCTGTAACTTTGGTTGTTCATTAAGCTATCATCTGATTCAAGACTGCCACTATATAAGCTGTCCTCCTCATATGTGCTGCTTTCTGGTGAAACTTCATGACTGCCCTTGCTACGTTTTATTCTTTTGCTTGTGTTCTGGCTGTGTTAGAGTTTAGACAATCACAAATATTGAACTTTACTAGGAGGTCATTTTTTTAAAGTTCTTCATGAAGCTTACCTGAGGCCATGTTCAATTTTTGCTCCTTCATCATTCACATGCAAACTGAACATGTTGCTTTCTTGAGTTTCATTTTCAGCTGATATTGACATACTTGCGCGGTGGTACATTCGAACACTATATAGTTGTGGAATGTAGAAACCTCTGTTAAATTCTATTCCTAAAGCAAATATCAAGAGTGTTAGTCTTAGGTCAATCATTCTCTGTGGGGTGTTATTTGTTGGAAGTCCATTGTTGTGAACCTTTGTTGAGAGGAAGTCATAAATTTGTGATGATTCTTCTTTATATGATATTTAGTCACTATTGATTTTTATTTCCTCAGACTTTAAATCTTCAAGAAAGTGAAATAGCTGCAGAAGTCAATTTTATTGAAGTTTACCGTACGGTAAAGCTGAAAGTTGAGGGTTGCTTGGAACAAAGCAACAAGTCCTTTGATCACTTGGCTGTTCCCAAGAACCAGAATTCCACCTTACAGGTAAACAATGAGCTTTAAATTAAATCCCATGAATGGTGTTGTGAATTTTCTTTTGTTTCCGTCTATGTTTTAACATTACCATGCGATTTTTGTTCATAAACTACTAGGTTATACAAAGAGCTGCCTCTGCTGGTGTGCAATCATCATTATTAAATAAAGAGCTGGAGAAACTGCTTTCAAGTGAACGTTTGCCTCGAGTCTTGAATGTAGAGCATATATCAGAAGGTAGTTTTCAATACTAAGGGGCATTGTTCCTTCTTGTGCATCCAAATCTCGTAATTAATTGCTAAGTGTTTTTGTTTAATAGATTATTTGCAATTATTTGGTGGCTCAGTTGATGAACAACCTATTGTGACTGCTGCTGTTGACATTGCTTTGATGCTTTCATCAAGCATACGCCAAGCTGCAAACTTTTTAAATATTGCTGGAAAGTATTCTTATGAACTTCAAAACATACATACAGCTGTTGCAACTCGGCAACCACCAATGGGTTTTCTACCATTCCTGCAAAATATTTTGCAGGTTTGTGGGAAAAATTCTGCTCTATTTCTTTTTCTTCTGACTTTAAAATTTTAAATTCAAGCCAATGAGGTTTTTTTTAAATTTCCTTTTCAGGCCACTACTTCTGAACCTGTAAGCACTTTGAATCTGTTACACGGATGGGAAACTCCTAGTTTTTTAACAAAGTGTCTCCGAGACACACTTCATTTTTGGGATAGTTTGAACAAACTCCTAGAAGAAGTACAAGTCTCGAATTATGTTGTATCATTTCCAAAACTTTGTCAACTTACGTCCTCATACATGTCTTCCAGAGGTAAAATTTACTACACTCTCACATCCAGTGTCTTTACTTTAGTTAGTATTCATCTTCAAAAGTTATTTTTGTCTTGTTTCACAGTTTTTGAAACAAAGGTAGATTTTAACTATTTACAAGAATTGAAATCATACCTTAGGCTTTTGAAATCTGTTGTGGACCGCTCTCCAGGTTTGTCTTCTTTCTTATTTGAATTTTTTTTTGGCTGTGATATTCCATTGGCTACACTGTCACACATGTTTTCTATTAGCTGGATTATTTTTTCCAGTATCCCTTTCTGATGTACCCTTGGAAGAAGAGCATTTTATGTTGCTCACAATGAGCCCTCATAAACTTATTATTGATATGGTAATTGACGAAGGAATGCCACCTCAGACCATAGAATCATTGGTATCACAGCTTGGTTGCAGCCTCCCTCATATCTTGAGCCTTGAGCTGTGCTCTAGTTTGCCATCAACACCATCTACAAAATCTTATCTTGATATAACAAAAAGCTCACACCATGGGGTTCATGTGTTGAATGTATCAGTGAGTTCTTCTGTAAACCACATGTTACTACATCAATTTGATTTAAATATGATTTAAAGTTTATGGTATTAACTTTGTGAATTTCTGCTCTCAGGATACAATTGGTCCTGTAAGGCATCCAGCTAGTTTTACTGAGGCGTTACTTCAATCAGTCCATAATGAACTCTTGCGGCAGCTTCGTCGGTTTCAAAAAATACACCAAACTCAAAATGGTCATATACCTTGTTCTCTTGTTAATACTAAGCGATTACAACTTATTTTAGCGGCTACCTGGGAACTACGTGATGTGAACTTAGCCCTGTTGCAACCAGGTAACATACAACAGACTAATTTAGAGAATTTAGAGAAAAGATGCTTATTAATTTTTATATATGATTTTATCAAATAGGTGCAGAGACCCTAGCCTTCTATTGCAACTTAGCAAATTTGATGTGGATCCACTCTGTTATATATTTTTCTGGAATGGGTAAAGTTGGCCGTAAGTTTCAACGAATAGAATCACTGTTACTATTCTTAAAGAAATTTTATTTTATTTTTTCATGATACTGAATTTGATATGTTTCTTATCAGATGCTTGCTTAAAATCATTTGTTTGTGGAAATTCTGCTCAGCAACTAGCTGCCATGAATTTAATTGCCTATCAAGTGGGTGCATCAGGTGTTTTGACCTTTTGGGAAATTCGTCTGCTTGCTCTGGGCATTAACAGTATGCGACCTGTAGGAACAAAGGCTCTAAACCAGTATGCCACCACCACTGATTCATTTGACCCTCTCTCATTGTTTGTGGTTACCACCGGCACCAAACTGTCTCCGAAGCTAAAGGTACAGGATTCACATTGGTCTGGTCATTTTTGTATTTCAAAATCTGTGCTAACATACACTTGTTAAACTAAAATGTAATCTGCCTATTGAAGGTGATGAACTCTGAGAAACTAGAAGAGCAGCTGCAAGAGTCTGTTGAAGAATACCTTCATCATTGGGCAGATATCCAAGAAGGAAAAGTGACTGTCCCATATCTGGTTGAGCAATACATTCAAAGCACCGGCCAAAATCCTCAAATATTTTTAAGAGACAGCTTGAACCAATCTATGCAGAGTAAAAATTATAGCTTATCAGGTTATTTGCATTTGAAACAACTAGGAAGATAACAAATTTTCTCACAACCATTTTGGAAATTATCTTATTAATCATTATTATTTTCAGACACTCCTGAAGTTTCTTACATATTTGATGAAGATACAACATGTGTTTTTGTACTGGAATATGGAACAAAATCTCTCAGAAGCATTCCCCCCAGAAAGCAAGCAAATATGTCATGGAAAAATAACAGAAATCTGTATGAAAGTATTTTGCAATACATAAGGAGCCACTCTCCGCTTGCTTCTCTTCTACTTAAAGAACTTTCTCAAGACTCCTCTATGAGTGGAAACAATAGTGAACTGGATGAGGAGGCTCAGGAAGCAACTGAACTCATTTCTATAACTTCCATCACAGATTGCCCATCCTTGAGTCAATGCCCATGTCTCGTCCGTCTTTGCCAAACGGCTAATGTTGAAATACAAAGCAAATTTTTTGACGACAATGTATTATTATGTGGTCTTCATAGCTTTGTGCCACATGAACTTCTCTGGGAGAGGATCAATGATCTAGCAACAGAGCAACAATGGTCAACTATTGTTCAACTGCTTAGAGCTCTTCCTCAAATGCAACTCCAGGGTGACCCATCACTCTCTGTAATGTTGGATCTTGCTCTACTGGAACTAGCTGTTGAATGTCAAGGTAATGTTTGAGTTGCCTTTCCCATTTCATATTTTTATAATTTTCCATCATCTTAAACAATGATAAATTATTTTATCAAACGTGCAGGAGCTGGTGAATCGTGGATGTTCAGTGAAGAAATAAAATCATTGTGTCTCCGTTCAAAGTGTGTCATGTCACAGAGCATCTTTTGGCCTGGAGATTTTTGTGTTGTTCAGCTTCGTAAACTTGTGGAGGTTCCTGAGCTACGTCTATATCCTGCCTTATTTACAAAAGCAGAGAAACTTATGCATTCTATAAAAGTGTACCAAAAGGTTTGGAGAACATAATTCTAGCAGTGAAACCAAACTGCTATTAACATATAATTGGTCCCTCTCTGACTATTTTAAATTTGTATTATCAGGTTGTTGATGAGTGCAAGGATTCACCCTGGGGAACTTGGCAAGATGTTTATAATGCTTCGCAGAAAAAGCCCTCTAGAGTCTTGGACCAAATTTTGGCTGATCAAAATGCTGAGCTGTGTCTGTCTTGGATTGATTTGCACAATATAACATCAACTCACACCTACCTCATTGACTCAAAGTATGTCATTTAATAAGTGGTCGATCTGTCTTGCTTACATCTGTACAGTTTAAATAAGGAAAAAACAACTTTCTTTCAGGGTTATCGTCCTTCTTTTGAATGATTCAGAAGACAGGTTGAAGTTTGTGGAACAGCTACTAAAGTCCGTTCCCTCTCTAAAAGCTGCAAAAATATGTTATGAAGCCATTGATTTAGTACATTCCCTTCTTGCCCTTCAGTTCTGTGCAAAGTATATTAGTCTTCACTGTTTTCTTGAGCTCAGTGCCAATGAGCAAGCCTCACTGGAAGTTGTTTCAATGGGGATAGATATGTTAAAATCTGTATCAACAGTAGTCCAGGTAAGACTGATCCGTCAAATACATTCTCATACTGTAGTATTCTTACCAATAGCTTTTAGTTTTGACATCTTATCTTTCTTCCAGGATGAATGCATAAAGCTTGTCAGAACTCCTCATCTAATGATTGAGCAGTTAGTTATGAATGTTCAACTAGATGCAGCTGAAAAAATGCTTGATGCTGTGCGTCCACGACTTCTTACGCTGAGTCCCAAGTCGTCTCTGTCAGTCCCTGCTTTGGACTCCATGCTGCGTCAATATGCAGAAAAAGCCCTTGAGTTTCGGATTTCACAGAGCTCTACAGCAAGCCAGATGAGTGAAAGTAGTGGCTTATTGGCTTCTTTATCTCTCTGTTCTGGTGGTAAAGATTCAGTGATGCCTGTGGTTGTACCATCAAAAGCAGAATGGGTACCTAATGACAAGGCTTCAGTGTGCATGATTTGTCAGCTATCTACTTTTACTATGTTCAACCGTCGACATCATTGTCGACGGTGTGGCCTGGTTGTTTGTGCCCAGTGTTCACCACTCAAAGCCATTGTCCAAGGCTACGGAACTTTAAAGGTCCGAGTGTGCAACAGTTGTTTTCCTAATGTTACCGAGGCGAATGAGACACTTTCAAGTGACCAGTTGACTGTGGAAAATGTTGATTCAAATGCTTCTGTCACTGCTGATAATGTGTGGCGTTTGTCTGTCTCCCCTACATATAATGACACTATTCGAGGAGAATTTGCCTATGAAAACGCCCCTAGTGTTTCTCTGTGTTTATCCATACTGAAAATTCATTCAGAAAGTGCAGCTTGTCCAAACTTTCTCATAGACTCTTGTGAGACCATATTGGGGTACCTTCAGCCACAGGAAGGAATGCCAAATCCAGAAGTAGACTATGTATTTGTTATTGAAATGTGCAGGTACATATTTATTACATAATTTAATTAATTTGTTTTGGTTAGTTCTGTTTTACTAAGACTATGTTTATTTCCCTCTATTTTCTATAACAGGTCATTAGTTCTAGCTGCCAAAGTAAAATGTGCTCAGTGGGGATATGTTTCTGATGAACCTAATTGTGATCAGAGACTTAGTAAAATTGATTTATTTGGCCTCCTAGTTTCAAATGGGTGCACTGCCATTATACCAACAGAAACTTCAATACATGGTTTGAGAAGACTTCAAAGTCAACTTCTTGAGGCAGAACTGTGGGATTTAGCTTTGGAGGTGAGTGTTGAGGAAGGGTCCCTTTTCTCATGATAAAATCTTGACTTTCTATCAAATTCTTTAAAAATTTTATCCAATGTTGCAGGTGTCCACAAAATCAGGAATGGAAAGAATAGGAGTATGGACAGCTTGGGGAAAAGGCTGTTTGCGGGCAGGACGTTGGAAAGAAGCTCGTGAAAAATTTGTACATTGCTTCCCAAGCAGCAACAGAATCAACAAATCGGCACCAGACTCGCCTTTACTCTTGGATATCTTGCAGGTCATTAGAGATTTCTAAGATTTTGTGACTTTTGATATCAGGATATTTATTTTTTTCGTCTTTTTCTTTTCTTTTTTTTGAAAAAGATTTTGGAGAACACCCCACACTTGGCTGATCACAACATCGCGCGGAAAGCTGAACCCTCACATACTTCAAACAACCGCTTTGCCCGCTCAGCTGCTGTTACTGTGCTTAATACTCTTGCCTCACTCAAGAATACTTCTCAAGGAAAATTCTCACAGGTATTTTTAGTTTGAAACCTAAAATAATCCTTAAAAACTCCAAGGATTTATTATTGATAAAATTTAATCTATTTTTTAGACGCAAGGAATCAGAGGATCACTTCAGCCCGTTGTTTACTCTGAGTGCTGCTATTACCTCGGGGAATATGGCAGTCATGCAACATATCTTCAATTTCTTGTTCAACATTCTGACTTCAAGGCCACAGTGGACCACACACTTTCTCATTCTGTTGATTCCCAAATTTTTTTTGAACATGTGTACATGCCATGCTTGAGGAGAGGGCTTATCACTCCCCTGCACAGTGCTATGACAGCAGTAGATCCATCTTTAGCTGTGTGGACGGTCAGTGTTACCTTTTAAATCAAAGAGTTTTAAAATTTCTTCCTGTTTACCATGTGTCATTAATATGTGTGTTCACATGAAATTATCTTTATGTTGCAGACATATTTGTATGGAATATGCGCTGCACTTGAAAGACGCAAACTTCTTCACACTCTCTATGAGGTGCAGCAATGGTCAAAGGATCATGTACGATCGGCCATGACCTGCATCCGATTCTACCACTTGAATGCCAAATCATATATGGAACTGGCAACAAATATTAATCACCTCATGCGAGCTCAAAGTCACTTGGAGGGAGCCCTTGCAGTAGCATCAGTGTCCAAAAAAGCTGATCAATCCGGTTGGTTTTAATTGGTTTCCTAAACTCTTGTGCTTCTCCTTTGTCTTGCAGAAATGTTTACTGAAATCTTGAACTTTTGCATAACTAGGAAGCACATCCAGCAGCTCTACAGGTGAGGGGCCAGAGTTTAAGTGGCTGCAACTCTCTCCCAAGGAGCTGGATCACCACATGAGTACAGTGGAGAGGCAGAAAGAACTCACCAAATTTCTACGAGCCTACGAGGCGGATGGCCACACTCTGTATGAGGCAGCCCGTTGGTTCCCTCATGAATTTGCAGAACCACTTGCCCATGGATTACCAACCCTATTTGGAAGCACAGCGGACAGGAAGTTCCTTGCGGGTCTCTGTCTGTTCTGTGGCAAGAATGTAGAGGAAGGATATGGCATTGTGTACAGGTGAGGGAGCTAGAGGAAGATATTACCATGTTCGGAGTGTCTGAAATAACTTTCTGTGGTCTATTTCCAGGATTATTGAAGGATTTGGTTTACCTGCTTATGCAATTTATGAAGCTGTGGCCATTGCTCTAGTTAAATCAGGACGTGTGTCAGAAGTAGCTCAGCTTCTAAATTGTATTCACAGCTCTGGCATCTCTGATCCCTTGGTTGTGTGTGACTCAGTTATCATGAGTTGTTTCAAAGAATTGCCAAGTCAACCCAATGCAAGTGATGTTGATTTCCTAGCTCGGAATATATCTGATCAAAATGTTAAGGTATAACTCTATTGTTTACATTGGTTTTTATAATGTATGTCTTGCCAATTCTATAGTTGTAAGATAAAACGTCTCAATTATTTTGCAGATTAAAGCTCTCATTAAATGTGGGCAGCTGAAATCAGCTTATCTTCTGGCTGTGAAGTGTGAGAGGCTTGATGACATAGAACTCATTTTGCAAGAAGCGGAAAAGCTGGGACAGACTGCTATTCAAAAGATTTGTTTGAAACGCCTTGGAAGACAATAATCATATAACTGTATTAAATTAATGCACAACATGTATCTTCATTGACTGACTTTTGTAGAATTTTGTTTTGCTTGATCATGCTAGCTAATTTTATTTATCAATGTATTTGTATAACAACTTCCTTCTGTCTGTGATTAATCATAGAAGTAACTGTTTTTAAACTATTTTATATGGCTCCATTCCTACTTTGCTGTTAAGAATGGTTATAGAAATTATATCTTTATATTGAATAAATGTACTGTGATTGTTAGAAAAAAAATATACTCCTAAGTTTAGTGAGAGAGTAATCTTTGTCCTGCTGGATCTGAAACAGTTGTGGAGAATATCTGTGATAGCAATAATAAATATTATCGTTTGTTGAATCTTTTTCTTCATTTTCGTAGGGAAGACCCCTTCGAATTGTTGCCTCCCATCATTAGAGCCACGTGGCTGGACTTGGGGAAGGTGCGTTAGCGGAGTCCAAAATGAGGTCAAAGTCGTTGTTTGGCTGAGGGTTTCAGAGAAGTACTGATGCGGGGGTAAACGAGAAAGATAGTAGAGGCTCAAACAACATCGGACCCCACGTAGAGGGCACCGCGCCACTGTATATATACGTCGTGGGAGCACCGAGAGTCGCCAGCGAGAGCGAGGCTTGTAGGGGTGGCAGCGTGCTCGTGGGGGCGCCAGTCCTCGCCAGCCTCGCGCCTGTAGGGCCACTCATCCTCGCCTACCCGTCAGACCAGGATGCCCCTCGGACTGTGGCTCGGGTGAGTTGAAAAAGAGCTTTTTGTGGTCCGCCGCGACCGGATTTCGGTCTCGGCGACAGCAGCGCCACACCACGGCAGGCGCCACGAACGCCACCCTCGCTCTGCCTCTGCCTCTGCCAGGATCGATATAGCCCTGCCCAGCCCGCCTCTGCTGCAGCCCTTGGGCCGCGCGGCAGCGCAGCGCGCCAACATTCAAAGCCGCCGGCACAGACCGGCACGGGCGCGGCGGCGCGAGCTGGCTCGAGCGCCCGTCGAGCAGCGGGTAGGCAACCCCCGGCCTTCCGCGTGCGGCGGGCTAGTCTACGCCAGGCGCCCACAAGAGGACCGGCAGCAAACATTCAATGAATTAATCTTTTTCAGGCAGCATGAGTCCCCACGACGACCGCAAAGTGTTGCGAACGGACGCGCGGTCCCTCTAAAACCGCGTGCGCGTCCTTCCCTACCCTAACTTGTCCCCGCGCGGCGCGCGCTACCCGGAAATCTGCTCACCGAGTTTGGCGCGGACTGAGCTGACTGTACCTCACGCACGCCGCCGCCGTCTAACTTGTGTGTGCCAAGCGGCAGTGCGGCAGTGGCGGTGCCTCCGTCCTCGTCCCTCGTCCTCGGAACAAAGGGGGCGGGTCGCCCCTTTGACCAACTCCACTCGCGTCTGGACGCCCCGCCACCGGCCGCGCGCGCCAAGCCTTGCCAACAAGCCGACAGTCTTGTCATCAGGGTGACGCGGCCACCTTCTCCCCTCTCCCTCTCTCCCACAGACCCGCTCCATTCCCAACGGCGCGCTGTCTCTCTCGCACCCCTACGGCACGCCACACCCCTCGAGTGCGAGAGAGACAGAGAGCGGAATGACTGCGCAGCTCATTGGCGACTCGTCGGCTGAGCCCATTGATGTTTTCCCGTGGCCCGGCAGGCCCGCCTTGGCGGCAGCCTGGCGGCTGGGACCCAAGCTGCTGCTCGTTCCGCCGGTGTGGCCTTATTTGCGCCCTTGTCGTAATTTCGTTAAGGCGCTCAGCCGATGCCACGCCTTGTCTCCGGGACGGGGCGGACAGGGCGGACGGGGCCCGGCCCACCCACCTGTGGTCCTCTCCAAGGTGCTTCCAGCAATTGCGTCCTGAGCTGAGAAATGTGGGAGCGGCGAAAGCTGACACGAAAGCCCGGCGTTTTCACTACACAGGGCCTTTCCGGCGAAGTGCCCCGCCCCGCCCCGCCCCGCCCCGCCCCGCCCGGCTCGCAAGATGACGCTGAAGTGAACGCAGGCGTGCCGTTCTCAGGGTGCCGAAAAAGCGCACCGACTATTTCACTCCTTCGTTTTATTAATGCAATTTCTCATACTTTACGGCGAGGAACTACACTGGCGAGGCTCGAGGCATTGCGAGTCCGTAAACTGCGGGGCGGTTTCCGTTTTCCGGTGCTGGGGCGGCGCGCGGCGTCCCGGCCGGAAAAGCAGGGGGAGATTTTCACCTCGGCGAATGCTGCGCTGTCGAGGAACGCTCTTCTTTTCATTGGGAAACGCGTCGCCTCCTTATTGACAGAAAGAAAACTAATACTGAGTATGAATGGCCAAGTTAGCGCGCCGTGCAAACGTTCCCATTAAGGGCGGGCTGCCATTGTGGCGGGAGCCCCGCTGCCTGACTCCAGAGGGCCGTTTCGTCGCTCTGTCTCTCTCGCACCCCCACAGGGCGCGCCGTGAGTGCGACGGAGACGGAGCGACTTTCCCGCGGACTTTCCTTTCGGAATCAGGCTGGGGGTGGGGGGGGGGTGGGGGGGGGGGGGCACAGAAATGAGATAAAGCAAGGCGAGGCGGGACGCCGACCGGGGCATTGGTGCGCTCGCGGGATTGCGCGTCGCGGAAAGCCGCCACTACTTCACCTCTAGTGCCGGCTAGTTTTTATACGTTTCTTTTCCAGAATAGATCCGCGACCGCTAATAAAAGCGAGGGACGAACAACCGATGGGGGCCGGGAAGGAGAATCGCGATGAGGGGCACTTGCAGGGGAGAGAGAGAGAGAGAGAGAGAGAGAGAGAGAGAGAGAGAGAGAGAGAGAGAGAGAAGAGAGAAGAGAGAGAGAGAGAGAGAGAGAGAGAGAGAGAGAGAGAGAGAGAGAGAGAGAGAGAGAGAGAGAGAGAGAGAGAGAGAGGAAAGAGCGGGCACGGCGGGGACCTCGAGCAGGCGAAGCAAGGCGAAGCCGCGGCAAGGACTTTTACGAAAGCGCCCCCCTCCCCCCTCCTCCCACTGAAAATACAGGTTTCCATTGTTCACAGAAGTTTGTGGCGGAGGAACAATATAACGGTTATTTTCTTAGGATTCCGCTTGGCGGTGTAACTGCGGGGCCCTTTGTTGAAAGTCGTACGTGGCGAAGACATTAATTATATGGATAAGGTGCTTGGCTGCCTGGCTGGCTGCCTGCCTGCCTGGCTGCCTGGCTGGCTGCTTGGTGGTTCCCCTTCCGCTTGCGTCCCTTTCTTCCAGATCCCTGCGTCGCCTCGGTCTTCTTGGTCTCCTTGGTCTCCTCGTCGCAGCGGCTCGGCTCGGCTCGGCTCGGCACGGCTCGGCGCGCTCGCGGCCGCAGAGAGAGATTCCCCGCTCGCGGCTCGCGGGACGAGGTCAGGACCATTCCAGGTTCCATTCACCCACCGCGGGCACCGGGTACCGAGGTCGTTTCGGGTTAATTACCCGTACAAGTATTTTTATTATCATAAAAAAAGGGAAAGGATTCTGTCCTCGTGGATAGCAGCGGACGAGGCAACAGCTTGCCACATCGCGTGGCGCTAGTTGCCTGTGATTGGCCGTTGGCGCAGTGTGGCCAAAAGGGGGGGGGGGCGACCCCTACACTGAGCCCTTCCATCCTGCTGTCGGAAGTTGTCCGATGTTTCATCTCGGATTTTTTTTCTCCCCTTCGTTCCTTATGTTCCCCAGCGCCTCGCGAATTGATTCCGGTCGCCGGCAGAGAGTAGAACCGGAAGCGGGAAAAAAGATGGGGGCGCGGCGGGGCGGCAGGAAGGCACCGCCGTCGGGGCTGGCTCGGCCGGGGGAAGGCCGCGGGAAGGTTTTGGCTCTCGGGCCAATAAGACTGTTACTGGCCTCTTTTTAGAAGGGATGTGGTTCCCGTGGACGCGACATGCAAGCTGATTTCCCCCTTTTCTTTAGCTGTCCGCCCGCCTCTCTGTGTGTGGTGTGTGTGTGTGTGTGTGTGTGTGTGTGTGTGTGTGCCTGTGCCTGTCTGTCTGTCTGTCTGTCTGTCTGTCTGTCTGTCTGTCTGTCTGTCTGTCTGTCTGTCTGTCTGTCTGTCTGTCTGCGTGCTTCCGAGCGGCGTCCCGGACGGGCACTGCGATCCCCGACCACTACCTTACCCCCTTGACCGGAGAGAGAGGCCTTCCCTGGCAAGGGCCGCGGCGTGGGCCCAGGCGCGTGGGCCTGGAGGGACGTGGGGGCGAGCGTGGGCCGTCAGGTCAGTGACGGGGTCTTCTTTCCCTAGTGACGGCGATTTAATTTGGGAAGCGAGCCTACCGCCCTCCGCACGCAGGTCCGGGTCCGGTGCAGATGCAGCGAACGCAAACCGTCCCGCAAAACGCACCGCCGCCGGACGGGGAAAAATTGTGGATTCAGACCACTGCGGCTGCGGGCCACGGCCGGGTGCATGCCAAGCAGAGAGAGAGAGGGGGGGGAGGGGGTAAGGCCTGGTCCGCCAACGCCAGGCCCTCACGCCCTGCACGGCCCCCGGCAGCGCGCCTGGCCACGTCAGGGTAGGCAGGCCCGCGCCACACGCACGCCGGCGCGCGGCCTACCCTGCAGGCTGCAGGCGCCCGGAGCGGGGCCGCGCGGTCACTGTAAAACTGTGAAAAGCCACGCCGAGTGCTCCTGCTGCAGCAGCATCATCGTCATCGTCAGCGCAGGCCGTCGTTGTCAGCAGTCTGCGGCCGCAGCGGATTCGCCTGCCTGCCTGCCAGTGTGCCGGCGGGGCCGGGGCGAGGCGGCCGAGGGCGGCACGGAGTACAAAGTACCCAAACGGAAGTAAAGGTACCGCGGGAAAGGCGTGTCAGCTGACGGAATCAATGGCCGATCTTTTATTCATGTCCGTTAGCAGCAGCGCCTTGCTCCGCCGCTATCTCCCCCCCTCTCTCTCTATCTGCCTCTGTCTCTCTTCGTCTTGCCCGGCCCTGCCGCGGCTACGCGCCCATCCACCGTCCGCCGCACTCCGTGGAAGAAAAAGAAAAAAAGAGAGAAAAAAATACTTAAGTTGTGAGTCAAAGTTTTGAGATGTTGACGAAAATTCAGGATTCACACCCGTCCGTCAACTGATTGTATTACCTAAAAAAAAGAAAAAAATATCTGAAAAAAAATCGATTTTGCGTCCGTACCAGGGCGCGTTGATTTCCGTCCTCCTACCACCACTGTTTTTTTTTTTTTTCGGGTAGTGGGCCCGCGCTAGGCCGGGCCCGGCCGCCGTGCCGTCTCTCCCCAAAATTATGCGTCAAGTTGCTTAAAGCCGTCTAGATTAAAAGTAGAACTGCGCGGCTAATTGTTACGGTGGC